AAATGCGGCGGCATCAGGGCCAGCCTGACGCACGCGCATATTGGTGGTAAGATGCAAGACTTGAACGTGACGCTGCCAGAACGAGGTTGCGCGGATAGTCTCGCCTACTATCTCTGACCGAGTACCCCTCTTTACCACAGGAAGCACTTGTCGGAAGTCACCACCAAATACCACGACCTTGCCACCAAAAGGGATTTGTCCATATACTGGATCAATAGCACCCATGATGTCACGCAGTGACCGGTCAACAGCTTCAAAGTTGTGCTTGCTGTACATGACAGCCTCATCCCAAATAATGAGAGAGGCTTGCTGTATAAGATATGCGTGGGGACCAACAAGGCGAAGATTGCATGTAGTATCGGCATCACCGTTCAAAGGGATCTTATAACGACTGTGCGCGGTACGGCCACCAGGAAGCAAGATTACAGCAATACCAGACGTAGCAACAGGTAGTGCAATTTCACCACGCGAGCGGACACGACTCAGCAGTGTCTTAAACAGCTGGGATTTGCCGGTACCTCCAGCTCCGTTGACAAAGAAGACACGGGAGTAATAATGGGGGGCGAGGACGTCCATTGCATCGGTGATGACTTCATATGCAGCTCGTTGCTCTTCGTTGAGTGTTGGCAATAACGTCTCAAGGACGCGAGACTGCTCATTGACATCAAATTCACGGCCTTCAAGGATTGCCAGACCTTGAAGTCGTGGTAGGAGATCCAGCTCGGTGACGAAGGTCTGCGGCAACGACGGAAACTCGGAAAGATGATGGCCGGTGACCTGCAGCCGGGTTTCGATGTCGCCAAGTGCACGCTGGTAAATCTGCTCGAGCTGCTGCTCGGACAACTCAGCTTCATTGGGCAGAGAGAGCGTCCTGCGCATCTCAAAGAAGTAGTCGTCTGCCATTCGCTCGCGATATGTGGTCCACAGTGATGCTGGGTCAGAGGGAGAGCAATTTGTCAGAATATAGACAAAAAGCTGTCTAATTGCTGCAGCTGATGGGGCAACCTGGACAACCTCAGCCATACAGCGATCCCATTCCTCGTCGGACTCCAGAAGGCCACGGGCAACAGCAGCTTCCTGGAACGTCGCATATGTTGTTCCCTCATACTGCCTCAGAGAAACAAAACCAGTGGGAGCACGGACAGACAGCAGAAGGAGGCGAAGGCAATATAATTCCATGTTCGAGAGGGAGGCATGGAATATACGCGTAACAACATTTTGGACGGGAGGGTTGGTGCGAGGGTTCCAAGGCGATTTCTGTTGTCCCAGGTGTAGTGCCGAGGGATATCTGAGTAAAGATACTCTTCTGTTGCACGATTTTCGTCGTAAAGGCGGAAAAAGGCAAGAAGCTTCGTGCCGGATTCTGCCGCGTCACGCGCTGCTCGAACTTCTTGTGGTGTCATATCGTCACGTAGATTGACAATCTGTTCGCCAGGTAAGTGAAGGTCCAAACGTACGACTGTTGGATAGTGCATATGCACATCAAACTCGAACGTACGATGGATAGCCTCGCACGGACCAATGTATCGAGCGTTTTGGAATTGCTCTACTTCATTGACCGGCTCGGCAGCGGCATTATCGGTGGTGGTGGTGGCGGCGACGCGTGTTGTTTCTATTTGCGCTCGGTCGGTGCCCTTCGTGATGTATTTGCACAAATATTTTAGGGCGCGGTTAGATGTGCAAATCTCAACGTTGATGTGTGCATCGTATTTTTGACTAAGATAGGGGTTATACGGCACAACATGTCGGTTGTCGGCGAAAAAGTTGGATGCGGGGAAGTGGTGGCGGTTACGTTGGTTTTCACGGCGTCGATAGATTGGATAACCATCTCGATTGACGTGTGTTTCGTTGTTGTATGGTTTTGGATAGCCTTGCGAGCAACGATTATCCTTCATACATACAGCGGTTGTGCCTGGACCACATGGGCCGTGTATCATGCACGATGTCACTGTGTGATACAGCTGTGGCTGTGTTGCAGGATCAGGCAACTCAGCAGACACAACTGGTCATAGTCGGTGGGATTGCGTGGTTGGTCTTGTTGCTCCAAAATATCGTGGCAACTCGGTAAGTTTGAGGTGGAAAACGCGAGTTGCGATATCTGGACGGTCGTATGCTTGCTGACCAGGAAGAAGCTCCGCGACGATTTCAGGCCATCTTGGGTTGCAAGTAAGCGTAATGAAAAGCGTCGGGTTTCTTCGCTGGCGGACGATTGCCAATCCATCTTGAAGCATCTGCTTCATGTAGCGCGGACTACCCGTAAACGATGCCAGCAAAATAACTGCACGACCAATCTGCCTGGGATCCGTATTGTCACCGACGCCACTATACAGCTCAGCACGTATCGTTCTTTGGTGGGTGAGGATGAAGTTTAGGCGGGAGAATTCGATGCGTGCATAGTTCGAAAGGGAAAAAAGAATATTATGATGACATATGCGAATACTGTTTATTTTATAATAACTTTATATGAAGGGCAAAGTATGAAGATAAGGGGAAGCGCTAAGGCCTAACGGTGCAAAGTATATAGGATTTAATAAATAAGGATACCTGAAGACCAAAGATAACTTAGACTTTAGAGTAAAAGGAAGAACAAAATAGGGAAGGCCGTTAAAAAAGGAAACAGGAAGAAGTGTAAAAAGTAAGTGAGCAGTTTAGCAATAGGAGCAAAAAAAATGAACGAGACAAATCAAATAGGAACGACAAAGATCGGAAAGTGATAAAAAAAAGGGATAAAGGTGGTGGAAATTTTTTTAGTCAGTTGTTATTTTTGACCAAGCCTTTACCAAAACGCTTTCTAGTAATGCTTCCGGCAATAATCTGTTTCGTTCAGATGGCACGAATCCTTTGACATCCGAAAACAAGCGCTCGCAAGATGTTGACGTTGCAGGGATGGCGAGAAACTTGCGTGCCATTTTTGCTAACTGCACATACGTTGTGCTTGTGTGTTGCCAGTACTCCAATTCGTAGCTTACTGGTCGTCTATTATCGTCACCTTCGGCAAGTGCTGTCTGTGGCTCGCTTACATATGCTGTCAACTCATCTTGGATTCTTTGCCTCTTGGGACGGTAGCGATTGCGACGTATCTCCTCAGGTGACAGTGCTCCAGCCTCACAGTCAGTGGTGCCACTCACAGTCTTGAACGTGCTCCATTCTGCTTCGACACTCATTCTAGCTGTCTCTTTAAATTCTGGCTCCCATTCCCGTTCATCCCAGTAAGCATACTTCAGGCACGGGTCCATTGCTGTGGCGACGGCATATACGGTGGACGAATCGGTTCTTGCATAATACATTTCAAGCTTTGCTTGGGCCTGTCTTGCTGCGTCACGCAGGATTTGCAGATTTGACGTGTCGTCTTGGAAGTCTTCGAGATCGTCAATGAGCACGTTGTATGCGAAGATTACTTTGTTGATAGATGGGTAACTATTGACAGACCATGTTGCTTAATACATTGCTGTATGTGATGCTTTTACAGCGTGTTATATTTTCCACAATAACTTACTGTGATGTTGATAGCTCTTCTGTCATAATTTTTAGACTATCCAGTAATGCTATGACCTTTTTCATATATGGCTCGTCTTGGGGATCCAACCGATATATCGACAACTCGCTAAAGGAGTCGTAGGTTGCATTATACGCGTCCTTCAACCTCAATCCCCGTACCAGTATATCATAAGTGGAGTTCCATCGTGTGCGCACATCCAATTGTAGCTCGAGCTGCTCGCCATACTTCATAGAACAATATTCACGATATTGTTTTCAGTACTTGGTAGTGGACATCCTTATAACATAGTAAATTTAAGTTAATATTTGTGTAAGCGGGCTTGACCATTTATGCCAGTGATTTATACCCTACCTGATTTTGTTTATTCCTACTCGTAACTTGGACACCACGTTGCTAATATCTTGATCAGCCGCGATATCTGATTCAACAACATTATCGAGCAACGGCTGTGAACGCAACCCATCTTTGATCAGTACTTGCGTAACCAAATTGACGACGTGACCAATACACGGGATAAGGTGTTTGGCTGCCTGGAAATGGAATGCGCGACGACTCTCCCCTCTTCTTGTCTCAGCACGCCTAGCTCTTTAGCCATGGATAGGTTGTTGGAAGCATTGTCGGCGGTAATAGTAAACAGGAGATAAGTAATGTCGAAATCGTCGAGCACTCTTAGGAAATGATCAGCAATGTCGTGGCTGACTTACAGCGGTTTCGATTAGAAACCAGCGTCAAGAAGTATTGGTCAGGTTGCTGAGCGGATCTATCATTTATCTGGTTTTTCTTTTCATCGTCACAGACCCTGGTCGTGTATAAATAGCTGTAGAAAACAAGTGAAGGATAGATCATTGATTCTTTTTGAATTAAACAGCAATCTCGAAGACTTCTAGTCCCTTTCTATTGTTGAACACCACAAGCAAGAGCTTCTCTAGAATGGCGTTCATCTGGATACTGGAGACCGGCTAAAACCTCCTGCTGCACCCAGTACTCGTCAATGAAATGAGCGGTAATACCAAGGAAAACATACCCCCACTCTGAGGTCTAGGCGTCTACGGAAAAAGAGAGACATTGTTGTGCTTGCAAATAGGATATGATGCACGCCTTCTCGACTCGATATAACTAAGTGATGTCGCTCTTGATGGTATTGGCAATAATCGGCGCGACAACATCAAACGACGGTGCAGCTTGAGTGAGCTGGATGAACTTGCGAAATTCTTCATTTTCCACCATCGTGTATCTAGACTTTGTACTGATGATAAAACGTGCTTATTGCTCCCGCCATACTTCTCGAGTACTTTAGGTTGTAAAGCTTAGTACAATCATACTTACACATAGCTGTGTATACGACAATTCTGCCTGCTGTATGATTTTCTACCAGCAAAAATCACTCATTATTCTATGATAAATTAGAAAAGCAGCATAAAAAATCATTTTTTATTTATCACGTGACTAGCAGCACAAAAGCGCTAATATAAGTGTACACATAATGTGTCAATCGTTGTGGGCCCGGGTGTCGGAATTGGATAACGAGTTCGTCTCCTAAACGAAAGATTCCGGGTTCGAGTCCCGGCTCGGGTGTAAAATTAAAAGGTGGTTTTGCTACGTTAGATTTTGGAGTGTATGTTATCAAATGTCGAATCCTTTTGGCGGATGTCGTAGCCAGATTTGGCCGGTCTTTCCTTTTTCCTTTTGTGACACCTGTCCATCATTTGAACACGTAGTCGCTTCTCGTTAACACACGATTGTCAAGACACGTAGTTGTCCATTGCTTGAACACGTATTAGTCTCTCATCACAACACATAGCCATCATAGCATATATAGTAACAATAGAAAACATATAAATATCCCCTTCATCATCAAAAAATAAACATCATCTTTGTGATCTCTCTTTCTATTGGCTACGGTACTTATCCGCCAAAAGGACTCGACACGGAAATACCGTATCCAGGGGATAAGAAAAGGAGGGTAATAAAGAGTGTGTAGGTGGTAAGATGATTATCTTTATTTTAATTGTTGATCCAAGGTACTTTTTATACCTTTTGATCAACTTAGACGAGCCAATAATACTATATAGAATTTTTGGTATCATTGAAATGACTATAAATGTGAAAACGTTTGCTGAGTACTCGTGGAAGGAGCCAAGAGGATTGGTGCTATGCGGTTTCAATGAAGTATTACTGCGATTGGTGTAGTAAGCTGTTGAAGCACAAAGGACGTTTGTTGTTGTTTTCTTGGTAAAAAGAATGGCTGTCATCCATTGTTGTTATTTTTTGGGTTATTACATAGTGTCGCCTAACCTGTTGCCGTCGAAGTGGTACTATTTGATATACTGCATTCTACTCTATAAGGCGTATTGAAGAAAGTGGTATCTCACAGTGGTGCAATTTTTTTATTGAGTGAACATTCATAAGAGACAATGCTTGAAAAGGTTAATTGTATGCTGTTAATTACAAGCACATGATTAAGCAAAACGTTTGCAGAGTAAAGGGCAATTATGGACAGTTCAAGAACCCATGCCTTTTTCTCAAACAGTGTGCGGTAACTTGGGCGAGCGTAGTGACGAAATGAGAATAAAACTCATACTTCTTGCGGTTTCCGACCTGCTGTGTACCTGCCAGCTGGGAATTGCTGTAGAATCGGCAAGCACACACACATACATCGTAGATACATTAGCTTGTTGTTTAGTCGTTTAAATGCTTAATCTTCAGCGCCTGTAAAAAATGGGAAAATTAAAAGTGGAAGTTCTTCGTTTTATAGCTTTTAATATAATTGATTGTACATACTCGTTCCTTCTTAGAAGGTTTTCTTTGAATGATATGATTGCGATGCTTCCTCAGGCTCATAAAACAGATAGTCAAGATGAGCATTATGGCTTTTAGAAGCAAAAAAAAGAAAGACATTGGTCTCCATCGGCTTGACTACTTTTCATGATTCAACAGTATATCATGAAGTTTCCATATACTACTATTTGAAATACTGGCTCATTGTTTTATTCTACAGTACGGCTCAGTCGAGCCCCCAGATGCATTTTTAGCTTTCTCAGTAGAGCTGTTTCTAATTTCTGGATAGTATGTTCCTAAGTAGCTACATACGTTCAGCAATTAGCGAAAAAGTTTAAGGATGATCGTCCTAAACACGGATTTTTGGTCACACCGTAGCCATCCACGGAATTTTGGCCACACCGTAGCCATCGCCGGTAAAGTTATCGTATTCTTCTCAACAATAACAAGTGGTCTCGTTCTGCGGCTGTGATATCTGATTTTTACAATAGCCAGTTTTCAACAATGAAAAGCATTCCTCCACGATAGTTCATGTTGCTACGGTGCCAAAATATATCTAATGCTTCGAAAGGAGCCACCAACAAAACAGAGCAAAGTAGTATCAGAGAAACTCCGACACACTTTTCTTTTGTTCTTTGAAAAAAAAAAGTCGAACCTAAACCTGTCTGACAAATTCATGGTCGACGGCTCCTGATCTCCAGCACCAAAAACCTAGTCCACGTTTACGAAAGACAGCAAAAGCACACTCAAAAAGTATATACAAACGCACAACGACAACAAGACATGAATCCGAATCAGGCAACGAATGAACAAGAAAAACAAAATTCACAGGAACCAGACGATCCCATGGACGAAACTCTTGAAGAGACGGAACATGAACGCATTGAACGGATAACAGCAGAAGCGGTGGCATCCATAAAGTCCTTTACAGAGTCACAAGATGGCAGCAAAGAAAATGACAATCAAACACCTTCCTCCACGACAGCAGCAACAGCAACTGCCTCCACCAGTACCACCACCAGCACGAGTACGCCCGCTGTTTCTGTTGCATTCTCTGAACCCACACAGCAGCAGCACTCGCCGCTAACAACAACTAGTGCCGCGGCTGTCGCTGCTGCCACGGCAGCAGCCAACAGTATATCCACGCATGACCTTGCGAATCTTAACATGACTCCCGCACAACTTCAGCAAGTTACTGCCGCACAAGCACAAGCGCTTGCTCAAACAGCAGCAGCGGCTATGGCAGCAACGTCTACAGCCAGTTCTTCAGCAACACCTACTACAGCGGCTATCAGTGCCGAAACAACTAATAACAATGGCCAGCAGCACCTTTTTGCGCTTAATACCAGCTCAACACCCATTGCGTCACACAGCACACCAGCCAACGGAGGAAGCAGCGACGCGCAGCCGATGACTGGTGTGGTATTGAATGATGGAAACTCGATACCCTCAGTTTCACAACTTACAGCAGAAATGCTCAAACGGGAGCTTATCAATCAAAAGGTCCGGTCAATGACGGTGGATATGAGGAAGGAAGAGGGTTGCAGCAGGAAAAGTTAGTGTGTGCATGAAAAAGCTGAAGGTACGATCATATAGGTCCGTGCAGATAATCGAGAGCGCAAAAAGAGATGGCGAGCCTTGAATGAGGAGCGTAGTATGTATCCTGTTTCATTTATGATTCGATGCATGGAAATTACTACATGATTGACATTCTCCACGTGCTACAGATAAAGATAACGATCTACGATGCCGGGTCAACAAACGGGCAAACAAACTCTTTGGCAAAGACGACACAGAGAACAAACGACGATGGGTCGAGGAAGAGTTCATGAAGCGGAAGCAAAAGCGCAAGGAGAAAGAACGCCGTAAGCATGCAATGGATGGAGCGATTGGAGGACTCAGTGTTTCCCCAGAAACAGGTACCTCGAACACAACAGTGTCGGGCGCTACGGCCGTAGCAACGGGCACTTCGAGTGCAGCGACAGGCGTGACAACGAACGTAAACGGAATGCAAGGTCAAGGATTAGCACAGTTCAACAACAACACACATGTACAGCCATTATTACCAGACATGAACCACCTCGCCATTCTATGCCAGCATCTGGGTATGCTTTCACAATCCTCAGCAGCAGGAAGCTCAGCCGCACGGTTACTGGGTGTTAAGACTGAAGGCGAAGCCGAACGAAATAACGAAGAGCAACTGTCCAATCCATTAATTGACTTTTTGCAGCAGCTACAGCAGCAAACACAGCAGCATCAACAACAGCAGCAAGAAGAAGAAGAAGAAGAAGGAGAAGGAGTAGTAGTAGAGAACCAGCAGCAAGGCGAAGGTGCATCAACAGAGATGTATAAAGATTTACCAGAGGACCAACAACAGCAACAGCAGCAGGAACAGGAACAGCACCAGCGAGTGAAAGTCGAGAGTTCATCAGACAGCAATAATGAGGCGCTGCAGGCCGCGCCATCAGAAGAGTCACCATCACCAACGACGGCTGATAACAAAGACAGCTCAGCGTCTGAAGAACGACCAGAGGATAAGCTTGCGGCACTGTTAAGTAGCACGATTCATTCATCTGCTCTGTCGTCGCAAAGAGAGGAGCAAAGTAATGGCGAATCATCCAGCGAGACGGCTGCAGAACAACAACAAGGTGAACAGCACCAACAGCAACAGCAGACACAGGCGCAAGGGAACGGACAGAACAACAATGTTGACTTTCCAATGGATGCGGTATTAACACTTATGCAGCTCAATGCTGGGTGGCGGCAATAGTGACGATGGTGGATATACGCAAAAGTAGAAACGCTCTTCCTCTCGGTAAAAAAGAAATGGAAAGAAAGTGAGTTTCTCCCCTGGTGCGAAAACACTCTCTTTTGTTATTCACTTTTCCACATTCCATTGACGGGCTGTTATATATATTAAAAAAAGATCGTTCAGGAGTGATATGGGCTTGCCCGTTTGTATACTTTTCATACCTGCCGTTCCCTTCCTCTCTCTCTCTCTCTTTCTCGTCTCCCCACCTCCTTCTCTATATACATACACAACACACATACGCATTATCAACCTATTCTTCCGATTTTAAAGAAAAGCCTCTCTCCCCGACCTCCAATTATCGTTTTCTTTTTGTATATGTCTGTTTCTTCATTGCATTTTGATATATTGGCCTGCATCGCAGAGAATCTTGATGCCAAAACTATCGTAGAGCTGTCTTCTTCTTGTCGAGCATTCAGTCAACTTGCTAGATTCGATCTCTTGTGGAAACGGCTGTGTAAGTCCGACTATCGTTTGACTTATAATGACCCTGAGCAAAGCTACCGCGATCTGTATCGTCAAACGTCACTACGGTCGTTTGGTCGGCGACCTTGCCACCATCTAAGTAACCTCAACGTCGACGAACACTTGCTGAATCGTCCCTCGTGGAATCTCCCTTTGCTGCACGAAAACAGTGCCGAGGCATGGCTCCCACACGTCTCCTGCTGTCAGCATGTAGGCGTTGAGAAAATGTTTTTGTGTATGCAATGTCATCAACTACGTATGTATTGGAGAAGGCTACGCTCAGTTTAATCAAAATCCGTGTTTATTGACGCAAAAAACGCCCTGTTCATTTAGTATGCGACCGACATTCCAGAATCCATGCAAAATCGGATCATGCATTGTTTTTGAAGCCTAGCACAGCAGAAATATTCTGTCAATGTTGCGTCGACTGGGTAAGTTTTTTCTGCTGCTGGATCCGAAGAAAGAAAGGAAGCAGGTGCTGTGATGTATCCAGCACATTGAATGGCCTGTTGTTCATACACTAACAAAGCTACTGTTACGTTAAATGTACGGGTATACACAGCTCGGAGGCAACGGGGCAGATCCAGCTGAGCGGTATTACGCATCGCTGATAAGCACACACTGGATCAACAAGGTTTATCTCGATTCAACTTTCATTGAAGATTTGTTGGTACTTCGTTCGCGACGACAGTATGAGCGATGGATACGTTGGCAAGACACACCCACACGAATTGTCATGAGCCCCCGTGGATTCTGCTTTGTCTCCGCACAATTTATATGGGAGTGGGAACGGTTTATCGAAGGCTGGCGTATCCTACCGCCAGTGGACGAAGATGCCACCGTCGTGGGTAGCAATATTCATATTCATAGCCGACAGGAACAGCAAGAAGGTGTAGAATTATCACCACTTCGCTTTGATCCGTTCCTTCCAGAATCCACCGATTTACACATAGTGTCTCATGAAACGTGGGATTATCTTAGCCAAAATTACAGCATGACAGGACCCAAAATTACCAAAGGTAAGATAGTAACAAAACTTATCGGTATAGCTGGTAGCTTATGCTCTTTTTGTCTTCTACTTTATTTATCTTACTGTAATGTAACTTGATAATGATGTGATGCTATGATTGCTTCTGATGCTGTCTTGGCTATATGTGTAGATGATTTGATGCACTCGGATATCCATAAGCAGTGGCAGTACACCATCAAACGCTATGCAGATAGGGTCATGCTACGCTTTTAATGCATGGATCGTGCACGTTTCTTCTGCTCAATATATTTCGTAGGCGGCACAACCACCGGTGGTTGCTCCACGTTCAGCGCCTTTAACCGCAGCACAGCTACAAACATACTTCAATTAATCTAAAACCAATCGGGATAATTATGCACAATAAATCTAGTTATCATAATACAGCACGTACCCTTATCCAAAGCCAGTTCAATCATGCACCTTGTACGGATAAAAGAAAGCAAGGGCCATGTGGATTGTTCACCATGGCGAATCCTTTATTTGCCAATATCAGTCCACTTGTAGTACTTGTAAACACGCATATACTTTTATGTATGAAATGATATGAGTGTACATACCAGTAAGCCAAGGATGACGCCGTGGGATTTGAAAAAAGTATGTTGAAATCCTACAGAACATACATGGTACTTTGCTACTTAGTGGTTGTCTTGTTGTAGAGGCAGTATAAAACTCTTCTACTATCATCCCTATCTTTACCCCTGCTACTTACCGATAGTATAACTTTAGGTGCAATTGTAACATTGCCTGATATTTTCTCTTCGATAAATGGCCGCAAGACATTCGGTAGCATGTACAGCTGGTCAATCTAAGCATACATACATTAGTCTATTGTTTGTATAAGCTAATTCTAATAGATGTTCTTTTTCTTTCCCTCAGGGTGCTTACTTACCTGATAGAGACGATGCTTCATTTCAGAAGCAACAACATACGCAAGCTTGTTCCATAACGTTTCATGTTGATGCAGGCTGTTCTCCTTTGAAATAAAAGGAAGTGCATACGTTGTTGCTTGCGAAACGATAAAATGGTTCACGTTGAAGAGCTCGGATAGTCTATGCAATGGCTCTTCACTACACAATAGCAATAATCATATTTACTTCAACTGTTAGAACCTGAGTCAAAATATTCATGGTTAGCTATTTGAAGCGATGATATACCTGTCACTGGGTGTTGTTTCTGACCAATGATTCCATTTCACTGCCGAAGGACTCCACTTGACGATATTTCCTGAAGTGTCTTTTGCTAATAGGTCACAACTACCAAACAAACCAGTTGAAGCAGTAGAACAGCAAGCTGCGCTCCATATAAGCTATAAAACAGCGAAAATTAAATGTTTTCAGAAAATAGTAAACTGTGTGATCGCGTTGTTTTTTTTTCTCTCGTGATGTTGCTGCTTACCACATTGGGAGCCGTAAGATAATTTAACAGCTGTGGCACCTCGTTCTTCCGACTAGACGACACACTAATATTGAGAACTCGTTTAGAGCGAGCATACGCTTCCTAAAATATAATAGAGCATGAAATGCAGCTTATCAGTGTGCCTGACGCCAATACGGGATAACACATATAGCTCGTCAACGCCATTGATGGTTTTGCCTTACTTCAAATGTAAGATCGCCAACGTTGGCACGAACACATTGTTGGAGCACTTTCATATCCATCAGATAGCCTATGGAAATTGACATGAGGTCATTACTGATTCACTTCCACTGAGTAAATATGCTGTTAATGACTTTAGTTACCATATTTGAGGAATCGCGTAATTCGGCGCTTCACATGCCTGCATATATTGATTTAATAACTCGTTTATACATGGTATACTATCATTTTTGACAAGGATAGCTGTTTCTTTCTTACCCTCTGTCGCTCTTTGTCGCAAATGCAGATAGGTTGATACCATCAGGCTGCAAGATACGCTATAAAAAACCGTTTATGTCTATCAGTATTCAGACGGTCGCTTTAATTTTAGATACTTACAGGTAGTTCTTCGTCCGTATGAATACAAATCAGAGCAGCAATCATTGCGCCTACAGCCGTACCACTAATGATTCGAGGTAGCAGTCCTTGTTCATGTAGTGCCTTGAGAACACCTAGGTGATACAATGCTTTTGAACCATACAACAATATTAGCTACTGGAAAAGACGAGTAAGAGCCGCATTTAACGAATGATGATCTTTTGAATTATACCAAAAGCACTTCCTCCTTGTAGCACCAAAGCAGAACATCCAAAGCTTTGGCGACTGTCACTGAAAAATTTTAGCTTTGTCTGCTGATCCAAAGCGTCGGTGGATTCGATATATTCAATATGAGCAACGACTTCTTCCATGTACTCTTCAATTAAAGTTTTGGTACTGTCATAAAGCAAGAGGCAGCAGTGATGAGATAATTGACCATAATCAAGCGAATAAAGAGGCGTTGGAGCGTTTTGCTTTACCCGAGATAGGAATGTGAAAAGAGCTTCTTGTCGCAAATGCCACCAAAATTTCTTAACAAGCCGCTCCGAAGTGTGTACACCATGCTGTCAACATCATTAGCTTTTCTGGCTTTGCGCAGGTGATCCAACCGAGAAGCTATCAGTTTGTAGTCGTATACACGAGAGTTTGGTTTGGCCCTCCAGGCATCGTTATCTGTTTCAGGTGTTTGCATATTTTAGTAGTAATAAAGGTTCTACATCGGCTATTTGTCTTCTCATCTGTTTCCAAGGATAGAGACTACATACTAAGAACTCTGAGCCAATTTTGTGTGGTAGATATAGTGAGTGAAAAAGCGTAAAGTATGTCCTGTTAAATACTAGGGACTTGATTTCTAGACACTTACTCGTCCAACTCTTTTGCCCGCGTTTTCCATTCCGCAAAAGTCGTTGCTTCCTGGAGCTGATCAATTAAGCCACGGTGTGAATGACTCTTGTGCATCGACTTCCATTGGAGCTGTTGCAAAGTGTCATTTCGTCAGTTGCCAATCTTCACAAGCAGGCCCCCTCTCGTCCCTCCATTTTGTCATAGGTAGCTGCCCGCACGAACCAGTAACGGTTGTAGTAAATAACTTTGAACGACCGTAAAAACACCGTAAACAAAACATAAAAAGGGAACAACGACATAGCGAACAGGATCGCAGCCGCTTCTTCTCAATGAGTCCATTGAATCGAGCTGCAAAGAGTATAAAGAAAGGAGAAACATGAGAGGCGTTTTTTTTTGTGTCTCGCATAACAATCAATTTTCACATGTCAAAAGAAATGCAAATCATTGTCGTACAGAGCGGTCGGATATATGGTTCTGCATTTGTGGTGGGCCTGGTGCGAGTTGTTTGCTGTCGTGACGACGACGATGCCTTTATATGATATTTTGTTTGGAGAAAAGAGAGAAAGAAGATAGAGGAAAAATGTACATACAGGTCCATTTCAATCAGTTATTTACAGAAAAAAGATTAAAGGAAAAAAAGGAGAAGTAGTGGGAAAGAATGATGAACAATACAGAAGAAGGGACGCGAAGAAAGATGGTGTGTATGTTTGTGCGGGTAGGTAGATGGGTAGGTGAGAGGGTGAGAGGTATATGATGAAGAAGGAGAAAATGTGTTGGTGGATCGCGAATAGAAAAGTAAGTTAGTAAGCGAGCTTATTAGTTGGGTGCGGAGGGACGTGTTAAAAGTTGTAAAGTGATGTCTTCAATGCTCTTGTTGATGAACTCTTGGAGGGGTTCGTCGCGCTCTATCCTGTCTCCAAATACAGAGCACAGGTGCTGTTTTACTTGTGCACGTGTCGTGGAATCGAGGTCTGCGCTTCCCAGGTATGTCCTGACTTCTTGCTCAATCACCCCGCGAATGTCACCGCCACCGCCATTGCCACTGCTATTGTTGCTGCTGCTGCCAGTGTCGCTGATGCCTGCAGCCGCTGTCCTTGGCAGGGTCGACATTTCGGTCGGTCGGTAGCTCGTATCGCTAGTGTCACGATGATGCAGTGACAGTTCTGCAGGTACTCGCCGTCTCCGTGTCGATCGCACGCGGTTAGGGAGATTGGATGGGTTTGGTGCTGCGCCAGCAGCGCCTGTGTTGCCATAGCCCACACCACGTAGTCCACCAACATGACCAGGGATTTTGAGACCAACTTTGCTATGGAAAGCAGATCTTCGTCCTTCTTCGCCGCTATTATCTTCATCGACAACTGCACTTGCTGACATGGATCCGGTGGCAGGATAGGAGGGGTATCTTGAGTGCTCCAACGACGCCTCGGGGTCCAGACTAAGGTTTGAGCTGGCTAACGATAACGTATTGGACACGGTCGAGTTGATGGAACGTCGGTCAGCAGGAATGGCCGATTCGGCAGAGTAGGACCTTGACCGGGTAGGTGCGCTTGAGCTTACATTGCTCACAAAGCCGCCGCCATCCATTGTGGTAGCAGCTGGGTAATACGGTGGATATTCATCGTTGGTGTTATATGATGAATAGGTAAAGTAGGATGATTGAGAGTGACTTGGCTTGTGTTTGCCGATATGCTGTTGTCGACGGGTTCGATGCATCTCGTCTGAGTTATACGTTACTGAGCCGCCTTGTCCTCCTTGTTTATTGACTGCATATCCATCATCAAATGGATTATCCAGCGCGGATGCAAATGGATCTGCGAATGAGCCTGAGCGAACACTTGCTGTCGGCGATGGATCCTCGAATGGATCGCGCTGTCGTCTTAAACCGTCGACGTTCCTTACTGTGCCATACATGTCGACAACCGAAGCAACCGGCTTAAATCCGCTCGTAGTACTCTTTCCGACACGTACACTGTGATGACCGTTGTTTCTGAGTTGAGCAATAGGTGGCGTCGATATATTTGGATCGAGCAACGAGTTAGAATGCCATGAGTCGGTCGAATGAATGCTCGCTCTGCCACTGACAAAGCCTGTAAAGCCAGTGAAGTTGGAATCGAGTGCTACAGCTTCTTGCATTGCACGCTGATATGCCTTTTCAGCTTCAAAAACTTCAAATTCGTTAAGTCGCATGCGTGGTACCAGTTCCTCGTCAGATAATTGCTTTTGCTCCGAGTAATCGTCGTCTGATGGTTCGTCTCGTTCGTGGTCAACGACTCCATGTAATCGTCCCCGACAGCCATTAGAAGTAGGCCAGACATCATACCATCGTCGAGCATAATCGCTACACCATACGGCCACGAGTGGAAACCAAACAGCAAATAGTGGTACAGAGAACAGTCCATAGATGACAAACCACAGAACGTACTTGAACTGGCGTCGAACGATAAAATAGATGATGTGTAGGGTAATCAGACACGTAAAGCTGAGGGCGATGATAGCATAAGCTAGGTGGCGCGACATAAAAAATCGTATGTAGACGCTGTATAGGTAGATGATGATTGGTACCGAGAATATCATGTCCAAAAGTTTGGTGAACGAGATGATCCAGCAGCCAATACCCACGTCCCACGCAATCCGATGCATTTCGATTTGGTTGTGGAAAGTCGAGCGAAGATTACGAGATTGGAGCGCCTGGAGTGCAAAGATGTTTGTCGGCAGGGTGACATAGCCTACTGCTTCTGGTTCAAAACCAAGGCGATGTTGAGGGTGTGATCGTAGGAGCACAGTGCTGAGATACTGTTCTTCACCTAGGAGCAGAACATTTTGCATATGAAGCGTGTCTGGTTGTGGTGCCGCAAAACCCCTAAGAACCGTCGGATGAATGCAGCACGGCCGAATGCCAGCATTGGGTGCCAAAGACAGTCGTGACTCTTCGCCGGTTGTCATACTACGGGTATCGCTATCGTCGTGTGCAGGATCTATTTCGTCGCTAACTTTGGGCCATTTGCTGTGTGATCGTATTGTCTGCTGAGACGTCGAGGTACTACTGATGCGTTTGAGGTGTTGCCACCGGGACGCTTTCGATGATTTTGGTTCATCGGGTACGTTCTCAGTCCAAAGCTTGTACATGACAAAGCCGCCATTGATAGAGATGACCGTGCCAAGAAACGCCTCGTACGCAAGACCGGAGTAAAACGTTTGATAAAGCGGAAAAATCTGGAGCATTGTCGTAATGTTCTGCTCTGGGTTGGCAGGTCGGACGTGCCCGCTTATCGCCAGCATCTTGCGATCTTTTTCCAACCGTGAAACCATCTTTTGTACCACGTCGCCTTGTACCTGCGTGTCCGCATCCGTGACCAGCATATACTTGAAATTGCGTGGGTTGATCCCGAGGACGCTGTAACATTGGTTGAACAGTTCGTATTCTAGTGGTGTCATCCTGTTGCTAGCCAAATTCATGCAGCGTTCCAAAAATCCCAAAACAAGCACCATTGAGTCCCTTTTGCCACGATTGCCTGGAGCGCATTGTGCCAATGGCGCTTCTCGTGCAGCTCCTAGTTTAACGACGACCAGGTATGGCACACGGTTACGTCCAGTTTCATAATATCCCGAGTACACTTTTGCATAGTTGATCCGTTTTCGGTTTTGGCCGAGTGAAATGTATGGCTGTGATGCCGGATCGTCGGTGCCGCTGTATCCTAGTAATTCGAGAACGCAAGCATACGTCTCCTTGGAATCTTGCTTGCTATTTGTCAGACCATCGCAGACAAACATTAGCAGTTTTCTCGAATCTTCATAATGCGTCCTTGCCAGCGATTCTATAGTTTGTTTGATGGTTGTGCTTGGTTCGGCGTAACAAGGGACCATGAGAATTGTGTGGGGCCAGGTGCTTCTCATAGCCGAAGAAAGTTCCGGTGTGGATGAGAATAAAAAGCGCTGCATGATCTGCAGCCTACACAGATGCGCTAAATGCATTTTGAGGAGAAAGTACAAAAGTCCTACACCCATAGTTGCCCATAATGCTGGATTGACATTTTTGCATCCGGATGGTTCCGCCTCTTCGATGATGCCTTTAAAGAACAGCTCGTCAAGACATCTTTCATAGAGATTTGGATTCGTTACGTTGTTGGTAAAGTATTCGCTAATGTCTTCGCCAAGGCTGATAAACAGGAGCATGGTGACGTCCAGCGGTAGAAACATGCGATCCAGTGCAAAGGCACGCGAGTAGACTCCTGATGACACTTCAACAATATCGGTTGCTGTTTCGAGGTAAGACGTTACGTCGAGTACTTTGCCGTTCAATACTACGTATGCTTTGCCTAAAGTGTCGGGCGAAGAGAGTGTCGTAAAGTTGCTAATGTCATCCATTTGATACACAATATCTGTATAGTAATGAATAAAAAATAATTATAAGCACGTCATTCCAATCATTATGTATGAATGTGAAATAGGGATTAAGAATAGAAATTCAACAAGGGGTGTTTGTGTATAATGTATACAATACTGACCTCCCTTCAATGGCAATGCATTAAAGGGCCAAGAGTAACAGGGTGCACCGGAAACAGTTGTATCGTTGGGATAGGGACACTTGAGCTCGTTGCCGTCGTATCGATAGCCACTGTCATTTGCAAGTTTGTATGTCAGCCATTTATCTGCTTGAGCCGATCGGTCTGTGTCTCCTCCCGCAATGCATCGTCGTAATGTTGGATTCCGGTATGTGTCCAATCCTTTTCGGTCCAGCATTAAGAATGTTGGAAACATAGGGGAAACGTCGAGTCCATTGTACGGAACAACTTCTTTAGCAATGCGCGATGAATCTTGGTACTTGGACCATTCTGCTGCCTGGCCATTAAGTGCTATGTATTTCGATTCGTTTTTAAATACGTCGCCTTGCGGTACAACGTCTTCGCTGTCGCAGAATAGTGTTGAAACGTATTCGATCCAGAACAGAAAGAACCCGACTAATGCAATGAATAAAAAACAGGTCGTAATCTTTTCACGCCATGCTTGACGAGCAGCTAAAGAGAGAATTGTTATATAAATTAAGGATTCAGTATATTATACAGACAGTTGGTTAACGCTATTATTGTTGCCATTGCTGTGAAATGCTGTTTTGCAACCAATAATAACAGTACCAGTAAAACTATTCAACTAATAGTATAGGATTCATACCTGCAGTGTGTAATCCCACAATATATTTCAGTACAAAATCTGGAAAGATTATTGTACATATACGGGAGAGTAGCACCCAAGCAATGCGACGACAGGTAAGTGTGCGCATGTAGTTGCTCTTCCTGAGAGTAGAGAATGTTCAGAAGGAATCGTTGTGTTCTCTTGCCAACCGCAGGCTTTCCGGCTCTTTTTTACGGGCTGGGTACGAAATTTGCTTCATAAGGTTCCATAAGGAAATATACATTTCGTTCGATCAAAACCTTGTTAAATTTACTCTGAAAACGTAAGCTGTTGCTTTTACTGCTCAATGCTTCAGGTGACTCGGGGTATGCATTAAAGACACTCTTAGGATTGCTTAGCCTATGTACGCTATTCAGAATGACCGTTCCGCCAAAGATACACGAAATGATTCTCATTTTTGATCACTTCGTCCCTCACCTTGTCGTCTTCTTGTACTCGTACTACGTGGCTGCCCTCAGTGAAGCTGCTGAGCCAATTTAATGATTGGGGAGTAATTGATAGAGCAATCATATACTAGTTGGCTTGGAAAGAGCCAATCGAAGCGGACCATACTAATATAGCAAAAATTGAACATTGGTACTGGTGAACCAGCCGTACGGTACGCAGCAGCGCAGGTGAATCACCAGAAACTACAGTCAGCACCAAGTAATACAGCCTACTTTCTCGATAAAGAAGGGGCTCATTCCAAAAGTGTCTGACAAGTCATACTTTATTTGTTGGCCGGTGCTAATGAAAGCTTTAATAACGCTGAGTTACCGAAAGGTATTGTTTATTTAGAACGCATGATACGGGTTTTAATTTGGCGCTGACTTTCTTTTTAAATTTTATGAGAATCATCTTAAGCATGACAGTTTCAAAGCGCCCTTGGGCTTGCTATCAGAGACTAACACAGCGAGCCTTTCTCAGAGTTATGCTACAGACTTAGTATGTAGGCTCATGGGATGATGTCCTTGAGCACCTGTTTAACTTGCTATTGGAAAGAGCTGATGTCATTGATTCTATAGGTTTGAATAGAATGTCATTTGAAGTAGTATAGCAATCCAAAATTGCGCATGCTACTGATCAATGCTCGTAGTACTTAGTATTTTGAGCGCCTAGTTCGCCATCTTCAACTTTATTCGAGTACATACGGCGCCTCTGATACAGTGCTTCTCAGATACGCATGAACGAGTCGCTCAACGTTTTGACAAAGGCACATTGTCCCAGCAACCGTAAACTCCGCCGTCAGAAAAAAAAAAGATTTTTTTTTTGGTAAGCTTAAGTATCCTTTGTTGCTTGCCTTTTCAATGACATCCTTGCAGGATCAACTCAAGCGCATCGGCACTGCCGATTTACGCAATGTCACTGAAGGGACAAGAAGACACAAAGCTTCGTTCTTATTTACTTCAAAAGAAGCTGCCGACCAGGATCTCGAAACGATCTACTCGATCGCACACAATGGTATCATGGAGCTCGTGATTCTTGACAGCAAGTTCGCACCTTTCCAAAAGACGTTGTTTTCCGAGAAAATGAAGGGCTACGATCGTGTGCTTCAGGTAAATGCTACCTTCTCTAATACAGTCATTTGAATCATCAAATACGAATGAAACTTTCTGAAAAGATATTTACATAATGCATTCTTTTATATTTGTATAGACTGCCGAAGAGAACGCAAAGTTGGATAAGAGCATTACCGCCTTTTTACATCAGCTCTCGCCATACTTTTTGCTCAAACCAGCTGGAAAGGCCGTTGAATGGCTGATTCGTCGTTTTCGTGTTCACGACTTTAACGTCGAGGCAATGCTCGCTTGTATCCTACCCTACCACGAGACCAAGTCATTCGTTCGCATGGTGGCATTGCTCCAGATTCAGTAAGCAGATACTCTTCGACTTGAGGGCTACAATGTGTGAGAAACCTGGCCTATGCCTAATGCTCGTTATCTATCGTTATCTATAGGGAGAATACTTCGTGGTCATTCCTCTTGCCTGTGAAAAAGAGCAACATTCCACTGGATAGGTCTATGTTGATCAAGGCAATGAAGAAGAGCCGACGTATCCTCAGCTTTGTATGCAAGACCGTCATTGATGCACCAGTACCATTCCAAATCTTGTATTCGTTTTTTGCTGCTACACTCACCGACTTTGTCAACGCTACCAACAGAGTTACAGACGATACAATGGTTGCCCTGTTGCCTTATTTGATTGACTCTGTGGCTCGTCGCCAGAATCCCGAACTCCAGATTGCAGCATATATGGTCGTATCCCAACTGTGCTCTCGTGAAGCGCTTAGCCATGATGCTCTTGTTTCGATCACGAACAAGATGCTCATGAATTACAGCGAAAGTTTCTTCAGCCATTGTTTGCTTACGATTGTCCACATCGCCCAATCACAACACAGCTTCCAAGGGTTCAGCCACAAAGCCGTCAAACGTATCTTTAACGCACCAGCCTTCGAGACCTGCTTCCTTGATATTGCCCAAAAATATGCAATTGATCGTTTCATGTCGCTTACCATGACTGAATTCTGCAAAGCAGTTCCCAATTCGGAAAAGAAGGCTGAGCTGTTGAACAACCTTGCGGTGGAGGGTCTGTTATCCCACGACAACATCCGCTTACTTTCCAGCTGTGCTATCAAGGGCTATCTCGAACTTGAAGAGCCCGCATCCGAATCCGGCACTGCATACATTGACGCTTTCCGCCCCCTTCTCGTAACTTTATCGCAACGCTATATCGAAGATTTGGACGTCGTTTTGGAGGAAGAGATAAAAAGCGTCCAAGATGATACTGTGCAGTCCAAGGCACTCTACGAATTCTCTGCAGCTGGTTTCAAGGGTACTGGCCATGAGATTGTACAAGAAGCGAACACCACTCTGTACCTCAGCTTGAACAGCCCTGCTGCGTCCACTCGTTTGCTCGCGATGAAGCGACTTGTCAACGTAATTGGGGACAAGGATAGCCCATTGGTTCAGGTATGCGTTTATTATTTAATCATTCAACCAAAAGAGTTGCTTGAAATTTACACTGCTTATAGAACCCCGAAATCATCGAATCTTCTTTGCTGGGATGCTTGGAAAGCTTCAACGAGCTTCTGTTGTACGTTGTCTGTGATATTCCCAATCACTTGCTCAAGTTTGTCCCTGGCCGAAAAATCCTCGCATCACTATCCCAGTTGCTGCAAGAACGTGGTGCATTCCGCAAGGAAGCTGTTCCTGTTCTCAAATTCCTTTTGGGTGATTTTAGCAAGCAATACCCTAAGCTGTCAATCGATGTTGCACGCATCTTGGCCCTCTTTGTCTTCGCTGCACCCGGACAATACGTCAAGAGCCTCGTCAAGCAAGTGAAGGACATCGAGCTGGATGGCAAGTCGGCACTTGGTCAACTCTTGGGCCACTTGCGTGAGATTCTGCAATCGGTCAAAGAAAAAGAAGAAGATGTCGACTCTATCAGCAAGCTATTCATCATAAAAGAAGCCAGCAGTTTCACGACGTCGCCAAACTTCTGGACAAGCATGATCGGAGAAGGATCTGCCCCTCAGAAGATCATTGCTCTGTTGGTTGTCACTCAAGCTATGAAGGGTTACTCCAACGCATCGAATTATATGCTCATCACTCACCATATTTTGGATCCAATGTCCAATGACGAGAAGGTCGCTTTGTATGAAACCAAGTTGCCTGCTTCTTTTACAACCACTGATGGCACATTACCCGACAAGACCGTCAGCATGTTGCGCAAGTTCCATGACCTCCCAAAGGCAGCTATGACAAACCTGACTCAGTACACCTTCTCTGTCATGGTTACATCTCTCAAGGCTGAAACCACGAGTGTCGACTGGTTTAATATGAGCGAGAAGGATCAGCAGTACGGGGCTCTTTTGAAGAAACTTTTTGAAACCTTTGTGCGGGGACCTACTCTTGGATGCTTTGAAAGCATGTTATCCGCTTTGGTAGCACGACATTTAAAGGAAGACGTTTTTGCATTCTTGATGAGCATATGGATTGATCAAGGTTAGTAAAATTAATTTAGAAGGGTGTTTTGCGCTAGTTACACAAGTCTAACGTGTCTACTTTATAGGTTATTCTGCTGCTGTTAGAGCACGCTCGTTACAAATCGCTGCATCACTTATGCGTCAGTATGTCGATGGCGACAATGATCTTCAGCATCTCATTCCGTCCCTTATCGCCTCGCTCCAAGACACCGAGCAGCGTATCCGTCTATGTGCTACCCAGTGCCTGCGTCAATTGCGTCGCTTGTACAGTCGACACGGTCTCATTGCCACCAAGAAGGACGACAAGACTCAAGCTAATGGTGGCAAGAAAGCCAGTGGCCTGTCTATTTTGAGCGCTAATACCATCTATGCAAAACAGGACATGGCGATCAAGGATATTCGGACTCAATGCGCAGCCAATTTTATTGAAGTTATCTCGAACAGAAGCCACGAAATTACCGAAGACCACGCATGTATATTCAAGCTTATCAGCGACTTTTTCCTTTCCAGCGAAGCATCTAAAGACAAGCAAACCAAGGCGCAAGGAACTGCCATTTTGAACTTGTTGTTGGATCATATCAAGAAGTCTCCATCAACCCATATTCAAGTCTCTCTTCTCACCTTGCTTGACGACATTCATTCACCACAAAAATTGCAAGGTGTGCTACCACTATTGGACGTCAAGAGCATAAGCCCGACGTTGATTGGTCTGCTTATTCGATGCTACTTGCCGCAGAATGCCGCACAGTTTGGCAAGGCAGGTGACAAGTCATTGCCCTTGTTTCTGCAGTTGCTGCAAAACAGTAGCACCTTGCAAGGCGAAGATGAAGACGGCTGGCAGGTGTCGACTCGACGCTGTGCGCTTAAGCAGATCTCGCCCGAATTTTTCCAGAATGCCAAGGAAAAGGTTCAGCGGGAAATTTTTGGTGCACTTGTTGATATTGCAACCAACGCGGAACAGCACGATGTTCATTTGGCCAAGAAGGTCTTGGGTGAAATCCGTATCCCTGTCAAGTTGTTCGATGAGTTTTTGACATCTGTTGTCAGCGCATTGAATCAAACCATTGCAGATACCGAAGCGACTGCAAAGCGTGCTAGAAAGTAAGTTTTTAAACTTTGCAAAAGTTAGTTAGCGATAGTTAATAATTCACCATTGTTTATCGTACTTGAATAGGGAAAAGCAGCGAAGTGCTGTCGACTTGTATGAGTTGGTCACGGTCCTCGAACTCATCGAATCAACAGTAATTGAACACGATGTATTGCTTGTCAAGCGACTCTTTGACACGCTTGCAGCCATGATCAATGCCGAATTGCGCGATGCACCAGTCTCCTTGGAATACATCAGTCAATTAATCATGTCTTCGCTTACTCGTATCATTCGCACAGCTGAAGGTCAAAAGGAATCTCTTGAAGAATCCACGCTTCGTGTGGACTCTGTTGTGCAGTGTATCCGTACCACGAGCAACCCACAGACGCACAATCAAGCGCTTTTGCTTATGGCTACCATCGCCTCAATCTACCCCGAGACTGTTTTGCACAATATCATGACCGTGTTTACATTTATGGGTGCCAACGTACTTCGCCAGGACGACAATTACAGTTTCCAGGTCATTCACCAGACTCTTGAGAAGATTATACCACCCTTGGTTGAATCCAGCCGACGCAATAGCAAGAGCCAGGCAGCCATCACGTTGCAGATCAAGCCTATTATCAAGGTGTTTGTCGACGCGCTTATCCATATTCCCAAGCATCGCCGTTTGCCACTCTTCACGGTACTCATTCGCACCTTAGGAGAAGGAGAATTCTTGTATGCCATCATTGCCCTGCTGCTTGAAAAATATGCAGTCCGATTCTCGAAGGAGGACGATTCCGAGTCTCTAGCAGAGTTCTGCAAGGCCATCAGCCAGCAATTTAGCGCAGAAACCCAAATAAATGCCGTCTATTCACTGCTCAACGATCTGCATGTCCTGCCAAACGACAAACCACAAGAAGACAACGAAGACACAGAAATGGCATCGATGACAACCGTGTTTGATTTGAGTGAACACAGTGCGAAGGACCTCCGCCGTTACAAAGTCATTGTGCTCAACTATATCGACCAGTTGCTCGTTTCGCGAAGCTTCCTTGCCAAGGTCATCGAAGGCATGAATGTCGATCCAGAGTTCGAAGAGAAGATGCAGCCCAAATATCTGCAGACTGTCGAATTGCTTCTTAAAATTTTGTCTTACTTTGGCAACTTCCGCGAGCGTTATGCTGTTTCCGAAGGTGCAAAGTCGGGCGTTGTCAAGTTCTGGCGTAGTACGATCAAGGTTGTTTATGACGTACTGGATCGCGTCAACGGTCTTCTATCGCTCAAGACGTTTGTTGATGTCGTGTCGCACTTGCTGAAGCATGCAGATGCTACGGTACGACGCAAGGCCATGAACTTATTTAACGAACGCGTGGCCGTCTTTGAGCAAAGCATTTCTAGCGAAGAGGAAGAATTGCTTGTCGGCATGACCAAGGAGTTCATTGCAGCTATCGAAAACGAGTCGCGCTTGGGAACTGGTGACGAAGACGGCGCCATCAACAAGCAAAGTGCGCTGCTTTGTATTTCAACCTTGGCTCGATTTTCTGGAAACGTATATCCTGCTCCATTCGTTGACGGTCTGCCTGTTATTTTGGGACCGGACTGTTTGCAGTTGCCCAACATTCAAGTCAAAATTTCAAGTTTGTCCTGTTTGGCTGTCATTTGGTACGTTGTGCTAATATATCAAGTGTGATATGAGTTAACTTAGATGTTATTGTATTATAGTCAAGCGACAGGTCCACGGTCTATTCCTCATCTTCCAAAGTTTATGCCAGTTATTGTGGAGCTACTCTCAAACAATATCAAGGCGGAGAACCCCAGCATCATGCTTCGTCTTGCGATTGTGAGCTGTTTGGAAACGGTTGTCGAGGAGCTACCTCATTTTATGAGCCCTTACATTCCCAAGATATTCAATGGATTGCTCAATTCAGACATATATGAGCATGATGAAGAAGATCCTCAAACCGCTTTGGTCGAAAACAAGGTTACCGAAGTCTTGTCAAAGATGGCTACCAAGATTCCTCCTCGTGTTCTTCTTAACCCTGTATTTGCATGCTATGAGTCCGCCATGTCTCAGGGTAAAAAGGTAAAAACAGTTCGACTACCTGAAATTTTTGGGAAGCTGTTGTGATAAGTAATCGGTATACTAAGTACTGCATCCTATCTATTCTTATTTAGTCTGCATTGGCTGTTGTTTCAGTGGTCTCAGATGCTGTACACACAATGAGCAACGACGTGATGGTCTCCCACTACAAACAGATTTTCAAATTTTTCTTGATGGCATTTGATGTGCGTCGACAATATGGCGATAAGTTTAACGACCTTGATATCGGCGAGCTTGAAAGCGCTATGATCAACGTCTTTTTGGATTTGGTCATGAAGCTGAACGAAACGCTGTTCAAGCCACTGTACCTCAAGATTGTGGATTGGGCTACTGTCGAACTGGCCGAAGAAAAGCGCGAGGAATCAGAGAAGCGTGTTCTCTTCTTCTACAAGCTGTTGGATTCCTTGTTCGATCGCTTGAAATCGATTGTTACACCTTACTTTGGTTACGTGGTTGATGACGTGATTAACCGCTTGCAGCAATACACTTCTGGCGAAGCAGGAGCGCCTGGTGCTTTGTGGAACTATATCATGCTGTCATTGCGCAAATCGTTCCAATACGACAATGATAACCTGTGGAACGCTAGCAAGTTCGACAAGGTTCTGGACCCTGTTGTGGAGCAAATGATGTTTATGGGTGAAAACGAGTCTCCAGACCAGTACCTGACAAGAATGTCGACCTACTTGGTGCCTTGCTTGGGACAAATGGCCCAAACTGTTGCAAACGATACGCTTTGGAAGCCAATGAACTACAAGGTGTTGATGAAGACCAGAGAAGATGTGCCAGAAATCCGTTTGGCCGCACTTAAATGTTTGGAAGAGTTCTACACCTGCATGGGTGAAGAATGGCTCTTGTTCTTGGCTGAGAGCATCTCGTTCCTCGCGGAACTTATGGAAGGTATGTTCATTTCTCTCTCTCTCTTAAACAAATTGTTTTACTTTTTGCATACTCACTCTCTCGTGCTTGTTTCTTTTTAGATGATGATCGTCGTGTGGAGAAACTTGTACAACAAGTAAATGCTCAAATCGAGTTGCACTTGGGCGAATCGCTCGACAAGTTCTTCAATTAAATAAGCCCTTGTTCTATTAGCATATATCAGCCATACACTTGTAAAATAGCAGTACATTATTGCATTTCATCGCATCAAAAATTAAATTTATGTACACCCGAGTGTGTCTCGAGAGTTGCATCGCTAAAAGTTTTGGTTGTATCAAGGGACTCACGCCGTTGTCGGAATACTTTTCAATCATAGATGCAGTATCAACCAATGGGAGCATGTGCAGTCAGGCACCATTTTGCTTGACAATCGTTTCCATAACTTTGCATCGACGGACTGCTCACGGTTGATCCGAAGTGAGCACTATAGGAAGGGTGGCATGGATGTGCTTCACACACATATACATAGAACGATCCCATTTTGTCGAGCCCAAGCTGTCCCTGTGTGTGTAACGCTATCGAATTTGAAATCCAGTTGTACAGTACAGCTTATGAATTTAGGGTTTTTACGCTCTCTCTTTCCCTGAGTGATTCCTCGAGACGTGTTACCGAATGGACTTGGCAACAAATATAACCTCATCCTGCCGGGTGCGAGTTTTGCTGGTTCCCGTTCCTCCTATCAAAACGTCTACCTTCTGGAAACATGTTGAGCTGGTCAAGAAATTTAGCGTTGTTCGACTCGGCGATGTTACGCCCGACCTACAAAAGGGTGCAGGCGGTAATATAAGCATATACTGACTCAAATAAACATTGCCGGGGAAAAGACGATTCTACAAAACACGGAATGGGTAAGGAAAACGAACTGAACGAACTGTTTCGCTGTGTAGCCATGTTCAGCAGTCAGGTCTTCCAGGAAGGCCAAATGCACTTTCAATTCACGACAACATATACACGCGATCACGCTCATTTGGAAGACTTTCAACCTCATCGTAGGATTTTTGGCGTAAGTGACACGAATACCAGTACTCCAGGTACTGTACTAGCCCTTTTATTGACAAGTGCTTATATATGCTTTAGGTTATTGGTGTTATGGATTGTCAGGAGTGGAAAGATAAGGACCTAAGTGAGGGATATAAGCATTTCGTCGATACGTTGCATAAGGTCAGTACACATATAGTGAATGAGTTATCATATATCTTAATACATGCAACGTGTATAAAACATAGTATCCCACGGCAATCGCGACTCGCTGTTTTGCATTTGATCCCACAGAGACGCAGCCAGATGATACAAAAGGGTTGATAATGATTCCCAATGTCGGTAACATGTCTTTTTACATGAGTACCATGATATGCGACTTTGCAAGCGAGATACTCAGCCAGTTTTCGATCTTGGTAAGCTAACTTGTGTGAGATGAAATTGGGATCGGGCGTGCATATTGCATGCTACTTGATGTCTGAAGGATGATATTACATTTACATTTGCTATTTTTATTAACATAAATCTAAAGGCGAATCGAATCGAGAACCTTCCCTCACTGGAATCCCCATTGCCTCGGTCATATTATATTACACAGCAATTCGAAGCTACAAACAACAACGGCGTTATGCCTCAGCCATCAGTTAGTACACCAGGAACGCCTTACAACAATCATCGGCAATCACAACCTCCAAAACCAACGCAATCCTCGTCATCATCCTTATTGAAACGTGCATCAACTCCGGTTGGCAATATTAAGCCTCCACCATTGAATCATCATCCACAAACACCGCCTCTACCACAACAACAATCAACGTTCTCACCTAAACTACCTCGCACACCCATGTCTCCACCTCTCCCTTCTCCACAACCAACGATGACGCGATCAACGAGTACGCATGGTCAAGGCGAGAGTGGAAAAACAAAGAGAAGAACACCTGGTCGCGTCAAGAAATTATTGGCAGATTTGTATTTGCTGGCAGGTCGTCTACCAGATGCAGTCAATCAGTATGTAACTTCACTCGCACAAACTCTCATATCGAAAGTAAGGACAGGGATATTAAAAACTCACACTTCATTACAGCTATAGCCAAGCAATCGAATTGACGAAAACTACATCGGACTATCTGTGGCTGGGAAGTGCTTTGGAAGGCTTGACCTGTGCCACATTGTTACTGGAGTATCTGCATGCGGATGTTGGGGTAAAGCTTTTCAGTAATAAAAAGGGAGTGGTTGGGATAAAAAAGGTAAGGTCAAGGGAAAGACACTAAATGCTACCATGATAATAGCATATTGTATCCAGAACACAAAGCGCACCGGGAGATATACCAGGAGAGACGCCGTCGTCTCCGACGAGCGAAGTTCCTCCATCGTCTTTACTTGGTGGACCACGATCTACTCTTTCAGAAGTAATGCAGCGCTATGCCTCCTTAATCCAATATTATAGTAAAGTCAGTACCACGTCGACGGTCCCGATGCCCAGCTTGATTTATGCGGAAACGGCGATCAAAATGTCTCGCTTTTTGCTGACAGTATATGCAAATGGGGGTTGGAGCGACAAGGTATTGAATCTGTTGATCCAAGGCAGATTAAATGGCGAATCTTCGACAGACACAGTTACCGGACCTCAGCGGTTCATGTCTGTCGATGACATTATCAAACACAAAGAAAGTGGTATACCCCGACATGATATCGCAGAATGGGTGACCAAGGTTTGGACAGCTCGGTTGGATGACTTGTCATTAGTGGATCAGGTAAAGTCGAGGAGAGAAAACTTTATGGCGACTAACGTTTATGCAAAATACTTTTTGACAACTCACCAAAAGAGAGTAGATCAACATAATGACGCATATGTCAAGTGTTTTGAACGCTATTGGTTATCATCGAAAGTCGGCGTGGCTGATGTATGAAAGTGTTAATCGTATGCTGCCTTTGTTGATTCAAAGTCGAGCGACGTTGGCAAGCTCACGCGATCAAACCAAAAAGGACCATAGCAAGAATGATGACGGTATTCTCCAAGTTCTGAAGCGTATATGTGAGGTGTATGGACTAGGAGGTAAAGTTGTTTTTGTAGATATAGCTCGTGCTTCTGGAATTTTTCGTACTCATGGCTCCTTTATCATTTCAGAACGTAATGTCCATGACGGTGGTGCTTTGGGCGCGCTACAAGGCCAGGATGATGGTTCTAACAAGCAAAGGGATGTCGAGGATGGTGTGCGAGGTGCTGTAGCCAAGGAACAATTACGGTTCGGCTGGCCGAAACTTCAAATTGATATCTTGCGTCAATGTATCGCAATTGCTGAAGCATTACCAGGTAACAACTAAATGCTTGTTTCAGAATTCGTGCGGTTGCTTATCTTTTTATATGGTGATAGATTACGGTGCCGTCCTTTACTATACAACAGTGCTTTTGAAGAACCTATACCAGTATATCTCAAAGGATGAGCAAATTCGTTTGGCAACTTCAATTCAGCGAATTGTGGCAATGGGGAAACGTGTGGGCCAGGTCGAAAGCAACGTGAACTATTGGGGCGTCAATATCGTCTCTAACATCGAAGCACTCCTCCCCATCCCACGCAAGGCCGTATATCAGCATCCCATCGCGGACAGCGTGGCAGCAGCAGCTACTACTCCAGCAGCGAACGGCGATCCTTTTATATACAATCCATTCACTCAAAAGCGTAACGAAAAGGTGACTTGCATTTGCAGCTCTATTTTCACTCACTGTTTTCCACTAACAGTGCTACCATTCTTTTAGCCACAAGTAATCTTAGTGAAGGATGAAACTTGTGAATTCAAAGTGACGTTATCCAACCCATTTGGGTTCGACTTAGAGCTCCAGAATGTAGCATTAAGGTAAATCACTATTACGTTTTGTCCGGATATAGAGACTAATATGTTCCGCCTTTGTATTTTAGCACGACCGATGTTCCTTTTAATGCTGTCCCTGCAACTGCTACCATTCCTGCAAATGGTACATTGAACCTTCGATTGACGGGTACACCAGAAGAAACAGGTACACTCACTGTTCGTGGTTGTATCATCAAAATCGTTGGTTTTGCAGAACAGGAGTTCCTGATCGACTACAGTCAGAAGATGAAGGAAGCGACAAAAGATTCAAGAGGGAGATATACTAAAGAGGAGCAACCAAAGAATGAGCTTATCAAGCTGAAGCGAAGGTAAATTTCATCGTCAAACGGCTTGATAAGATGCCATTGGCTAATGACTACGGTCTTTAGTGGTTTGAACGCTTTACAGACAAGTCGCAAGCGAGAAACTTCGGATGAACTCAAACCAATCCAGTTCTATGAACTTAACGTGATTGACGACCAACCGCTTCTCAAGATCAAATCTACATCTCTGCTACATGATGCTGTGATGCTCTACGAAGGGGAAATGTAAGACACTCGTCGCAACGATTGCGCAACAGATGGCATGTACTTAAACAGCATAAAAAACCTAGGACACATATTTCAATCGAGCTCGAGAACATTGGTAATATCCCAGTCGACTTTACGAGCTTATCATTTGTGGACTCAACCACCGCCAACCCGTTGCCAGTGAACCCTGAGCTACCGATGGAAGAACAGTACGAAATAGAACTGTATACAAAGGGGATGCACGTATTTTCGTGGGAAGGATCTAAAGACCAAATGGCACAATTTGTGGGCAAAAACATACAATTACCACCTGGTGGACAATGGAAGATCATTGTGAATGTGTATGGCAAGCGAGGCTGTACCGGTGGTACGATCCAGATTGATTACGGTTATCTAAACCGCAAGGAGCAGTCTTCTTCAACATCCTTTTACACCCGCCAGCTTTATCTGCCAGTCCTTGTTACAGTTTATCAGAATCTGGAACCTCTCAACTGGGATATTCTGTACCTACGACACAGCGCACCAGTGCCCAAAAACGAAATTGACAGTGCACTGCAGCGCATATCAGCCATTGATCTAAACAAAGGCAACGCATTTGATCAACCAATCGAGGATCTACTGCTTATAACGCGCCACTTTGACGACGAGAACAACCGAAACGATTATTGCTTGGTGACGCTGGACGTCCGCAATACTTGGACTGTGCCTTTTGATGTAGAGTTTGTTATTGACAACAGCGATCTCGAGAATACAGATAAGAAGTTGACATCCGTTGTGACTATTCAGCCTGGATCCACTAAGCGGTAAGGAAAAAATGAAAAATGAATTCAATAGATCAAAAGAAACAGTTGGGACATTGTTCTTTAACAGTCCATGATATAATATATCAACAGAGTCACTGTCCCTGTCAAGCGACTGTTTTTGGATGTTGAAGAATGCCTGAAGCCTGTGCCATCACTGGAACCGAACAAACAATTTGTTGTTTCACAAGGGCCAAAAATACCTCCGGAGCAAGAACGAGCACGTCTTCAAATGTTTTGGTACCGTGAAAGCCTGCTCAAAAGGATCCAGGCGACATGGCGTTGCTGCTCGACAGGTCGTCACGGTATCCTAAATCTGAGACCCTCGCTGCGACTGACTCCCATGCAATTGAGCATTCTGAAAAAAGAAGATATCGAATTCATTGTCGAGATGAAGGGCAACGTGAAAAAGGCTACACATCGACGTTTTGAATGCAAATGCAATGACTTTGTTACCATGGAAGTCTCCATACACAATCGTCATGGTAGCTATTATTACGCAAAGAGAAAATATTCATTGCATCATTTTAAGCATTGCAACTCACGCATCTCGATCCTCACATAGTGCACCCTGTTAAATTAATCCTTCGTGTACAGCCTGTACAAAGCTATGATGATGGCGCAAAAGAGTACGACTTATCGGGAAAGCTGCTAATGCAAGGGCTACAGCAGGTTGTCCTTCCAGAGGTAAAACGAATTTTTTGAATGGAAAGGCGGTATGTGAACAAATGGACTCGGATAAACTAAAAACTTTTGGATTGTTTGACAGGTGCCACCAAACAACGGCATAGTGACACATCAGCTCCCGTTGTGTTTCCTGTCACGAGGGCAATTTGAATTTCTTTACCATGCAGAAGATGTGCACACTCGAGAAACATACTACGACCATGAGTGGGCTATTATAGATGTTAACGAGCCAACGGCTTGAGAGCGCACGTCGCCAAACTTTGTATATTTAATTTAATACAGTATATCCCCTATTCATCATTTTATAACTTCGGAGAAACATTGCGTGAAGCGTGTGGCAGATGACCTTGTTTTAGCGCATACACTAACAAGGGCGACGGATAGCATCATTGAAAACCGTGGTGTTACCTCCTCTAGGCCATCCGAGCCAGTTATTTACGCTGCATAATGATCGCGATCTAAATCACTGTGATGTAAAAAAAATCAACGAAACCCTTGCAAAACCTCTATAAAAGACCAAAGAGTGCTTTTTTTCAACCGCAATAACTTCTTCAACCAATCGATCGTAACAATTTTCATTATGCCTCAAACACCAGATCTTCAAAACGTCCACCAGCAATTGATGGATATCGCTAAGGAAACACAGGATGTTTCCAAAACTCAGTACAGTGCTAAAGATGTTCAGCACCTCCAGGTATGCTTTTTTATCACGGGCGAGGAGAGCGTTTAAAAGTAAGAATATATGTGAATTACTGTGTCATTAACGCATGGCATTCGTTACAGAACAAGCTTCATCATATCGATGAGCAGTACCGAGAAGGCATCGTTGATGATCGCGATAAGAGCAATCTCGAAGATGACCCGTAAGTTGCCTTAATTTGCCTATCTCGCTAGAGGAAGTTGTTCCAACATCATCTCACATCCTTGCATTATGTGATTTATCATAGCTATGAGCACCCTGGCCAGGCCCAGATCGCCGATGTAAGTTGCATTGTTTTTTTTAGATATTTGTAAAAATATATGTCTGATCATTGTTATTATCACTTAAACAGGCTCTGTCCAAGATCCACTCGGCCTTGTCCAGCATGCTGTCCAGTGTTGAGCAGCAAAGCTAAGAAGCTGTAATGATTTTGATTGTCAATACATCCACAAACACAACAAGCTTGACAAATAAAATAAAAATCTATCATTTTTTTCATTATCTCCGCGAGTTGTCGTTTTCACTATTTCAGTCTTTTAAGTAGCAGAATCTTTTCTATATCAAAATGAGTAGCTGGGATAATCAACAACGTAAGACTATAAGATGAAACATGTAACGCCCGGGTTGGGATAGTCAAGATGCCGATTTTGAAAAGAAACTGAATTCTATGTGCTTAGGTGGATGGGGACAGCAACGAGACGGTTCATGGGACAGCGCACAATCAAACAGTAACAGAGGAGGAGGCAGAGGCAGAGGTCGTGGTCGTGGTCGCGGTGGTGGCGGCGATGCTGGATCAGACGGGTAAGTTAGTTGATCGAAGAACGAATTCCAGCAAACGCCGAAAAAAGAAGAAAGCTTTCTAACTTTATTGTATTGCGCGGCCACACGCATAACCCCCCAACTTCAGCAGCGCACACAACAGGTAGCTTTAGAAAAGATAAAACGACGCAGGGGGAGGTGTGGTTATTATCACATATATGAAAAAGTTATTGACGTGCATAAGTAGATGGAATGAGTACGCGCAGATGAACGCAAGCCGACCACGTGGTGGCGGTGGCGGTGGACGCGGTTATCGTCCTAGCAAGTATGGCATAATCTTTGTTTTCGTACGTCAGAGCTACGGCTAAATTTTCTCTTTATGTTTAGGAACGCACCACAGAATCGTAGCAAGTAAGCACGAAAAATAAACAATCTCATGTGACTAGTGCTATGGCTTGTTAAGTGTTCACACATATCGCTATGTTATAGCCAATTTTCAGGCACATGGCATGAAGGCCCACCTTCCAGTAACATCGACACAACTCGGCCAGAGGACGGGTCGAGGTAAGATAGACCAACATGGGAAGTTCGCAATATCATTATTTGACTGTGCAGAGCATTGTATTAAAACTTGTCCAACACTGTTTTTAGCCAACAAAGCGGCTGGGGCTACAACACTAACCCCACCACCACCACCACCTCATCTTCGTCTTCTTGGGGCACGGTGCCTTCTCAAGGACTAACCACAAGCAGCGGCTGGGATGAAAACAAGGCTTCTGAGACTGCTACTACTAGTAATGTTGGATGGACCTCTTCGGCAAAAACTGGATCTAGTGGTAACGGCTGGGGTTCCTCAGTAAATGCACCAGCTAGCGATAATGGCTGGGGCAGCAAGGCCCTAGATAGCAACAGGTTTGTGTTGATTATCGTGCCAGAAAAAGCAAAGGTTGTAGCTGCTATTAACATGCCGATTTAGCCAATCTCAACCAAGTGGTGGATGGGGCACGAACAAGTCTTCCAGCAGTACTTTGGGAGGTAGTACTTCGGGAGGTAGTACACAAGCAGCAACCGGGTTAGTCTTTTCTACACTGCGTTTATTTCTTGTATGCGAGCAATTTGGAATTAAAGTGAACATCTTTTCCTTCTTTCCGATAGCAGTGGCAGCAGCAGTTGGGGCGCAGCACCTGCACCTGCACCTGCAACAAGCAATAGCGGTGCTCCGACTACGAACAATCAGAGGTAATGAATCAAATAAGTTAAACGATTTAGTTATCTGTTTGATAGCTAATCTTTACATAACAATAGCTTGGGAAGCAGCACTCCCTCAAGCACAAGCGGATGGGGCGCGCCAGCAGAAACTGGAGATGACCAGTCATCAGCCCGTCTGAGTGAATGGGATAAGCCAGCGCAATCGACTAACAGCTTTGGTGTGTCTGGATCTTGGGGTAACATGCAGCTCGTTGAGCCAGCTTCCAACGGTTCCAAGGATGATGGCAGGGGCCAGTGGAAGGATGGGAAGCATGTCATTGGCCAACGCGATGAAATAACAGAGGCGAAGTTGTTCGGAACGGCAGATGATAAGGAGTCGGTGCACACAGGCATCAACTTTGACAAATACGAAGACATCCCCGTTGAAACAACTGGCGACAATGTACCTCCTTGCATCGAGAAATTTACTAGTCCACCCATCGACGAACACTTGCTGGATAACATCAAACTGGCACGCTACGCGACGCCAACGCCTGTTCAGAAATACTCGATTCCTATTGTCACTGTAGGGCGCGATCTTATGGCGTGCGCACAGACAGGTACGATTTCATTCTCCACATCTGACGACGAGGGTAGCACGATATTGCAATCGCAACTACTTTATGTTTTAACAAATGCGAAAATTAGGCTCTGGTAAAACAGCTGGGTTCTTGTTCCCAATTCTTTCGAATTTGTACTTTAAGGGACCCAGCACACCACCCAAGGAACGACCTGGCAGTTTCCGAAAAGCATATCCCGAGGTTTTAATCCTTGCCCCAACACGTGAATTAGCTCTGCAAATTTACAACGAAGCCAAAAAGTTCACCTATCGCTCGTTTGTCCGACCCTGTGTCGCTTATGGTGGCGCGGATATTTCAGCACAATTACGCTTGCTCGGCCGTGGATGCAACTTGCTGGTGGCAACTCCAGGCCGACTTGTTGATATCTTGGAGCGCAGACGATTGTCGTTAGCCAATATTCAGTATCTCGTATTAGATGAGGCTGATCGAATGCTTGACATGGGCTTCCATCCACAAATTCGGCGTATCGTTGAAGAAGAGGATATGCCCGGCCCTGGCAAACGACAAACACTCATGTTCTCTGCCACATTTGCGGACGATATCCAGATCTTGGCGCGCGACTTTTTGAAGGATTACGTGTTTCTGTCCGTGGGTCGAGTTGGCGCCACATCGGAGAATATCACACAGACATTGGAGTAAGTCTTCTTTTTTATTGAAGGAATTTAGGCCTGATTTGCTAATTCTGGATGGAGAATATTGAGAGTTTGGAAGTTTTTTTTTCTTAAATTTAATGAAATTACTTAATTATGACGTTTTATGCATTTGTATAGACTTATTGAAAATGACAATTTCAAGCGTCCCAAGCTGCTGGAAATCCTCAAGGCCGATCAGGAAAAGGGTTTGACACTCGTATTTGTGGAAACAAAACGCATGGCGGACTCTGTATGCGACTACTTGCGACAAAACGGACTCCCTTCGACGGCCATTCATGGTGATCGGGTTCAGTCAGAACGTGAGGAAGCTTTGCAGGCATTTAAGTCTGGCTTTACACCTATTATGGTTGCCACTGCAGTAGCTGCTCGCGGCTTGGATATCCCCAACGTGACACATGTTGTCTCTTTTGATTTGCCTTCCGATATTGACGACTATGTACATCGCATTGGCCGTACTGGACGTGCTGGCAACACAGGACGAGCCACAACATTCTTTACCAGAGGCAATCGATACCTGGCACCAGCAATGGTCACATTACTCAAGGGTGCAAATCAGGAAGTACCCTCATGGCTGGAAACATTGGCAGAGGAAGCAGCGGCCAACCCTTCTCCCCCTGGTGGTTTCCGAGGTGGACGTGGTGGACGTGGACGTGGTGGACGTGGTGGAGGTGGTAGACGCCGTTATGACAGCGATGATGATGACATAGGTCCACGCATGTCATACAGATAAAAATTAAACGTGCAACTACCCACTATTACAGAGCGAACTAGCAGCAAACATATAGGAATGTGTGCTATTATCCTATTCCGATATTCTTATCTTCGCACTTTTTTTTTCTCTTCTTTTTTTTTGGCTTTCCTTTAACACCACGCATTATAATGAAAAGTAACCAATATACTATTTTGCTTCTATTCCTATTTTCTGCACAAAATGTATTTGCCAATCGTGGATCTGGAAAAATGGTGTTGGACACCTATAATGAAACTGTCGATAGCAACACGCCAGCTCCTTTACCAGATGATATACAGCGCATTGGCGTAGCTATGCCAGATAATAGCGAAGAGTCACTATCGCCTATGCCTGGAAATGACGACAATCCCTCTTCACCGATTTTTGATGACAACAACAGTAGCAGCAAAGAGCAACATCCACCAATGCAAGACGGTCGCGGGTATCAAAATAAGCCGCCCATGTTTGATGATAGCGAAAACCAACTCCCACCGATGTATGATGGCAGCAAAGATGATCTGCCACCCTTTCTTGTTGATGACAGCGGTCCAGAAGACCATATGAGAATGCCTGATGACAGCAGCCGTGGACCAGCAGAAAAAGACAACGACGAGTTTATGAAATTGGAACCAAAAGGTGGCTATGAGGAGCCAGTAGGATCGCCAGCATCCGAATCATTCAACGGCACAGCGAACCAAGAAGAAAACGAGTCGATGGAGTCCGTGAGTGGAACACAAGATAGCATTGTTGAGAACAGCAGTAAGTTTTCTTGGGGCGTTGAGAGTCATTTATATTTTCTAATAATCGGGATATTTGAACACTAAACAAACGAGCACGTTTCTTATGGGCATAGAAAATGGCGATGATTCGGCAATGCAGGAAGATAGCGTCGATGAAACGTTTTTGCCTACTAAAATTCAAGCGGACGCCAACCCAGGCTCCGGAATAATACCACCTGTTCCTCAAGTAACTGGATGCCGAACCCAAGGACAAATTGCCGTAACATATGTATGTATCTTACTTTGTCTTGTTAACGTTTTGAGAATACCCGGCTCTTTATAACGCGGTTTACCTGGAATTACAGAGTGAAGGACCTAGCGACGCTACTGCTGGTATAGTACGCCAGTTAAATCATGCAGATGCCCGAGCCAACTTTTTCGTGAATGCTTCCTGGTGGGTAATAACAGTGTCAGCAAACTTATGTAAGCAGAAAGTTTACTAAATAAGAGGGTTTGCGGATGACTGGGAAAATAGGCTTTATACACAGCAGTATGCGATGGTTGTCCAAAACACATACAAAGCGGGCCATTTGATTGGCATGACTTACCGAGTCAAGAACGACGACTCTTCCAAGCTTACCGATGAAGAACTGCGCCGAGACATTATTGAAAAGGCACACATTATTGAGACGCTTATTCACGTGGCACCCAAATATGTACGCCTTCACTACACTGAGCCCGAAGATACACGTACCGAGAACATGTTGAAAAGCCTCGGTTTCATCCTTGTTGGCTATAACCTGGACAGTCAAGACTATGCCCATCGTGACGTCTCTGAAATTTACAGCAAAGCGTTCAGACGTTACAAGGATACGTATGATGCCAAAGGATCGTTTATTTCGGTGCAATACGATATGCCAGGAACAGTCAAGCTCTCCACAGTACCACAAATGATCAATACTATTTCGGATGAAGGCTACACCATGGTTCGTTTGGATGGTTGCTTGAACGATCCAAAGCCATACAAGAAATGTAAAAGTTTATTTAGTATTTTTTTTTCATGTCACGCGAAAAGATGCCCCTTACTCATGCTTGGTACAAATTGAAACAAAAAAAATAGCTGCAGAAAGCACAGAGTACGTTTCGGACAAGCACTCATTTAATACCACTGGTTATCACCAAGGACAGAATGCTGTACCTCAAAGCGTTATCGACGAGGCAAAAGAGAGTGATGGAACGACGAACGAAGAAGCCACAAAAAGTCTTGGTAATTCAAGTCCTGAAAGCAACATTTTTACACTCGTCGCCACCCTTGGTTTCGTAGCTGCCATGGTGCTGCAGCCATTTTGAATCTCAGAGTGATTAATGCAAAGCGATGTACGATTCACCTGTTTCCTCGCACTGCATCTTTATCCCCTCTTTTACTCTTTTAAAAATTTTAATTTCATTATCCAATAAACCTGAAAGTAATGTTTGACAAATCTTTCCAAGCTGAAGAAAAGAGTTTGGTGCGAAAGATACATTGGGTTCTACTGCCACAACTGATGACGATTCAGTTCTTTCAGGTACAGGAAAAATGAGTTATCTATTGTTTCGAGGCTTTGATATGACTCACTTATTAACTTTTTTTCCCTTCCCACCAGATCCATGACAGAACCACTTTAAATTTTGGTAGCGTCATGGGAATGCTTGAAGATATAAAGCTCTCACAAGCAGAATTCAACTGGTCAGGAGCAATAATCTTTGTTGGTTACTTGACATGCCAGGTAAAGTGACAGAATGGTACATTGTCTAGTGGCAATTGGCAGTGGTTTGAGAATAATTTAAAGTCATTGGCGACGCTTGTATAGCAGTAGAATAACTGAAAGAAGCTGCACGTATCTAGATCCCAAACGCCTTTCTCTTGCATAAGCTCCCCTTATCGAAATATCTCGGCGTACTCGTTATTGGATGGGGTGTAACGCTCCTACTTACAGCAATCTCCCGCAGCTTTGCTCAAGTGTTTGTGCTGCGATTCGTACTAGGATTCCTTGAGGCACCAGCCTACCCTATTATTTTCTTAATAATCACGATAATGTACCGACGAGACGAACAAGCGACCGCAAATACTATTTTTCTACTCGCGAACGGAATTGTCACGGTCCTCGGATCTATCATCACTTTTGGCATGACGTATATGCATACGTTTGCTGGTATCCGCAACTGGGAATGGTACTATTGCATCGTTGCTCGTGTTTAGAGTTCGTATATACATGAGTGGTAACTTCATGATTTAACAGTAATTACAACAATGTAGGAATATAATCATTCTCGGTATAGGTACTGTAGTATTCGGAGTGGTTGTATTTATATTCCTTCCAGATGGGCCTCGTTCGAGGTGGTTCCGGTTGACGCCTGCTCAGGATGCCATCATTGATAGTCGTATTCAGGACAACGCTGTGACTGTAAACAAACGCGTACAGCGATACCAGATAATGGAAGCGATTCGAGAACCTAGGCTCTACTGTTACTTTTTCATCACGTTATTGACTATGATGACAAATGGCTGTACTATACTTTACAACTCGAAATTAATACAGGATATGGGTTATTCAGTAAGTTTTGTCGCGTTATCCGCATTTTTAATTCGTAAACGTAGTTTGTACAGTATGTTGATAATTTATTTCTGCTTCCTATCTTTTTGTGTATTACAAAAACAGACCAAGGAAACAGTACTATTAAATATTCCACAATGTATTCCAGATATGATAATGACTGTTGTCGCACTATTCATACGACGGCGGTATAATGATAGCCTCTGTTACATCGGTGCTGCATCCTGTGCTATAGCCATGGCAGGCATACTAACGCTCACATTTGGCACCAGTACGGGCATAAAGCTACTTGGTCTATATTTGTGCAACAGTCTGGATCCAATCATTTTTGCGTTAATGACGTCCATGGGAAATAATGTTGCAGGCTATACTAAAAAAATTGTTTACAATGGTGGATGGATGGTTGCATACTGCTTGGGCAACTTTATCGCACCTCTGCTTATGACCCATCGTCAAGCACCACAATACTTGGGCGCAATGCTGACGTATGCCGCTGGTCAAGGGATATCCATATTTTTGTTTTTATACGCTCGGATGATCATGGCACGGGAGATGCAGAGGCGGAAAAAGCTGTCAATAGAGGGCAAATTACCGCCACCACCGCTGGACAGGGATAAGCTAGTCATGACAGATGTGGAGAACCTACATTATGTTTACATGTTGTAAATCAATGAGAATACAGTGGACCCCTTTAATGTCAACCCCTTTAATGTCAACCCGCGATATGGTCAACCTTTTTCTGAGAACCTCACATTTTAGCAGAGATAAATTTCAACTTTTACATAAGGTCAATGTCAACACCTTGGCCAGGGTTGACTTCTTATTGAGGTCAAAGATATCCAATCGAAAGAGGTTATTTCGTTGTTGGTTGAAAATACATTGTTAGGAACGACTCTGTTGCATACATACATTGTGTCGGGGTGCGCTGGTTTAATATTTTTATTATACAGTTAAACTTTGTGCCACCCCCTTTGACGTCAACCCCCGTTAGCGTCAACACTTTCAGGTGTACTTGAGGGTTGACATTAAAGGGGGTCAACTGTATACACTTCTAATAATAATCATACGAGCATATAGGATATAATGGCTGTATGGATGACTTCTGTCTTTTAAACTTCAAACATTGAACGGCAAATTGATCGACACAAGTTCCTCGAATAACGCAGCTCAGCTTCCCACCAGCTGCAGAACCTGGCAATAGTACGCCTTAAAGGGAGAAAAAGTTGGAGTCTAAACGTATCTACTACTATTACACTATGAACGAAATGTTACACTGTGCTGAGAATTATATAAGGGTTATTTGACACAGTATGGGCAAATTTTCTTCGCCATACAAGCAGAACTATCAGCTCGCTAGCCATTAAAATGTAGTATGAGAAAGCTGCTGTGCAATGTAATCCACGACTATTAACACGCAGAAGATGATCAGGCTAGAAACTTTGTCTTCCTGCAGCAGTTTCTCCGGTTTGGCATGTGGGGCGGTGGAATCATCCTCATGTCATTCCACCACCGAATATTAAAATTCGCCTTCTTGCTTTCTGCTGCTTAAAATCTTCAAATGGTCCAAAAAATCCGTATATCAGCATTAGCGATCATATTCACAGGCTTTTTAATACTGGTAGCAGCAGTAGTTCAAAGGACCTCACACTGCTAATGACAAGAATGGTAATAATACTACGGATGACTTAGCACCTCCACTATCACAACCAGAAAAGGGTGGTGATGATCCTGGTTCGGCGTCACACAAACAGAAACCAGATGCAGCTACCACATACAGGTGTACGTGTGCCTACAGACAATGGTCAAAACCTGTATAATGCCGTTCCACAGATCACTAAAAAGTGCTGCCAAGGACGAGGCACCTATGACTCAGCGATGAATCTGAATCGATACTATTCCGTTACCATGAATGTGGATTACGTAGCATGAAGGAGACGGAACTTTGGCTATTGTTTTGCCGAGAAAAAGAAATCAAAAAGACGAGAAAAAAGTGCACAGCTACTAGTTGAACTATTTAATTACTTGATAGGCTTGACTTTCTCTTTTTGCTAGCATTTCTCCATGGGAAACTACTATATGCTTTGTGTTAAAACTTATTATAAAGGTTGCTTTAGAGTTATGATTGTTGTATAAAATAGTCTTACCTTGTCATTCCAGGCGCAATTAGTAAATAACGGGTGTCACTAAAAATGGTGCACCGAGATTTGTGACTTGGAAAATATGCTTTTTTCTCTTCGGTTCCTGAAAGAACGCTTTGAACTACACTCCAAGCAAAATCTACTGTTCAAAATATAACAATGTCCAAATACATTACCTTTTTTCGAAGAAAATTTGTTAAGGACTCCTATGAAGAGGAGGCTCCCGCCTATTTTGACTCCAAAAGCGAAAAGTACTATTTTCGACAAAGCATCTAGTCCTTCACGACACTCAATCAAACTTACTCAAAACTTTTCGATTTTTGACAGGTACGTAAAACTGAATTTGGACATTGGATGGTCTATGCGCAAGGTTTATGGTCCTCGAAAACAAAAGCACAATATCCATCGCTACAAGAAGAAATGCAATGGTTTCGTCCGCTGCACTAGAGAGGCCTGCAAATTCTATGGCAAACATTTGCGCTCTCGCTGCGATTTTGAACAAATTCATAAACAATGCCAGCTTGGGTGTATGCGCTGCGGAGGCGATTTAGAGCACGTTGACACTTGTAAAACAGAGGCGTTCTACTATTTCGACGGCAGTAAATGCACTGTTAAGCAGATCGGCACACATGACCACGAACAATATACTGCGAAGCATCTATCGGAAGTAGAGAAGGAAACACTGGCAGAGAGAATACGAAGTGATCCAACGGTGACACCCAAGGCAGCAATTCATGGCAACAACAAGCGAACTGGGGAAATCGTTGAATCGATCATTAAGATCAACCCAATTCTTGGCACGAGGGACAGAGCCGAGTATGAAATCAACGAAGTACGCGAGGAACGAGATATTCCAAGAAAAGGTGAATTTCTCGGCGACTTGGGCAAGATTATGAATGAGTTCCCTGGGTACTTCCTCCACGCCCACGTTCTACCAGGCTCATTCTTTTTGGCGTATCGGTCACCGACTCTTAAAGAATATGTTCACTTTCAAGATTTTCCGGCTGTTACCGATGTCACTTTCAAGGCATTCGAGAAAGGATACTATCTCTGCTCAACAGTGATCTATGTTCCTGAGCTGAAAAGACACACAGTGATCTTCCAAGCTGTCCTGGATGGCCTTTCACAAACCTACTTTGCCCAATACTTTTTTGCATTCTTCAGAGTACAACGTTAAGTTTGAAGGCAACAATTCCTTTCTCGGTATGATGATGGATTTCTCTTTGGCACAAAGGAATGGATTTCTGCAAGCCTACACACAGTACACCAGAAAGGATGACGGCATGCGGTTCCTAAAAGGGTGCTATATGCACTGGATGCAATCCGCTCAACGTCTCAACAGCAATCACAGCATCGTTCTACCCGAATCCAGCGAACGATTTCGTGAACTGACCTGCATCATTCGGACAACTGAAGATGCTGATGAATTTTGCCGTAGTTGTAAGGAACTGGTGACAAATTTCAAGCATACTTTCAAATGGCTCAAATGGTGGCTACAACCATCTATAAGCAGCATGATTTTTCGACATCGCTCAAGCATGAATGACGCCCTCCGCAGCCACCCTTATCGTACCACAAATGCAGTGCAAGCGTCCCATAGAGATTTATACCGAGATACTGTACACAACTTGCCTATATCTCTAGCGCTTCCACAAACGTTGAATTATATCCGCTCAGATGAATTGACACTGAAAAACTATGAAGAAAATGCGGTGCCTGCTTCATACAACAGAGCACCACGACAAACTCGTAAACGATCAAAGAAAAACTTTGACAATGATGGACGTGCTCCGGATGTTTTCGGTAAACTTGTTAATGATGTTACCACCGATCAACAACCACTGGACCATTTTCTTTATGACGACCAAGCTGAAAGCAAGACACTATCACAAGCAGAACAAACCTCCAACAAGAGCACCATGCCCTTCGCCAAAAGACTTTCGAAAGAGGATATCAAAGCAGTATCACAGCAAGATATCTTGAATAAGATTGATGAACGCGCCCTGCACCTTTTGGATATGAAAGTCGATCCGTTCACGTTGAAAGAAATTGAGACAATGGCTGAGAACTTGGAGACAGGGTCAGACGAAATAATGCAGTATATTATGGGTGTCGAGATGAAGAATGAAAAGAAGAAGCAAGAAGTGAAGGAGAAAAATGCAATGAGCAAGACCAAAGAAAAGATGAAGACGGAGAAGAAAACAGAGAAAACGATGGACACGAAAACTGAAAACAAGCAGAAGAAAAGAAAACAACCGGAAAATGAAGCTGAGGACTTATGGCCAGTAACAGGAAAAGTCTTCGAAGAGAACCATGGTGAATTTTAATGGATTATTGGAGCGATTGACAGTATAACTGAATTCAATTCAATAGTTTCGTCCATCGAGAGATCCCGCTCGATTGCTCGTTTGGAATTAGCAAATCAAAGCTGACGGATGGTGTGGATATCGTGCCCTTGCTCTCCAATTTCATGGTGACAAGATCAATATATCAAGGTCAAACAAGCAATTCTTGATCAGCTTTTTGCGAACTATGATTTCTACCGCGATACTCTATGGAACGGACGTGAGGTCATAATGCAAAATGCGATCAAACGAATGGAATATGGTATCACACCAGAAACAGCACAATACCAGAAGTACACTTGCTGCAGATGCATATACTGTACCGATTGCAGTATATGATGATCGCTTGGATTGAACAGTGTTTTGTACTTGCCTTTTACTATCCCAAAGGGAACCAATCGACAACCGCAGCCAATAACTCTTTTTCTTAGCTCAAATCACTTTAACGCAATGGACCTCGTTCCATCCAGAGCACGACATATGGAGTGGCCACCCGTCAGACCTTATCATGAGATAGGTTGGCATCGTCTTGGCTTAAGAGAGATTACAAGACTACATGGCAGTTAGAAGACGCTTGATCCGAAAACGAGAAACAAATTTTTCATAGACATTGGCACAAGTGTCATATAAAAACAGCAGAATAGAGTTTATTAAATATTACCAAATATCATAAATTTCGGTTTACACAGTGCCAGAGCTAAAGCAAAGTTTAAAAGAGAAATTAATATATGGGATGCATATACGAACGGTAGAAACCGCAGGAGAGAAAGGAGTGATGGGTGCACTTTTTCTGGTACTTTGTCGGTGCACTGTTTTTGTGCGCCTCGAACCACCGTCACATCGCTGTCACAAGTCTCGGTGCACCATTTCGGCGGTGCACCATTTTTCGGTAGAATTAATAAAAGGATCATATGCTATTATGCGTTGTTATCAAGCATGAATTTAGCATAGTGTGTATCCATATCGTTGCAGCTTTGCTGTCGATGCTAGCAATAGCGTATTCTGCGACGACACATTGTAAGCTATTCATAATTCCACGTCACTGTTTCTAGCAAATGGATATCGTGTAAGATTTATCGTTCAACATAGCAACGAGTTTCAGCTGATTTCGTGTTGTGGAACACGGTGAATGTAAGTTGCATAGAATGATGACTCATCAAAGCGTTTCAGGCGCGTTTATCGAGCATAAAAAGTGTTAAAAAAACAGTTCCACTAACTGACGGTACCTCTTTATCCATGTAGTATTTGCTCGTAAGATAAGAATGTTAATGGAGGACAAAAAAGACAGACATAGTGATACGACAGTCGGCTCTTTTTATCCCAATTTCCCCAGCGAAAAATCCCAGCCACATGGAGGATCATTTGTGCACCGCGAAAGTTTCGTTTTACGTATAAGGAAACTCTTGCCTATGAGTCATCTCAATGACACATTATTGCTGCATAAAAGACGAGGACGTACTGCGCGACGACGGAAACTTGTAGCCGGAATGCACGATACCGCCAAAGAATCACGAGGACGAGGTGAATGCTTTCACTTTCTCATTTTCGATTGCTCATCTCTATAAAATGATCGATCAATTAAACTCATTAACCATTTTTTTTGGCATAAATCACGTTTGAATGAAAAATAATACATAAGTCGTTCGAGATAAAACATATGACAAGTTCCTCGACTGGTTGCGACAGCATAACTTTCCTAAATCCAAGCTTGTCTTGGCAGAGTTTCCAGGTAACATCTGGATAAACAAGACATTTAAGTTGAAATAAACGTTATCTCTCGAACTTGTACTGACAAAGGGATTAAAATGTCATTATCATCATCATAGAAACGGGTCGTGGTATGTATCATCATCACAGCTATAAATATTTATAAAAACTGTCTTCTGTTGCCAACCTTATACATCATGAAATTTTTACTGCTAGGTATGATGGCAACGTCTGATATTGAGGTAATAAGATGAACATAGAGCAATGGGAAAGAGAAAGAAGCATACTAATGATCCCATAGCCTGGTGAAGTCATTGTTTCCGTACCAAAACAGTTTCTTATCTGCAATGACACTTTGCAAAAAGTATACGGACAACATCCGTTAAGCATGCATCAACTGCTCGCGCTTCATTTATGCTTTCTCAAGCGTGACCCGAACTCTTGGTGGAAACCTTACGTCGATTTGTTGCCCAGCCACTTTAATACGATGCCCGTCAAATACCCCAAGATATTGGCGGATCATCTGCCTACCTCTTTGAAAGGTATAGAATCTGTGCATTTTGCATATGCACTATTATGTTTAGTCCGTAAAAGTAAAAGAGTTGATGATGGTGCTGCGTATGTAGTAGGAAGCTAATTGGAGATTCATGTAACAGATGAGGTTTCACAGCAGATCAGAAAGTTGGAGTCAGACTATGCGAGTGCATTACGCTTTCTAAAGGTATGCTCTACCAGGAATAATTGAACAAAAGAGAGAGAGAGAAAGAGAGAGGGAGATAGGACATCTGTGTGTACACAAACATACATACGCAAGAACTCTCCTTTCCTGCTCTGCTCCTTATGCTGTGTGACACTTCCTATACGAAAGAGAACTAATATTATTATAGATGCGAAACTTACATGAAACTGTTAGCTATGAGGAATATGAATGGGCATGGTTATGTGGTATGCTCTCGTCTCTTTTCTTGTTTTCGTCGTGAGATCTGTGTCCCTCCAAACTATGTCTGAAACTATGAACATACGTATCGCTAAAAAAGGAAGTTTTTTGACAGTGAATACCAGATGTATCCATATGTCAACCATGGATGCTACAGCCAAAGGAGGAAATATTGCTATGGCCATTTTGCTTGATTTTTTGAATCACTCCTGGGAAGCCAAGGTAACAGACAGGCGGTGCTCAATATCTACATGGTGGAATGCAAGGGTAGGAAAGGGAAGGAAGCTGCATACTAATGTAAGGGTGGCGGCACCTGTGCGCGTAGATTGAAAGCGGATTTAATGTTCGCACTCAGTGTTTTGAGATTCGTACGTTGACACCTTACAAAAAGGGCGAACAGGTAAATAATAACATGTACATTACATAGCATATTAGTTAATGAGTTTGGCGTCGGTCACTGTACACCGATAACGGCGAGAGTAGACAAGAGCAGTCTGCGAACCTAGATACTTAAAACGAAACGTTCTGCTTATTTTCCTTGTGTGCAGGTATTTATCAACTACGGACCACACGACAATATGGCAATATTACGGGAATATGGCTTCGTTATACCCGACAATGTGTTCAACTATGTCTCACTTGACCAAGAGGTCTGGTGTTTGTTTGACGAAATGGAAACCGCACGCGGATCACGGCTTAAAAAAGCGATTTTGGAGAAAGAGGGGTACGTGATGAGAAAATAAAGCGTTATAGCGCTGTTTGTCTCTGTGGCTCTTCGTATGCATACAGGGTGGGCTCTAACGTAAAATGCTTATTCTTTTGGTTAATGATTTTAGATATGCAGGGTGAGTAGTTATTGCGAACAGACAGATAAGGAAGGGGGAGGGGAAGGGAGAGAGGAACTAATAGTGGGATAAGGGATGTGGAATTAGCGAGGGAAAAAACAAGATGTTGGTTAGTGTGGTTCTCACAACAGCTTTGTTAACTACAACAAAACAACAACATTAAGGGATTACTCTATCAAACGACGCGAAATATCATTCCGGTTGCTTAGTGCCCTACGACTGTTAGCAATTGATGGTTCCAACTCGCGCGTAGCATTGGATCAAAGATATCTCGAATGGCAAGGCGCTGTTATGGGCGAAACAGAAATAATAAGTCAAGACAATGAACGGCGGGTACTGATCATGCTAAAGTCGATATGCGATCGAGTCATTCAATCAGCGAGTGACGAACAAAAGACGCTGCTTGTAAGTACTCCTCATAATTGTAAAGCGCACACGTACTTCCAACCTATTACACCCCTCTCTCCACTATTTCCAAATCAACTGAAGTTTAATCGTTATTAAGGGCATCAACTCGAACGAGCCGCAAAAAAATGGCGTCCATCCATTCGCACTAAGGTTTTTGCATCAAATCTGGGAGGAAACCGAAGATATTGCAAGATCGACTGTATTGGACATTGAAGAAAGAATAGGACAGATGATATGATTTGTATATTATGTGTGTGTGTGTGTACAAAACGAGAAAAAAAAGGACAATGACAACAAAAAGAGTAAAGAAAAAACTACTACTATGATGGTACTACGGGGATTGACAGGAAAAGAGTGCTACTGAATTTGTGTTGGTGCTGATGATTTTACTGATTATGATGGTGCTGGTTGGTGTTGTATGACACAATTGTTGATGCTGTGATGTAGATATATTTCCATTAAAGAATATCGGTTGCGTCTTGGGCTAATGCAAAACTTCATCTTGGTGGTCGCTTGACGGGGGGTGGATAGGGCCGAGGAAGGGCGGGCTTGGTTGGTCTGTCTGGTGGCATGCCGTTGGATGGTAAATTGAAGTTGATGAGTGAAAAGAGCAAAAAAGATGATATGTAAATGAGTTGCTCAAGCAGCTGTAGGTGGCTGTTATAGCAATGGCAGTTAGAGGGAGGGGAGAGAGAGGTACCTTTTGAATTGACAAGCAGGATTGAAAGCGAAAGCCAAGGCCCTTTTATAGTTTACATTGTTACCCGCCAAATTTCTGCAGTAATCACGATGGATGGCTTACTGCTTTGCTGTCAAAAGAAAAACAAATGAGTTGGCTAGTGTTACTCCTAAAAAAACTTATTATTAAAGTGCAGGCACTCCCCAAAGTGGGCGTAAAATCGGCAGACAGACAGCAGCTCCACTAGGTCACCACCACCAGCATTAAGCAAAGTAAAGCAGCTCAATCGATGCGCATTGGGGGAGTAGTAAGCAAAACAGGTAAATGAAAGTGGGGGTGTTGATGAGCATGATATGGTTGCGTTGATTTCTTTCTCTCGCTCTCGTTCACTCGTGTCTGTTTCTCAAAGAGATCGTCAGACATGTTTGAAACGTCAGACATCTGTGAATTTAATTTGACTTTGTAAAGCATGGCTCATAAAACTGGGGGATTGTTTATTTGCTTGTTTGTTTGTTTGTATGTACACGCAGCGATTGTAAATAGAAAAAAAGCATAGCATCCTACGTTTGTATTATTGTTATGTGAGACAACATGCACCAAGAAAAGTAATAATACAGCATCCATAAAAAAAGAAAGGAAAACAGAGATTGTTGTCAAAATGCAGGAGTAAAGCAAGTCGCACTCGCTCGCTCATTCATTCACTTGTGTTCTCCGAGCATACTGCTATTAAGTATGTGGCTGTGTATATGTTCTTCCATACTGATCTCGTGAACCCACATGTATTATACACAGAGAAGCTTGTTGGAACCCACAAGGCACCATCATCATCCCGAGAAAAAGTGGTGAATATAATAGCTAGTCTAACTTATCTACGTACATGCATTTAGGGGATGACGACACACTATGAGAGATAGCGAGGCGACATTGAAAGGGGTGCTGGTGAGCACAAACCTTATCTACGGAAATAATTTTGCCTGTCATCTTCAACAGTGACAAGATTTCATATGAGAATGGGTTGATTATCATGCTTGCGGTCGATGAGCATAAACTCCTATATAAACGTCAATTCTAAAATTCACACTGCTGCAAACCGTATACTGTAGATCTCCCTTTCTCTAATAATCAATGCCTTTATTTCTTATCGGACGCAAAAGATGTAAGAGTTGTAGTAGTATCTGATACGGTTTTTTTGCGGCTTATGATTACTAGAGTTGAAATATATCTAAACCATCAGCCCTCACTTCCTTATTGTCATTCTTAGTAATTACTGCTCAGCATCCTGCTACTACTATTGTTCATACTACTCAAATCAGAAATGCAGCTGCAGTAATCACCACCCGCGGATTGATAAACAATTCCGGCATCCAACATGCATCGACAACAGATATTACAGGTTCGTGACATGATGATGATAGTGTGCTACATAAAATGCAAAACGTGGCATTCTAATCATATGCTCTCCGTACATACCAGCACCACCATCACCACCATCAACGGTAGCAGCACCCGCCAGTTGTGAACGACAGCAACTTATCCAGATCAAACCAAGACCCAATTTTTGTACCAATCGCCAACAAGACAGTATGTAAAAACATACAATCATAACCGCTTCACTTATTCCAAAACATTTGTCCTGGCTGTATAATGCTCTAATGTATCCATCCCCATACTGGTACTGGGGGAACAACCGGATTTCTTTTTTTTCTTTATGCTTTCCTGTCGCTACTATCAGACCGACATGTTGTGATATTAGGTAAAGACTAAAAAATATTCTAACAGTTTCTACAAGACTTATCTACTGCCGATAAATAATAACTCGTGTCGTTCTATATTATACATTTCCTTCTCCTCCGGATATTACAAAATGGGTTTAAAGGATCGGGGTGGGGAGGTACTATATGGTTGTTAGTGCATTTGTGTTTCCGAGAATCCAGAACAATGGCTAACACACCAATATCCAATATGTGTAACTACAATCGTGGCGGGGCGCAGGGTTCAAACTCATGCAGGAACTCAACAAAGGAAGATACAATGTGACCATAATTTCGCCGCGGTAAGCAGTCAAGTAAACAAGACAAAAACGATGCCAGCCACGAAGCTATGTCAAAAACGGGCAACACAGATAGAAGATAGTATCGAATTTTAACAGGCTATTTTCCTATCTTTAATATGTACTCGATGGCGACCGCGATGCAAATGGCTGGTCGGCTCGCTGGGCAATTGATCTATCACCATTTACAATGAAAATGCAACAACAGGAACCATTTTGTATTCACCCCCCTTCTCGCCAGGTAAGAATGCTGCTATAAGATAACTCCCCCTAATACATGTTATGCGCAACATGTATATGTTTTGAGCATAGAAATCTTTGAAACATGTGTTTGACAACGCATCACAATAATAAAACAAATCAATATTAATCACATATGCAACAGTACTTCGGTCGGCACCATCGAATTCCGTTGCATTACTGAGCCAGTCCGCAGCTACTCAAACAGTATCAGTTATTATCAAGCACAATGTAGTAACATAGGTAAATATAAGAGTAACTTGAGCTTGGTGAGCATGAAACATTCGGATCGACTTATCAATAAGCTTTATTATTATATTTTGTTGTTTTCAGATTTTGAGAAACAACAAGTCCTTTGCACGTCGAGAATCGGCGAAAGTACGTTTATGCTTTTGTGTGCAGTAGTACATCAATATGCATTTAAACTGTTTCGGCTTCTGACAACACCAATGTTTCTCAATTTAAATGCATACTACGTATGCCATCATATTATTTACCATATGATGATGTTTATTGTTTGTCATCTAAGTAGAGGACGGCGAATCCTTTTCACTTACATACGATGCTTTGGTGATTGCCGTCGGATCTTATTGCAACACTTTCGATATACCGGGAGTCAAGGAGCATGCTTACTTTCTAAAGGATGTTAACGATGCCCGCCGGATACGAAAGCGAATCATTGAATGTAAGTGACGGTTTTGGCAGTGATAGTTAGTAGTAATGGTGGTGTCATAGTAGTAGTATCACAGTCCCGACTAGATTGGTTCATGTTTATCCGATCTATCTCACACACACAGATATGAAAACTAAACTAACAGGGGCGATCATCTCTGTATATACTGATACTTATTATAGGTTTCGAGGAAGCGTCACGACCTGGCCTTGATGAAAAAAGAAAAAATGACCTCTTACATTTTGTGATTGTAGGAGGCGGACCTACGGTAAGTAATTGAGAGAGAGCCATGGTGTTTGATGGAAACAGTCTATCAAAACATTATGATTATATTACACAAGATCCGACATAGTGTATCTAGTTTGTAGTACCGTGTTATCCCTATTTCCCTCGTTTTCCAGATACAAACAAATTTCTCACACATACACACACTGAAATAATTCAGGGGATCGAGTTTTCCGCCGAGTTGTACGATTTCATTTCCGACGATGCCATTCGAACCTATCCTGAAGGTTTGGTCTCGCGTGCGCGAATGACACTGTATGATGTAGCACCACAAATACTTGGCTCGTTTGACTCTCATCTTTCTGAATACACACACGAAAAATTCAAACGCAAAGACATCCAGATTAAAACAAGTAAGTATACTTGAAGATCCGTATTAATAAATGTGTCTGGAGTAACATACTCGAGGATACTTCTCACAAAAGAGAAAAGAGATGGTGAACATCATGCACTCGCTGCAAGCAGGGTGTATTCTATTATTGTCTCAATTATCAATCATAGTATTACTATCACCAAAGTAACAACGTTGCTAACTGCTGTATACCAATCAAAACAACATGCACCTATAGGACGCTTTGTTGATCAGGTTGAAGGCGATCATCTTGTCATACGTAACGAGGGAAAAGGTATTACCTTGTAACTTAACCGAAACAAACCCTTTATGAGATATGTACTCATTTATTTGTTCGCCAACAACATCAATGACTCTACAATAACCGCATACCCTGAATGTTATTCAAGTTAGTTCCATATGGTTTACTCGTATGGGCAACAGGACTTATGCCGAATCCGCTTGTTGAAACACTGTCCGATCGAGTAGCTTTAGACGCCCAAAACCAAAGGTCAGTGGACAAATGCTAGTAAACAATAGTAGCGTTGAGTGTAAAACAAAGATACTTTGTTTACTTTTTCTTTTGTTTGTCAGTGTAATTTCGCTTGACTAACTCGGCAACAATATGCAGAATGATCACCGATGGGAAGCTGCAGGTGCTGAAAAAGGTTACCAACTCTATGCTCCAGAATGTGTATGTTGAGCATCATCGCCATCATCGGTGTTAATCCACGAATACGGAAATCGTTTCACACTCGTTATTTTAATAAACTATCTATTACTTATAGATATGCTTTAGGAGATTGTGCGAAAATCGAAAATAATGACCTACCCGCCACAGCACAAGGTAGATTACAACACAAGCTGCGTGACAGAATTTTGTGGCTAAATAAAAAGACAAACATTTATGATTATATAGTTGCTATGCAGAAAGCATCGTATCTGGCAAAAGGTATAGTTTCCCGCTATTAGCTGGCTCGTTGGATACAATCACAAACATTTTTGCGCTCCCGATGGGGTGGAAAAAGGATCGAGGCGTATGTGTGTAGGGACGTAGGATGGTGGTGCTGGTGGTAGTCAAAAAATGACACTTTTTGTGCCTTTAGTGCTCAATAGTGGTGGCGTTACTAACAACAACAGCTTGGAGTCAACGACCACGGCAAAAACAACACCAGCTGTAACCAATTTTATTTTCAAGAACCGTGGCATGATGGCGTACATCGGATCCTCGGAAGCCCTCGTCGATATGTCGTCAGTTCATGAACGAGCTAAACAATCCGGACATTTGGCATGGTACCTTTGGCGTTCAGCTTACTTTGGCATGACCGTCAGCACCCGTAACAAACTGCTAATTGCATGCCATTGGTAAGTTGTACTATCTCTCGCACATTTTCAGTACATGCTTTGAAACGGAAACGATCCATATCGTCTATCGAGAGTGATCATGTACTAAATACTTTTGTTTGTGATAGGTTCTTGACATGGTGTTTTGGTCGGGATATTAGCCGTTTTTAGATCCAGTTTATTTTGTCTTCTAACACTTTTTTTGTTATAATCATATGTACACAATGCATCATTTATCCTCTACAAGTAGCAGTAAGCACTTTTTATATATGAAACATTATAAGAAAAACCTTTTCTTTTCACCACCCTCCTCACGCGCTGGTGGCCAGCTCGGTTTTTCGGGCTGTTCAGCAGCCGTTGATGATGCTCCTTTCCCTGATGCTGCTTCCTGTTGACGGTGTGGTGTTTCACTTGCCGCAATCACTAGAAAAAGGACAAGACGCGCGAAATAAGTGAGAGAACTTTACTAGGGAAAAAAGATCGATCAGTAGCCACTTACACTTTTCAAGATAATCATCATCAATATCTTCGTCGCTACCGTCATGCTGCTGTCGTCCACCATGCATGAACACCATACGTATCTCTTCACGGAAGTCGTCTGTAAATTCTTGGCCCTTTTCAATACGATCGATGATTTCTTCTAATAGTCGAATCTTGTGCTCTGTCTTTTCTTGATATTCCTTGTAATCCATCTTGAGCCAAATAAGCTGTAACGCCTCGGAGCCAAATACGACCCACATCAGATATTCGAGGAAATAGGGTAAATGCCGTTGTCGTTTGAAATGGTATGCTAGCGATGATAGATTGCCTGAGCCAAATTGAGGATCTCGAGGACTAGCAGACGACGATGTGCTAGTGCTGGACCATCTTACGCTATTATGTGCTGGTCTGAGCGTAGTAGTAAAAGAAGTAGTAGTAGTAGTTGCAGCAGCCGTAGTAGTACGCGTGCTGCTTAAACCGAGGTTCCATTGCCAAAGGAATGTTGTCCGTTGTCGAGGGATTCGGGATGTTGCTGTTGTGATTAAGCGAGGTATAGACGATCGCATAAGTGTGGTAGTTTGTGTGGTCGAGTTATTTTCCTTCTCCCGTTCACTTCTTGCCCACTGTATGTGACTGTGTGTCAAAATGAACCTCGCTTTCTTACTTTTGGAGGGCAACTTTTCTAAAGCGCGCGGCAGGAACTTTTCTCAATTAAATATTAAATGAGCTGCAACGAGGAAAGCGATCGATTACCATCCGTTCAACTGCCATTGAGTAAATCGTACACATACGCCAGTCCAATACCTCAATCCGTGGTTGATTCAAATGAGGCGTGTATGCTTGGCGTTGACGAGGCTGGCCGTGGTCCCTGTTTAGGTAACCATGCTGATAGGCTGGAAAAAAAAAGACAGACGAAAACGTGAATAGGAAAATTAAAACCTTATTTTTAGGACCAATGGTTTATGCCGTTTGTTATTATCCTGCCTCGCGTCATGACGAATTCAAGGCGCTGGGATTCGACGGTAATTTATTAGTGCTAAATTGCTATCCGTGCCTATATCACAATTCCCGAGGGATTAAAAAGAGAAAGAGCATGCTTTTTGGTATAATTGAAACTTGCCCTGGCTGATGAGCTTAATTTATGCGTGTAAAAAAGATTCCAAGAAATTGACAGAGGAAAGACGCGTCGATCTTGCCAAAATTATCCAGCAAAACCTCGATTGGGTTGGTTGGGCAGTCCAGGTCATTGCTCCTCAGGAAATATCGACCAATATGCTCAGCCGGTAACAGAAAGTCCAACGCGATCGGGGGTGGATGGAGGGTGGGGGGCCGGTCTGGAGAGCGGGTTAAAAGGAAGCGCTTGTAACTCAATTGCACAAACAAAAAAACAATATTGGCTGTATAGACCCCCTTACAACCTTAATGAAATGGCACACAGCGCAACGATGCAACTGATACGCAATGTCTTGAACGCCAAGATCAATGTGACAGAGGTAAGTGGATGATGGATACACATCATCGTACAAATGTAAATAAGGAAGTATAGCAAAAGATGCTATACAAAAGAGATTGCTAATGTAGCACTTTAGATCTTTGTGGATCCCGTTGGTCCATCCCAGTCGTACAAGGCGAAACTCTCGCGATATTTCCCCGGTATCGAGATTACTGTCGAGCCTCGCGCCGACTCCTTGTATGCGTCCGTCAGCGCGGCCAGTATTTGCGCCAAGGTGACCCGCGACCAAGTACTACAGCACTGGATATGGCTAGAACCTGGGCTGGAAGGCAAAGTGTCCAAGTCATTTGGATCTGGTTACCCATCAGGTATAAAAACAGGGTGTTACCTGATAGGCGTTAGTCAAGGTGGTACTCATAAAAATTATAATAAAAAACGATGACTCGGGTGTGTGTGCGTTGTGATCTGTGCTTCTATTAGATCCAAACACCGTAAAGTGGCTAGGTGAAAACGAGGATCCCTTTTTCGGGTTTCCTAGCCTGATTCGCTTCAGCTGGAAAACAATTAGCAACCGTATGGACACTACGCTTCAAGTGGAATGGTAAGAAAACAGCGGTTGGAAGGTCTAGCAAGACAGAATAGCTGATGGTGTATATGTTGCATACGTAGGTCGGAAGATGAAGATGAGGAAGACACTAAGCCGAAAAACATAAGGAAACGGAGAACACAGGCTCAAGCGCCGACAGCAAACAAGGACACTGGTAGCCGTCAGCATCATATGAACGGCAGAACCTATAAACAGCTCTGCTTGGAAACTGTCAATACACTTTAATCATAACATTTCATTTAACAACATCATGTACATAGTAGTAAGAGCATAGTAAATATTCATGCACGCCAGCTTCAGTTCTTGTACGCCCCCTCCTGTCTGTTTTCTCCCTTTCTTCCAGCCCCCTTGTTTACATTTTCTGTTGCCATCTTATTCGGCGTTACGTATTCATGAGTGATTGTTGTACGAGCGAGACACGAATATAAGAGAGATAGAGAGAGAGAGAGAGTTAGGAGGGGGATTGCTGTTTGTTGCTGTCATTAAAGAATATAGACTTTCTGTGCTACGATTAACAACGTGCAACCAGAATGTTAACCTTTAGCGGGAATCTTTCATGATCTAAGAATAAACTGGGTTGTTGGAGAGCAACTAGCGATGGGTTGGTTGTTGTACCAGCCATGAATGGGGTGAAAGAGCCAGAGCGAAAGACAGAGCCCAAAGGGATATGAGCGAGAGAAAAGAAGAGAGAGATTGTGTGTGAGTGGGTGATGAGTTCTTTACCCTATTTAAATCCTCTCTCATTCTATTTTTTTTTCCTCTTTGAATTTTTTTTTTCTCACTTGTCTCTTTTCCCTCTCTTTTCTTCCTGCTTCCTTACTCGCTCGCAGCATATCTTCTCTCTCGCATATATGAACAGAAGTGACAAAAGGCCCACAGTCCGAGGCATCAAACGCAATCTTTCCAAATTCACCACGACTATCTTACACCTCGGTCGCCGTCGTGATAGCAACTCGACAGCTCGTCGGTATCAGAAAAACAACGCACAACCATCACCACCACCACCATCATCACCTTCGCCACCCGCCTCCTCTACTCCATCTCCATCACCACAACCACCGCCGCCACAGTCGCGACGCTTCACCGCCCGAGTTCTCGGATTACACAACAAAATTTGGCGTAGAAAGAAAAAACATCAGCAACAGAAGCAGCAAGAAGCAGACGATGAAGACGACGACAACGACAACGACGACCAACAAGCCGTATGCGGATGTGGTCGACCACTCGAAGCTGGCTGGGAATGTCCTCACTGTCGTTTCACTTGTCCAACCTGTCAGCGAGCTCTTGGGGAAGGCGAGCAGTGTAGTCGTTGCCAGTCCAGCAGCGATTCACCATTACCAAGTTCCACGATCGCAAGCTGATCGTCTTGTATGGAGAAAGTGCACCTGAAAGGAAGCAACCTAGCAACCTACTTAATACTTGACATGCTACACAAGCAACTAAGCAACTCATACACACATACCCATTTCCGCTTCTCTTCTTATTTCTCCCATATATCAATAGCCGTCCCCTCCGTTAATGTATTTTATATTTCATCCAACAATAACCACCCCATGCAACACACCCTATAATACACACTCACCATAAGAAACACACGGGCTGGAGGAACTCACATCTCCACCAGTACCCTCTACTCACCTCTTACCCACCCAATCCAAACCAGTATGTAATAGTTTTTTTCGTTATCTAGTTCACATCTACTACTAATCATTTTGTTCTCAGAAACAGCACGAAAAAGAAAATGCACAGCACTTTATACAATTACTCGTTTTTTTTATAATACATGCATTTCAAGGCAATTCGCCGTCCTCCATATCTTGCCTCCGTTCTGCTGATATTGGTTGCTGCTGTTGTTGTGATGATGATGATGGTTGTAACACTGGTTGTGATTGCGGTCTTTGTAATGATAATGATGGTTGTGGTGGAGGTTGTAGTGGTTTCTGTTGTTGATCATCATCTACTATGTATAGCATTCCGTTCTCGGCAGATTGTTGCTGCTGCTGCTGCTGCCCTGGCTCGTCACTGCGCGGATTCCGCCGTCGTTTTGATGGACGGTGACCGACCATGCCCACATGAACAGCTACCGAGTCGTCATCCTCATCGGCAATCGACGGAAGGTTGTCGCCAAACCCAAAATGGTACCATCGCACATACGTGTTCTCCGTCTTCTTCGCCTTGCGTCCATGGAAAAGACTGAAGCTGATAGGAGTGTCATTGTCATGCGGCTGCTCGCTCGCATAATCCTCAAGCCACTCCCACGGCTTGGACTGGTCCATAGATGCTTCCAGATGCTGTTGCTGCTGCTGCGGGTCCGTGGCGTTTGCAACGCCCAAAAGGGACGAGGCAAGTCGAGTGTTGGAGAGGTAGATGTTGTGTGTGAGAAATGGCAGAATGCGCTTTACACGACAATGGAGCATCGAGGGGACACCGCTCAGCTCGTTGTGCATCGCCTAAAAATTATAAAAAAAAACCGGTTTAGGTAAGACAACTGGTCCAACAATACCCCCAAAAACCTGTTACTAAACTTACCGAGAGATGTGAGAGATTGGTTTTCCGTAATTCCCTTGGCACCTCTACAGGGGTAACATACAAAGAAAGAAAGACTGAGGTTATGTATTAAAGCAACCATAGAGGAGCCCGGATGGGGTTTTATACGACCAGCTTGCAAAGCAAAGTGCGAACTCGCTTACCATCAATAAGCAGGGACACTAGGTCGAGCACAAACTCAAACATGCGCTCTTGACTACCGTTGCCATGGACGATGGGGTTCTGTAGCATAATAAGCGTGATAATTAGTAAGTTGCCCGTGGTTACAATTGAAAAATTGCTGTCTTGACTTACTCCCAGCAACGGGACTAGAATCTTTATCCATTCCAGTATGTCGCATTCGTCCTCCTTCGGGTGCTCCCATATCAGCGAAACGAAGGGAACCATCAGCCGTAGCCGCAAGAGCAAACTGTTGGGGGGGGGTGGCAAAAACGATAAAGTTAGCACACCCAAGAAAAACAGTTCTACACCACGCTCTTACCTTATTCGGATATCTTGAAGCATTACACCGGGTGTATTGCTGGAGGACGCTGCTTCGCTCTCGGGTAACCCTTCTGTCTTTAGCAACGTGACAGCAACCTCCTATGTACCACAAGAATATATTAGGACAGCCAAGTCAGTCGTTAAATCAGACTAGATTGCAAAAAAACGTACCACATTCTTGGCTTGCTGGAGAGCACGCGACGCGTCAGCAAAAGAAACGTGATGCACGCTTTCCATAATCTTGTACACGTTCATCGCAGCTCTAAACTGCTCGACTTGTCGGAACAGCGTCTGCACCAGCTCTATCTTCTTCGTGTTGCTCCACACATCCTTGGCCAGCAGATGTTGCATGACAAGGTAGAATGCCTGGCATCGCTGTCCATAGTGTGCAGACGATGTCTGTTGCTCGCATACCGCACCGTTGCTGTCGCTCGTGGTGAGCAGGATGGTATATGGGAACACGGTCGCTGGTGCCTCTTCCGAACTGTTTCCTTCCAACATGCGCACCCCGTGATTTAAAAGTGCCAATATGATAGGTTCTCGCAGACCATGGATCAGGTTGATCAAAAAGTCAAATCGACGCTGGGTATTTTGTTGCTGGCTGTCCGTGTCGCTTGCAGAAGCAAGGACCGCGTCAAAGAAGAACTTTACAAACAAATCAAGTTCCTTATTAGGCTCGACGTTGCCAGCATCGGACGTTGCTGCTGCTCCTGCTCCTGCTGCTGCTACTGCTGTTGGCGCTGGGCTGGTATCAATCACCATGGCGTCGTTTGTGGCATCTTGTGCGCCTGGTGCCGCGGACGTTGACGTTATTGTTGTGGAACCAGAGTGCTGATTAATCATAATGTTATCAAGGAGTAGGTTTAACTGGACGCGACATTGCTCCTCGTTCCACTGGCTCAAATTGGCGAAAACAGCTTGCAGTCGCTGGCCAAAGCCGGGTTCCAGCAAGTCATTCGGGACCATGCTATCTTGGCACTCTCGATCAATGTTCATGTTTCCACCAATCAATTCGTCGACAATGCTCAGCATCTTTTTGCGTATTTCTCCCTCGCCTCCAGACGGACTGTGTTGTGTTGCGAAATGGTGGTATATACTATTGACATCGCGCGTGCATGCGCGCCGGAACCAGTCGAGCTGTAACAGATCGGTTCGTAGTTTCAGTAGATCCTGTATTAACAGGCTGCTATACGGAAGGTTGGACACGATCGCGATTGAATTTCGCACAAGGCCAAACATGTAGTCCAATTTGTCGAGGTTGGTGGCGAGCTGCGGCTGTCGCCGGACTTGCAGTTGGAAAATTTCGTCAGCCCTCAAGGCCCACGGACCGTGCGGTTCCGGACGATCCTGTACCACAAGCATTCGAACGAGGTCGATCAGATTTTTACAAAGCTGTCGTAAAGGTTGTGTTTCCGCCGTCGTTTCTGTCCATTGCGATTCACACCGCTGCTGGGCTTCGCGACTGATCACTTCGAGCCAAGGCAGTACAAAATGCTTCAATACCATGTCGATGCTGATCAACCGACGTGTGACAAGCAATGCAAGGAATAGCGGCAGCCACGTGTGCAACTCATGCAGATCGTCTAGTAAGGTTGCACTGATAGGGCTGCATTGCTGGGACAGCCATTGTATCACAGCATCGTCCAATTGACCAGTCAGAGTTGACTGATCTGCAACGCCTTTTACAAAATCTACCATAAAGCAGATCCGTTTGCGGAACTCGTACAACTCTTCTTTGTGTTCCTGAGAACCCGTTGAAGACGCTGCTATTGTGTTGATCTGTTGTTGTCGTCCGTATTGCTGTAGTGTTTCGAATACGGTGCTAAACATGGAAATTGTCCAGTCACTCGTGTTCTGATATCGCGAACATGCCGAGTCAATGGTGCTATGTACAGTGGATGCCGTAGGATTTTGGATGAATTGGCTGAGCTCGGTTGCTAATGGTACATCGTTGCGACTTGAATATTGTCGTGCTTTCGGCTGCAAAGTCATATATTTGACTTGAGTTAAAACCATGTTTCTTACGCTTTTCTCGAGAGCCGTAAAACCAGAAAATCATCTACCTTATAATGCAGGTCTCGCTGTAGCTGTGTCCGCATATCGTCAGTTATTCGATAGCCCTCTTGAACAAGCTGGATCATATACATCATAAGACATCGTTCCCGAATTCCTCGACTTTGCAGGCTTTGGTGCTAAAAAAGAGCCCCAACACGGTCAGTACCCATCAAGGGTGCAAAATCTTCATTTCATTTTGACTTACCTTGGCCCAAACAGCTTCCGCAACGCGTTTGCCGTTATTTACCAGCTTCCATATACTAGCGTGTCGACGGAGCGTGTCAATTGTAAATGAGTATACGGATCGCTCGTTCGTCTTTTCGAGAACCCACAGAGCGACCTCGATGATACCGAGATAGTCCTTAGCACATTCAAGCATCTTAATGATGGCGACATATTGCCGGACGTTCAGTAAACACGAGCCAGGCGAAGTCATCACGCGCCAATTATCTTCGCCAATACTGTGGCAATAGAAGGAAAAGTCCAAATTTAGTTAGATGCACCAGAAAATTTATGCAGCTTAATAGGTCATGACAGAACTTACGGGACGCTCTTGACAACAAAGCGCTTCAGCTCAGGAACAAGCCATTCGGATGTAAAATTTAATATCGTATATCGTGTTGCTCCTCGCATGACTCGAGCCATGTCTTGATCATAGCAACTCGTGAGCGATAAGTCCATGGCCTCGAGTGAATCGTCTGAATCAGGCTGCGTGAGGCTCGTCGCTTTTTGACCAAACAGGGTGCTCAAATCATCGTCATCCTCTGATCCGGACACTGCTACTGCTCGCTTGGCAAGTCGTTTTAATTGTGCAAGCACTTCATCCTCTACTCCGTTGATCTGCCCGTTGCGCGTGCCATAAATTGCCACTCGTCGTTGGTTGATGAGATAGGGAGGTGCTGGCGTCAAAAGCGGAAACGAGGCAAGATAGTTAAGGCATCGAACAGTTCCAGGTTCATGTCGCCTTCGAGGCTCAAGGTCACCACGCGCAATAAGCCGTAATAAATATTTTTGGTATGAGAATAAATGTAACCGGATCAGCGTATCAAATAATAAAACAACAGCCGGCTTTGGATCGTTTGCTACAGAGATAGATTATAAGCATACCATTCGTAATTATGCAAATCAAAAATAAACAAAAGAAGTTTTCTTCTTTACCCATATCAACCATCATATCGCCAGCTGCAGCTGCAGCATCTTCTTCCGACTCCATCTGCGTATCCAGCCACTGGATAAGTACATCCTGCAGCATTGCTTTTCGATCCGAATTCTGATCACGCCAGTGCAACAAAATCGAGCCCACCAAATACGACCGCCAATCCCCATGTCGTGATCCACTTGTACCCCAACGACACATTATGTTCACTCGTTGCTGGACAGTAGATGTATCCTTGCTTAGTACACCACCAAATATGGAGTTTGCTGCAGATGCTGCCGTTTGTCCTTGAAGATCCATCCAGCCATTCTCGTCTATCATCAAGCCTGTCCCACTGTCGACATTTCGTCCAATACAGTCCAGAGTTCGAATGATATGATCCTCATTGACTTGGGTGCGTCTTGTTTCTTCGAATTCCGCCCGACTTTCTGACTGTACAATATGTTTACAGTTTCCATCCAGCCGTAATTGGTTCTCCTCTAGCGTCCCGCAGAATACTTCGTTCCGTGCCTTGACCATAGCCCAATACTTTTGCATCACATGACAAACGTCCGGTAATGCGACAGCGGCATCTTTCCGACTCTCATCTCCGAATATTGCATCGAACAGATGGCGGTACTGGTGGTATAATTTGGGGATCACGAAAATGTCGGGCGTTGAAAGGAACAAGGACTGTGTATGTGTGAAATGCAAATTGCAATGAGTTTCAAATAATAAGAAAATGCAAAAATCAGTTGACGAACCTGCAGGAGACGTTCGATGTATCTTTGAATGTCCCGATAGATATCTAAAAGCCCCTCATTGGGCAGTTGCCCTAATTGATGGATAAGCTATAAACACAAGACGGATGAATGTCAATTTTACTGCTGTATATATTTTTCTCCGAATGTCATCACCCTCACCAGCCCTTTACGCATCAACGCCTCAGCACCTAAAAAGAACTTACAGCGCCATATGCCTTGATAAGTGTTTCAATAAGCAGCTTCATCAATGTCCGGTTCCGTCGATATTCGTCGACATAGTCTTGTACAACAAATGTCAAAAGCAACCACATGGCTTCAAAGGAATTGCATTGTGCCAACGAATCCAAGGTCCATTTCAAGAATGTTCGTTGATCTAACAGCCCTTCACAGTACTGCCACTTTGTCAACTTTGTGCTGTATGACCATCGCTGTTCAAATCGCTCCCGATTTTCGGGTGTTGCCCATGGCTTTGATGCATTGTCGTGATAATTGCCTGGTGTGCTTGGATGTCCTTTGTATCCTCGACCGGAACCAGCGTTTGTGGAATTGGATGATTGCGCAGATGAAAGTTCGCTAAGCTGTCTTCTAAGATGACTAACGACGACGGTCGTCCATTGATAAGCTTGTGACACTGATGTTGCATTGTTGTTAGCATTGCGTTGGCTCTGTACATGAATTCGCTAGTTAGTAACTCAATGCATGAGTATCAGTGTCACTAATTTTTCATGTAACATACCATTTCCGAAAGCCCGACTACTTTGATATACCATGCAGCTCTAAGCAATGGCACTTGTCTCATGGCCAAGGTTTCCAACAGCTTTTCACCCTTGAATCCATGTGGTACATTTTTTGCCAGCTTACGCAATGGTTGCGTACCACTTGCTAACTCGTGCATCCACTGCTCTTTCTTGCTCTCGATGAGTGTTGAGCGCATAGGCGGCTTGAATGTTGAAGTTCTGTAATCAAAGAACACATGTATTAGAAGATGGATCATGCATATTTTCCTTATCCTTTAAGAAAGGACAAGTTAGAGCATTTTCTCCTAACTCACCCAGTGATTTTGGCAGCGTTGCGTTTTCTCTTGAGGACGTCCACAGCAAAGGAGCCTAGATCTTCAAGTACACGTTGATCATCCTGAAGTTTACTATATACCATGTCATATGCACAGGTGTGTTCATTCTGGATCACGCAAAAAAACAAAGCATTAGTATTAGCGCCATTACCACTTTTCTCCACAGAAAGAACCGCACGCATAAATAAACGTATATACATACCGATACTGCAGGACGATCAATAAATCCAGTGCGTACATTGGACTCTGTCGTAACGTCCTCGATTTGATTCGGGCGTTGGGGATACATGCCAGGATACCCAAGCGATGGCATTGTCTTACAAAGTGGCGGGATCCATCGTGGCGGTTGAAGGGTATATTTATTGAGCTGTTGGTTATGCGTGTTGTACTTTTGCATGTTGGGCGAATGGTAACCGGGTGACGAGGTAGTAGAGTAAGGAGAGGTCATTGTTGGTGTTGTGGTATTATAAGAAGATCCGGATTGTGTTGAATGGTTGCCATGGGCTTGATGTGAATGGGAGCTAGGATACGGCACTCCGAGACTATTATTGTTGTTGTTGTTACCATTGCTGTTATTCATGGACGCTGCGTTAGGATATGAGGGATTCGAGGAGGCATAACGCGTATATTGTGCTGAATGTAGGCGTAAGGTTGGACAAAGAATATGTGTGTTGCAATATTGTTTTCAAAGAACAAAAGAGATTAGTTTTCTAACGAAATTTCAAATAGTGTTTCTAATCATATGAATTCATGCCTATTACTATCTATTACTACTTTTTTCTAACACACACGCACATATACACACTTGTAGGCATACATAAGCATAAGCCATAACACCCCCTTTTCTGCAAGCTTTACTGTGTATCCATGTGTATGTGCGTATGTGTGTATTGACAGCAGGATATAAAAGGAATGACTGGGTCGTTGGTCAATCGCCGATTCGCTTACCTGGGTGCCTGCCTGCCATTGTGAGGCAAATAGGTTGAATTCAGTGTGGGAGGGTTCGGTGGGATGGTCAATACTGTGGTAAGTGTGTTTTAAAAATTAGAGAAGGTGAAAGGAAGGGGGTGAAAAGGAAGAAAGCTGACCAGCGGAGGGCTAATTTTTATTTTTCAATGGAAGACTTAGTGACCTTGTGTAATTGGTCGCTTCCTTGCGGTACAATTAGAGGGAGGATACTTACAAATGAGGGATAACACAACTGAGAAAAAAACCGTATAATGGGGGTGGAGGAGAGATCGCGGAAGGTTGAAATCGATGCTGAAAGTGCTGAAAGACTAGGTAAAAGAGAGTAAAAGATCTAAAGAACAAAAAGGGTACAAATAATGGGAACGATAAGATAGACATTTTATAATATGAGTCCTCTGGAGCAAGTTCTGGATCCGATACATCATAGTCCACACCTGGATGGCTGAGGCGGTCTATTTCGCGCAGGACACAAAGCAGAGGCGGCCAGGGTCGATCATTCTGGTGGGCAGGAGGCAACGGATAGTTTTGTGGGTGTTCTTGCGAAGGTTGAGCTCGTTATCGCGATTTTGAGCAATGGTCGCCTGAACAGGGTCTTTAGGTAGGTTGGCATCGTGTTTCAACTTGATATAGAGCTGATAAAAGGGAATGTTTGAGGTCAAACGTCGCCAATGTTGGTCACCCTTTCTCTCCCAGAAAAAAGACAGTTCAATGGAGCGTGCCAGTGTGGATACTGAAAGTGATCGCAGACGGGTGGTAAATTTTAGCTGGAGCGTTCCGGTGCGGACTTGCATGAATGGTAGGTCGGAAAGCACCATCATTAGAAAAAATAGTGGGTGAAATGGCGTCGGCGTTGCGGTTGAGTACCATTTAAATACAGTCCTGCTGCGCTTGCTGGAGGTGTAGTTCAGAGAGTGGTGATGGCGAAACCGTAATCAAGTACTGGTCGGACAAAGGTCCGGTAAGTACGCAAAGCTGGCCAGAGATCGGTACACATATTGATGACAGCCTAGGCGTCGGAGCAATGCCATGGTGCCTGTTGCTTTAGTGATGCGTTGGTTTACAAGCAGATTGGAGTTATTGCCTTCATGGTTAAGTGGGATCCAAAGTATCGAGAAGCTTGACTGTCGGTAAAGGAGTGTTGTAAAGTCGATAGGTGCTATTGGTTGTTTAGAGATTGTGGTTTGTTGTGCGGATGTTAAAAGGGCTCAATGATGGCACATTCGTCGAGATGCCATCGATTTCCAAAATCGGTAAGAAGGCGTGTCATGTCGGCTGGGTGACCCTATCAGTGGCACATCGTCCGCATAAAGTAATGCCGAGATGATGGTGCGGCACGTACACTCTTTCTCAAAATCAACGTCATTCTTGAGCCCGAAGTCGCAAGTTGACAAAATAGAAGTCGTATGTACCCAGAATATCTTGGCGATCGTTGACAAATCAAATATCGTATTCACAGAAAAGAATGCCGCACCTGAGTTTTTCTTTCGTCTCTATACATATTAATACATTTTAAAATGAGCAATCAATTTTTTTACCAAGATAGACAGGGTCGTCATGTTTTTGATGAGTGTGGCTGTCCTGAATCGATGTACTATATCGTTGATGAGGAAGTGTACGCAAATGAAACCGAACGTAATACATCTTGCCAACATAACTCTGAGTTTGTTGCTATACATGTCACCAAGCCAAATAATACAGATATTTGTATGGATGAAGTAGAGCCTAAGCGTGCCTATATGACAGACACAGTCCACAATTGTGTATCCAAAATGAGGTGGTGCTGGTGATTGTAGATACGTTGAGCCCAATTACGCTGCTTTTACGTCGGTGGTCCTGAACTGGCATCTTGATATTTTACTAGCGATCTTTGCGTATGACGGTGTACCAGGTTCCTTTGGTTGTTGTCGGCGGTGTTGCTTTTGTTTGTGCTGCTGGTGATCCTGATGTTGTTGTCTCTGCTGATCGATCTTGTCCAGCTTCTTTAGCTGTCTCTGGAGCTTTTGTGATGCTTGATTTTGTTTGGCCAGTGTTCCAGCCTCAACTGTACCCATGAGTAGCTCATCCTGTTCAACAGGGTGAGGGTTAGGCTCAGCTTGAGTTTCGTTCATTTTGGCTTCGACTTCAATGTTTCGTCTTTCTGCTATGAGTTTGTGTAGGAGCTGTAGTTTACAGTCCTGCACGCGAAGCTCTTGTGTTTGTGGACCCATAGCTTGCTCTCGTGCCATGGTACGTTCAAAGATGGTTCTCGCCCATTCAGACTGCTGCTCGTATTCTGATTCCCGAAGTGATGATATTGAGACTAAAAAGCTGAGCTAAACGGATCCATGTACGTTAATGTCAACTGCTTGAACCTGGTCGGCCCATGAGCCCAGTTGTTGTTGCTAGCTGCTTACTCTGTCACTGAACTGAGGTAAAGCTTTCGATAGACGAGTCATACTGCTGCTTGTTGTGGTGGTGTGCTTGCTGAATTGGTGGTTGTGCACTATCCGCGTGAAAGCATACGTCGTTCATGGTAGAGGTACGGCGGGTTGGCGTCCCCATGTGGTGCACACTTTTTTGTAACTCGCGGGGTGCAACGGTATGGTTGTGGCACGACGTCATTTAAGGCCTGTGTCAGTGACTCTAGGTTTGGTAATCGGTGTTGGTATTAGCACATAGTTAGTAGCTATTGCTGTGTTTTTTATGACAATGCGACTTTTGTTGCAGGAAGAAAGTGGAGGTGACGGGATATGAAAAGGGATGTGGTTTGCCGCGTGCAATGCTCAATTACGTCTAGCTGGCTCATTACTATACATTCAGCCAGCTTTTCTAACAAACGGAGCGGATCAAGCAAGTCAGTATCGCCGTCGTCGTACTGAAAGAAACGAAGCCTTGTGCCCAAGTTAAAGGAACAGGAAGCGCAACACGGAGCTAATTCGTTTTCTGGGCATAAAGTGCTTTTGCTGTTGACCCCCTCTCCTGATTTAATCGATTGCATACGGGACATTCACCCGCACATGTAATAAAAGTAAAACACATTTTTGGGTCTCTAAGCTTCGAATCCTAATGATTCTAATACACGATCCAGCAGCTCTAGCTTTTCATTATACAACGTTTCTAGCTCGGTCCAGTTGTCACGATATTCTTCGGGTACCTTGCCTTCTTGATTCAATTCCTCTTCGAAAATAAAGTATTTTTTGCCCAGGAAATATCGAAGATCGTCAATCAATGGGATTGAATCTACAATACATCGGTAAGTAAGAAAAAAGAAGAAACCATGTATCTGATCAATTGTTATTCAAAACATACCCGTTTCTTGACGGCCAGCAATGGAATGAGCACTTTCACGAATCAGATTTTGAAACTCAACCTTTGAGATATAGTCATCCAAATGATCTGCAAAGTATTTGACGCACCACTGTTCGAGTCGATCCACATTCAACCGAATGGCTGTACGCACAAGCTCGTAAATATCAATGATAGGCTTCTTGGATCCAGTCAATGTGATGGCAGCAATGGATTTCAGCCGTTCCAGCATCCACATATCGGCTGCAAGCATGACATCATAAGCTTGTTCCAATGGTATCGTGCATCGATCAGTGTACAGGTACTCGAGTACATATTGGAATGACTCTGGCATCATCTCGTGCACCTCAATGAGCGGCAGCTTGAGCACCTGGTCATCCGCCTTGTAACGGATCGTCGACACGTCCATATTCGACTCGGAAAATGCATCATGGAGCATAATATTGAAGAACTCTGACCGACACAAACATGCCTTGTGGCATAAAAACAGTACATCGTCCATCAGGATAGCAATGTCAGCGAATGCAGCCTCGGGTGGCGCAACCCGACTTTCGTCTTCAAGTAGTGATTCGCCAGTAATGTATTCGCCTTGCTCGTTCTTTTTCACAAAGCGAGCACATCCAAGCAGCGTTTGGAGAAACATTTCATAGTCACGGCGAATCTTGGCCATTTCTTTCGCGTCTTGAGCACGATTCGCGTTCTTTTCGTCTTCTTCGTCAGAATCATTGGCAAGCAAGGCTTCACATCGCTCTTGGAGCTCGGGTAGCTCTAGATGCTTACAGACAAAGACCATGTTCTCCAATGCGCTCTTGTCAACGTCGAAAAGTTGACCGGTATATAGATATTGCAGCACTGCTTCAAAGGCCGTAGGATCGACGAGCTTGGATGAAAGTTTGACCTTGTCATCGCTACGCCAGCGACCTAAAAGTTGGTTCCTGAAATATGATGATCGTGCAGCAATGACATAGCGTTGGACTGGAAACTCGTCAATGGACGCTGAATCGTTATTGTCCTCGATCTCCGATGATCGGCGGATCAAAAAGGTGAGGTCGTCGTATGTATGGTCGTTGTATAGATTGGTCAAGAATTGGAGATAAGGCTTTTGATAAAGAGCAGAATAACACATCAGCATACACAACATAGCAATTGATGGAGAGGGTGTGAATCCATAGGTGTACCTGGTTTTCATTAATAGCCTTGGAGAATTTATATGACCGCAGTAAACGTCGGATCTAAGCAACATAAGATAGATGTCAATCTTCTCGCCGTGCTTACTAATAATGTCGAAACCGCAGGGGATTACTTTGTCGTTTAATGCACCATATAGACATCGTTCACTACCGCCAATAAAACAAGCAAATACATTATGCTTTAGATATAAATAATGGGAGAAGAATAGGTAAGAATATTTACCCTGTGAACGTATTCGGATCGCATTGTGCTATTAACACAGCTCAAGGTGAGTAACAAAAGCAGAACTTAGAAATTCAGTCAAGGATAATTACCGCCATTCTCCAACAGGAATTTGACGACCTAAATAACTTTATTGTTAGCTTTACAACGGCACCCATCTCCCCTTCCTCACCCAAAGCAGTGTTCAAAGTAGTAACTATGTTTAAAAAGAACGATCAAGAAACCTCATAATGACCGCAAAGACCTAATAGATGGTCAGCTTATCATTCTATCATTTCTACCTGCTGCGGCTTTAAGAGTAATCCTTGGATTTACCGTACAGCTGTAATAGAGGGGTGTACACTGGAATCGATCCTGCAAATTCACGGGTGCCGAGAAATTGCGTACAAGACTTTCGACTTTTTCGAGATCACCTGTAAAGAGTAACATGCCCATGAGCCAAGTTTTAAAATGAGTACATTGGGGAATGGGTCAAAGTGACAAGCTTTGGTAGAGGAAGAGGGAGAGAGAGAGAGAGAGACGAAAGCTACCTTGTTTAGCAGCCTCGCAGAGTTCGTCGAACAAGTTGACGGAATTGGCATCGAGTGTAGGCTCATTCTCAAGCCATTCTTGAATTGATTGGTCAGGTTCACGACTTGCCTCTTGAGAAGCAAGCTTCATAATTTGACTCTTTGTGGCAACCGTTTTTTTACGGGGCATGTTTCCTATAATTATATACACAATCGACTCTTTCCCTGTTGTCAAAGTTTTGAAGAAGAAGGAAAAACCCTTTTTCTGGAAACTATCAAAGCGGCATAGTAAATAAAGTCCGCAGCAGCTGCGTTGCATTACCGAGTAGTACACGCGCGCTATCGCGTTCCCTCGGATAGTATAAATGCGAGTAAACACTCTATTGATGCGTTGCTCTGCTTCACAAAACTCAAATATTGACTGTTAACAGTGTATTGACTAAGAATTAATTTTTTCAAGGAGAAAAGTGTCAAAAAACTGCATATCATGCTTGCTGACCCATGTAGTACCTATATATATATATATATATACAGTAACTGTTTAAAAGACTCGACATCACGAAAATGAATCCTAAAGCACAAATGCTTGTCGATGATGCACATATCATCGTTTAGCTTTTGAGTAGTACGACCCTTTGACCTTCCTACAGCATTTTTATCTGCTTAGTATATCATGGAATACTACATGGTAGCCGACATATACAAGCAGAATAACATTAATGTGATTCTACTCTGGAAAGGTTCTTTATTAGGGAATAGATCTGCAGGGTTTATTGACAGAACTGCAAACCCTTTAAAGAAGACATGATAGCAACAGCTTCTTGTCTTACTTAAACATGATTTATTAAGATCGTTTGAAATAGGAACATATAAATACCTGTTTGAATGACAAAGAATGGATGTTCCGGGACATAAGGTTAGACAGGAGCAGCTTTTTTCAATTCCCATTAAGCGTCGTTATTAGCTGTATGTAGGTGGTTGATTGTAAGAATATACCAAGCAACCCCAAACTCCTGAGAACCATTTTAATATCGTCTTATAAGAGCAATATACGTGCATGCAGCTCATAATATACAAGGTTATATATTTAGGAGTCCATGTAGGAGATTGGTTTCGGTACACTTGGTGTTGCTGTTTGGTTGTTGCAGTCAAGTTCTGCAATATGTCTCGTTCATAAACTCCTTCACCGAAGAAAAACTTCTATCGTCATCGTCATCGCCAATAACTATGTGGAGGTACTACATCATACGGCAGCAGCTGAGACGTTTTTTGACACCATTGTTGGTATAGAATGAACTTTACTGAATTTTAGGGCAGGGGTTTTTTGGTTTTTACAATTTACAAAAATGTGATTTATTGTTTGGTTCAGTCATCTCTAAGAGGGAATGAAAAAACTGTAACTAGACTAAATACTTAAGGTTGCCTAGCAAACACCAAAATACCGCAGGAAGGATCCAATGGAAATTGATGGTCCACCCATCATCGCCGATACACAACACATATCACACAAAAAAGAAAGCAATCATAGAATGTCATGCCATGTTTTTGTTAACCTACCTATATATAGCCCCGCCTTCTTTCCACGGAACGATAAACACAGCGGTTAAAAGCCACGGGTTTTTCGACAATGTTCATTTCAACAACGAACCATGGTATATTAATATGTGCACTAGTAGGTAGTGCTATTATTTAATGATTGTAGATGATCGCGGGGAGGAGAGGGGAGAGAAGGCGTGGGTACATACAACGTTTTGGTGTGTGCATTGTACTTGGTCGTTTCTGTAATTTACTTTTAAAAAATGACATCAACTTACGGTGATACATCAGGCTCACTGGATTGCGTCATGATGGTACAAGAAACAGGTACTCTGAGTAGCTGTTCATGTTAAAATCATGAAACTGTTAGGGCGACACTGATTTAAATATGAGCACTGCCTTTCTAGTAACACTATTTATCGAGCCACCACAATGCTCAGCAACAAGAAGCCGCAGTTTCCTTGGGATGAGGGGAAGCTTATAGGAGAAAATGTGACCCATAGTAACAGTGGTGTTGCTTTTTGACGCCCAAGCTCAAGAGGTTGATATTATACCTCCTACTGCATTACATACATAGTCGCACAGCAGCATGTGCATGGTCATAATAGATAGGGTAATTCTGCATTCCTGCCTGTTTGTTTATTGTTTGTTCCCCATCATCAATGATGACGATGATGCATTCCTTTTCGCACGATGTGATCCACTCTCCTTGCTGTGTGGAATATCTTGCGCAGCAGTGACGAACGGAGATTCCTCTATTTTTGTGTGATCATTACGCCGCATCCCATTCGTTTTTTGTTCCAACGGTCTGTGCTCTGAAACACACTCACGTCAGCGATCAGACCAATTTCTACTTTGAGTGAGCCGAATTTACCCGCTACTATGATAAAAGCTATACTAAGCCCAGTCCCCGATTTTCTACTACCAGTGTAGTAGTTCGGTGGCGCATGCGTCATGTAATGCCCAACGTAAACTATAAGTGCAGGGTTCTGCATGATGTTCCGCCACTAGCACGATAACAAAGAGAACAAAGAAATTGGAATCGAGATGATAAGTAAGTGGTATTAGCTGATGGTGCTGCTGATATCATCTTTTTGCAAAAAGTGCTAGCATCGGTGCTAACCTAGAAAGGAAAAGACTTGTTTGGTTTTTCATTTCATTCTTTTTGCATGATGACACATCAGTCTCAAGAGAGAAAAGTGAGTGAGGGGGAGGGGGGGATGTGTTATGTGGGTGGGCGTTGACTGCGTGGATGGTGAGAAAGAGAGACAAAGAAAACACTTCAGGGTGCCGTGGTAGGAGAGAAAACGCAGGGGAGGATACGACGACGACGACGACGACGATGATGATCAGGTGAAGAATGGTGGGATGGCCAGTGTCAACCCTTTTGTTGCCGCTTCCAGCTCCCAGTTGTGCCTTCTCCTCCGTACTCCTTTAGAGCGTGGGGGTGATCGATTGGCGTACTAGTACTTATTCGCAGCAAGCGACGAAGGAAGGAAGGAAGGAAGGAAGACAGTGATGCCAAGCTTCAGGTGATACCATGGGTGGCACATTTTTCTTCGGGAGCAGCACAGCACGAGCACATAGCTTATATATATTGACGCATATTGGGTCTGCACTTGAAAAGACAGTCGCCAGATATAATAGCGTGTAGAGCGGTTGTTGCACAGCAGTCTAACGGAATTGGGGAGGGTTGGGGGTGGAGAAGAAGAAAGAAGGAGGCTCTCTTTTCATTGTGTGTGTAACACGGATCAATGCTGTCCACTGAACCAAACAAAAAATCACGGGCATTTACACACACTTCGGTCCTCTACTACTGCTACTGCAGCATGCCAACCGTAGACTAATCACCGTCAAATCACGGAATGCCACTTTCTTACTTGGGCTTCCATGTCTTTCCATGGGCTTAGAAACACATGCAGTTGTTCAAACAAAGCTTTATTTATATATAACATAAGAGTCATTTTGATGGAAATGCAAGTTGGAGACATGTTCGAGGGTAAAAGAAAGGTATATACAGAGTCTGGAGAGAGAAAGTGTGTGTGTGTGTGTGTGCTTGACAGAATGCCGGATAATTTTTTGTCAATTTGGGGAAAAGAAGTATGTTGTGGGAATATATACGAGACACGCTGTCGCTGGTTGGTTTGTTGCTGTGCGTGTGATGTGTGCTGCTTTGCTGCTGTGATAATGGTATAGGGTGGCGGTGGATACGAGAGAGTTAGAGAGACTTATGCGAGAGAAGGCGAGGATGACGATGACATGGACTGCGGTGATGAAGGCATGAACGACTTGCACAAGTTGCGCAGTACTTTGTTGTCTTCGCGAGTCCTTGCCAGCTCTTGCTGCAGGGACGCATTCTCTGCAGAGATCTGTGCGAGTTTGGTCGCCATGGCTTTCATGCTGGCCTGCTTCTTGGCTCGGTACTTTGCGGACGCAATCTTGTTGCGATGGCGACGTTCGCCTAGTGACACTGAGGACGACGGTAACGACGACGGCGAATGGCTTCTGTGGCTATGGTGGCTCGCTTCTGACATGACGGGTGATGGTGGTGGAGAGTTTGGAGCTCCAACAGTGGAATCAGGCGGTGAGAGCATTGGGTCCACCTGCTGTTGCTGTTGCTGTTGCTTTGGTGGGTTCGAGATGATGGCGTCGATCGACATACACTGGCGAGACATTGCTGCTGGTTCAGTAAAAGTAGAGTGGAAAACCAAAAAAGTTGAAGGCAGAAAAGAGAGGAGAAACTTTGCTTTTATATCTTTTCTGATATGAAGGGAGGGGGAGGGGAAATGTCGCATATGACCTCATCCGAACTTCCTTTTTTGGAAATGACGGACGTAGAATGACATAATTTTGGGGGGAGTGCACATCATCATCATCATCATCATCATTATTAGCAGCAGCAGCAGCAGCAGCAGCAGCATCACCGTATTGTCCTTCCCATCAACCCCAATCTATCACCCATCCTTAAGCTTCTCTCCCCTCGCTTCCCTGATAAGGATAGTCGGTGCCGCATGAAATGCTTTTTTTGGGCCCGCTTTTCCCCCTTTTGGCCTTTCCACGCTAGTGCATAGCCAGGAGGAAGCACACTGCATTGTTGATGACACTGCCTCCATCCATCCAACCATGCTTCTTCGTCACCCAAGCGTCATCTTTCTGTCAACACACCCCGTGATGCCAAGTTCTGGCGACATGCTTTCCACAGTGCTGTGATACGTGTGCTCCCCATCACATACAATTAATATCACGTGTTGTGCTGGGACTAGTAGTAGTAGTAGGGTGCTCTGTTGATCGTCGCGAGTTGTTTGGCTGCCCCAGCTGTCAAACAGACCAGCAAAATGTGCTAAGCTTATGTTGGATGCACAGGCCATGCACTTGGTTCATTAGACTACAGCAGAAGCTACTGCTGGTAGGTTACCGAAATCAACACACAAAAAAGAACTGCTGACACCCCGTCGGGACAAGGGAAAAATTTATTCCCACATGCGCCCTTTCCTTTGCGTCGCCGTTGCCGTGGGGCAACAACCCGCCCAGCCAACAACTTGAGCAACAACAAAAGAAACATTCCATATCGGCCATTGTTTAGGGTTAGTTCCATCCAATAGGTTGTCATGGCCAGTTAAGGTTTTTTACTACGCTCGCTCGCTTGCTTGCTTGCTTGCTAGACGCACTATACCCTTCTTGGCGCCTGCATTCAACCCCGTCTAAATTTAGACGTGATTACCCCCTCCTCCTTTTCTTCGTCCGCAAGGGCGCCAAAGAGAAAAGAGAGCGCTGTCCTTGCCTTTTTTTCTTTCACAAGCGGCTTCTTTTCTTACTCACAGACATATCTTTTGTCTCCTCTTCCAAAGGAAATCACTCGTGTGCCACCATCTATCAACACCGTACACAGTAAAAAGAAACTCCAGCATGCGAAACACGGGGCGGTTTGCAGTGGATCACATACGGGTGAAGTCCCTCTTTCGTCATCCCATCTGAACGTCATGATCCTCCGTCTTGTGCATATAATTAAAGACAAGCCCTGTTTTGCCAAGGGACAGAAAGGGAAGAATAAGCATTCCAATACATACTACATATGGAACCATGTTCTATCACTGTTATGTGCTAATCTATATGACGCGCTTTGTTCTATATGTCGCCGTAATGAACTCAACGATCTAGCCGATCGAAACGCTGCCTTATCTGGCCGCCTGCATCTTCTTACGCATTCTCGGAAAAAAGAAGAAGCATTTTTCGATCGTACCCCCACCCCTTAACAGCAAGAGGATATTCTGACGCAGATTAGTTGGTAGCTACCGATGCTGTTAGTACCGATTGGCGGCGACGACGACGACGACGAAAACGGCAATTGGAACGTAAAAAACCGATCGTGACCCATTCGCTCTTCTCCTCCCTCCCCCAATACGTGTCATTATGAGGAAAAGAAAGCCAATGCTGCGAACACATCATGAGACATGGCAACCAATCAATGCTATCTCGCCCGAGTTATTTCACACATCAGACAGACAACGAGAAATAAGTATGTTCTCATCATAGCCTGAAAAAAATAAGGTGGGGCCAGAAATCTGGGTTTCGATAAAATTATGCCTGGGAAGTTTATTAAATAGTGTGAGAGAAACGATTGCATTCTCACTATCCGCGGATATACGTACCAGACTGCGCGTGTAAACCCATTATCGTATCTTTGGGTACTGCTGCTGAAGTTTAATGCAACAAGATCGCCGTCGCTCGTTACTGGTCGTCGTCGAACGGTACACCACTATCAGAACATCATCGTTCTGGACTTGCCAATCATCTTTAACTTTGGTGAAGCAGCGAATTTTTTGTTGTTGTATGATAGCTGTTGTAATAGGCTTCTCTGACATCAGGCGCTTTTGTGTACGAGGCTATTACTACTACTACTACTACAAGAAAGTTTCCATATCTTTCTATTGAAATAGCCTTTAAAAGAAAAGCCAAGAGCCATGCTCAGCGGCCCACATTAATCTGCCCTTCTTTTGCAACGGTATGTACATATTGCTTCCATCTCAAGCTAGTCTACCTCCTTGTTGCCTCTCCAATGCTCTTTTATCCCAGGGTTTGTACGTCGTATATTACCTTATGCACTTTACTTCATCCATACAATGATGACATACGTGCATATTAAGGAGCATCTGATGGTCTCTTTCTTCCTCAATAAAGTCATCATTACTCTAAGATCTACTTTTTACAACAACCATGACGTTAATTTTGCCTAATTAAATAGTCCGTACAGCAGCTATATGGAACCATTCAAATTACTTCATTATTAACCATATTTAAGTGTCCTCTTTCAAACAACTCTTGACTGTGTAGTATTTGATCCATTCTTGTTTTTTATTATGACTATGCTATATATACTAGTAATGTTGATGATATGTATAATACTCCTCTGGAATAGAACTTTTGCTAATTACACTACTGTCGTAATATCACAAAAATATCATTGAACAACCGGGTCGTATTCCAAGATAGTCCAACTAGGAGGTGCATTTCTCGTACGCCGTAAAGCCAGATGCTTGAATCTAACACCATCAGACAAACGTTGTTCACTACTGACAGTACCAAACGAAATAGACTGCTGCGCAACACCGACCAAAACACCAAACGCGATTATTAAATCCAGCAAATGGGGGCACGTTTGTTGTATCCACACCAGATCTACCACAATCGGTAACATTTTGAAACGCTTCGCTTTCGATGTTCGCTTTCTTATCCCTCCCCCTTCAAGTTTGGTTAGCTGAGTACTGCCAATGCCAATCACTGAGAGGAGCTGTTTGCAAAAGGTAAAAGCTTCCTCTGAAGCACTCTTGAGAATGATATGTCCCAGCTTGGTCGCAATGTTGTTTGCCAATAGTGTCGTCGTCGTCTTCTTCTTTTCTTTAGTAGTACCAACTCGGCGCTGAGCATTATGGTCTCTTCTTATGGTTCGGTCATCACCGTCACCATTTCCTTTCAGTACACGTAGCTGAGTAATCACAAGCATGTTAGCAGCCATGCTATATTTGTACGCAAGATAAAAGCAGAACAGCGTTGCTTGTTGCGGCGACAAGAGCGTCAAAATATGGAGATTCAGCTGTTTCATGCGCTCTGCTACGCTATACCGATGGTGGATAAACTCGTCAGCCCAGCCATTGTTATAGTTGATTGCTGCAGAAAGCACTGCTGTTAGATCTAGGGTAGCATCATGGAGAGTGAGATACTGCAGTTGAGTGCAATGTGCATGTATTGATTCCAAGTCTTCCAATGTCGTAGAGCCGTTGCTTTTGGTAAATTGGACCGTAAGATGTGTCAAGTTTCTTGTGTGTTGCAGCAAGTCACCCATTTCAGGAACTTTATACATCGACATTCTGATCATGGTATCAAGTGCAGTATCAATAGTAACAGGAGTAGTGGAAGAATGAGGACTTGTTCTTCCATGATTACTATCGGCGCTACCCACTGCTATTTTGAATTGGTTTTCATTGCTGTCGCTGATGCTGCTCCTGGCACGGACACTAGCCCAATATCGATATGTTGCAGCGATTGATGCAGCCGCGGCGTCAGACTTTTTTCGTATTATCAACCGTTCCAATCGCTGCAGCCTCTTTGTTGCTGTGTAGCCGCCGTCAGCATCCGTCATCAAAAAAACATAAAGCTGCCACCAAGAGAGGTCCAGTGTTTGAATGCTTGTGTTGCAAAGCTTGAAGATCTTCTGTATGTCGTGAGCGATGTTCCATGAGTGCACGTCATCCCCTAGTATGATTGTTGTCACTGAGCGAATCAGCGATATATCGATTCGAGTAGCGTGCTCCATGGTTTTGAGAAATGTCTGTAATTGTTCGATACGAGTAAAACGGATTACGCGGTACAACTGTGGAAACAACGCGCAATACCAGGCTTTGGAAACTGTCATACACGTTACACAACCATCTCTTGAAAGATGCGCGGCAACCTGTGGCAATACTGCTGTAGGTAGCCGAAGAATGCTCGTTCTTTGCTCTTGTCCCAGTAGATGGGTGCTCTCCTGCTATATACAGGAAAAAAAACAGTTATAGTCGGCTGTCGATGTTGTCAATCTTCGATTGACAATGATACTGATGAGCATAAAACAAACATCTAAGCTTACACCGAATACGTACCTCGGTATCCTCGATATCAGTAGAAGCTTCTGAAATCATACAAACACGAAGGGTATATGTTATGCTTATAAAAAAATATCCCAGGAATGCAAACAATAAGTCCATTGTCAATGATGACTAGGTTGGCGCACAATAACTGGGGTTTATGGGAGTAAAAAGTGATCGAAAGAGAAGCGGAAAAAGACAGAGGATTCATGCACCATCATAAGATACTTTTATTTTACAGGTATCTTTCATGATACATTGTGACTCGCGATTCTAGTAAATGATGTATACCTATTCTTGAGGGCATGGCTGTTCTTTTTGCCCTTGCTCAATAGTGCAATAAACGTTCTATAGTTAGAGGTTTAGAGACGCCTTGCGTTCCCATCGGTTGGATTTTTATTTCGTTCCGCATACGTCGGGCTTACTCTTCGTAGGATCTTGAGACGGTTTCTTCTACCAAATGTGCATTGCTTGAATAGCACAATTTTCTGATACCCCCGACTGCTTATTTTGGCGGAAAAAAGCATCATTCGAAGCCAATGCGGATCGTAGAGCCTCGCGTACTCTAAGCAACAGCAACGCGAGAAAAAGTCAAGCAAGGCAGAAGTATGTACCACCTCAACTGAAGCGAACACACAATCCAGACACTTTATTTTTACTCCAGTAACCAAGTGTATCAAGGACGGCCAAGGAACAAAAGATGATCGACGTGAAGCTTAAGATGGTGGCGAGCATAGTGAAAAGACGTTAGAGTAGGATGTAATATATCTATTATATGACTATTTTTTGATTTGTTCTTTCTCTCCTCGAAGCTTTCACAGCATCATCAGTGACGAGCCGCCGAAGCCGAAAGTCCACAGACATGGGCACGAAGCGAAGCGAAGGGAGGGGGGGGGCTTAAGAAGACCGAAGGTGTGTTTTGCGCAGAAGACGCTTGATCAAAACAAGTACATAGCATATCATACTTTGTGCTAAACCACCCCTTTTGCTCAGACGCTGCGAGAGAGCTTTGTCGGTTTGTTTTTTTGCAGGTCAGTCGCTGATGGTGCAGCGCAACACGAAATAACATTCTATCTCAGAATATGTATGCAGCTGTCTGCAGCTCCTATACGTGAGTATTGTGTATGCGCATACAACAACAGTATTTAACACAGTTGCAATGTATATCATCCCGTACTGTTAATTTCGAGGGTTAACTGGAAGCGTCTCATGGTAATGCATTCAAGTGAAGCCAGCAAACTTCTTGATAGCCTATAGCGCCGTTGATTATAAGCAATGTGTAATTGTGTCGCACAAGCCTATATTATTTTTAATGTAACGGCTTGGTTGGGTTGGACGAGCCGCTGGTTTCAACCGAGCTTGTGGATAACCACATATAACGTAGTGATGGTACTTGAATGACAAAAGCAAAGGAGAGTTTTGGTAAAGAAGTAAAATAAGGTTGAATCTGAGCTTCATCTTGGTTACCCCTTTAAAGGTTATGTAAAGAGAGAGAGAGAGAGAGATCGACGGCGACATTGCGTGCCTGGAAGAGACCTGTACAAGCCCATTTCATTTTATATGTTACACAACATCTCAAATGTAATGTTCTTCTCTCTCTCTCTCTCTCTCTCTTTCATATCTCTTTTTAATATATATTATATATACACACACACATACAGAGATAGAGAACAGCCAATGCTATTATCATTCCAACACTATGAACGCAGGCATAATTGCTCTTGATTTATCCTTTCCAGACAGTGTTCAATTTTTTGCAGCACGGCCTTCGAGCAAACAACATAGCAAGGAAAACGACTCGTTACTGTCACTTGCAAAGACCACCCACCCACGACGTCAGAAATTGCGAGGCAAACTACGCATCGTAGCATCTCAACCGACCAAAGTGAGCCAAGTCGAAATCAAGTTCCTCGGTCAAACAGAGCTTGCGTGGCGCGATCCACTAAAGTCACAACACTCCATCCTGGCTGAACGCATGAGCGCTCGAAAGACATTTCGAAAGTCAAAAAGCATTTTGTTGGAGGAAGCAACATTACCAGGCGGTGTCACAGAATTAGGTAACGTAGCTATTATTACTTTGCAAAGAAGAATAAAAAGTAAATGTATGCGTCTATAATATTGCCACCGAGCTTATTCTCTCAATATATGAATAAATACGTAGGTTTTGAAATAACGATACCTGGTTACTTATACCCTACGTTCAAGTCAAAGTTTGTCAATATAAACTATACCGTTGTTGCCAAAGTCATTCCTAGCAATAGCAAGCTGCACAAGAAGCCGATCCGCGCCGAAAAAGATGTCAAATTAGAAAAGACGCTTATGCCGCAAGATGTCGCTTCGGGCCAGGTAGCAGGATACGTGGTGCCCCGGATCACTATGCGAGGGTCGGCGCAACGCGACGAATACCATTTCCTGTGGGAGTTCAAGGTCCCTAAATGGGTATCGCTCGATCAAGGATTGATTGAGTTTGATGGCGTCGTTCAATTATTAAAAAGCGCAGATAATTATGATAATGAAAAAGCGCAGTCCTCGTCTCGCATCACCGGTATTGCCAAGATTGAAGTGGACGTCGTACAGCAGAGCTTCTATCATTATGAGATCAGGTACATATTACTCAGGCCAATGAATAATGTCACGTGGATGGAATGCTCATATCGTTCTCTTTTCGACAGCGAGGAAAATGCTGCCATCGTATTACTGACAGAATCGCCCATGGCGTTCAGCGACCGACTCACAAAACGCCACTTGACGATCACACATTGTAAACCATCGACATACCTCCATCCACCACTAAATACACCCATTGCATTCTCATTTCCCATACAAAACAACGCCTCCACTGGTGAAACCGCAGGAGGACGAGACAAGAAAGAAGAATACATTTCGCATCGTATAAAATCTCTACCTTACGCACGAAATCGCAGCATACCCAAGGAGTCCATTCCATCGTCATCTTGTGTCGTTGACACAGCACAATACTATGCACCTTCCACTACGATATCCAAAGACAGCCTTGCATGTTCACTGGACTCACCGTTCCTTGAAATCCGACATTATATACGCATGATCATTCATCCAGCCACTCATCTATACAACGGTGATTCCACTCCTATTTGTATCGGCCTACCTATTCATGTTACCCAGAACGTGTCAGTCACAGAAACGGAAGAAGACGCATTACCAAGTTACCAAAGCATCGTTCGAGGAGCAGAAGAACTGCCTGATTATGATACCAGTATGATCCACGAGGAGCAACAGCAACAACAAGAAGTAACAGCAATATCAATAGCACCTGAGTGGCAGCAGCAGCAGCAGCGGAGGCGGCCTAATACGATCAGCAGCTGTAATCATCATCGACAACGATCCGCAGCAAGCACAGTGTGCCTATCGGATGAAGTTGATCTGGTGGATTTGTATAGACAAAGTACTCGGCAGTCATCTTCGACATCCGCTAGAACAAGCCAGGAAGAAAGCAGCACTCCCATGTCACGAAGCAGCACAACAGCAACTATGCAGTCTGATGTAATGTTTTCTAACTCATGGCCCAGTCGGATGCAGGAGCAGCACGTACTCATTCAGGAACGTCGAATGGAGGACTTTTGGATCATATAATCGCAGTATGTAAAGAGGGCCAAACTTTCCATTCCTATGCTTACAGCATCGCAGTAGTATCCTTGTGTTTGTTAAATAAATTTATAGTAAGTTATGCCATACTGCTAAATTATGTAAAGTGATCACTCGTGTCTATTGAGTGTGATCCACATTGTAAATATATAAAAACCATCAACGTTGTGGAATACGGCGTGTTGATATGGTATACTCTTTAGGCCAGCAAGTACACTCTGAGCCACTACCCAATGTTAAGCACGTCGTCTAGTACTATCTCTAACCCAACGGCTTCTGTCAATGTCAATGAAAGATCAGCCACGAACTGGATTAATAAATGTATATTTTTAGTATTATTTAGTTTAATGCCTTTTATTTTATAGCAGTGTAGCGGGCTTTTCCTATCCTTTCAGTTCTTTTTTTTACACACTCAATATCTTCGAATGACATTGCCATGGCGCCGCGTTCGGTTCCTAATCTATCTTGCAGTTGCCACACTCATCTATCAATGTCTAAGGACGCTTCGTTCAACACCTGCTGCGCCGCCACAGCAGCAACAACAACAACAACAACAACAACAACAACAACAACCGCCACTACCACCGCCATTACACCAACAAGAGCAGGAACAAAAAGTGGTGGTAATTCCTGCCGCTGATGACACAAAAAGCTTAGATCTCCCGTGGTACCAATCGCCCCATCCTCAACTACCAACAGCATCACGAAACGTCAAACACACAACCACGCATCTGGGCACCATTTCACGCACGGGCCTGCAGGAACGGTCTGTGCAACGAGCTCGAGAAGTCGCCGAGGTGATCTTGGGGCCTATCAAGGGAATACGCGGTGTGAGTAAGATGCAAGATGCCGCCTCATTACGCGCCATGGTCGATTGCTGGACAACTGGCCATTGGGTGGGCGGCGAAGGATACCTTGTACCGAAACATTTCCAGGATCCATTATACGGAAAGTGTCACAGCGACGACCGACTGCACTATCGTTGGCAAACGGAAGGATGCACAGCAATCATGGAAACTGTCCATCCGGGTCGCTGGTGTACTGCGTTGAACGGCCGTCATGTTTTGCTCGTAGGTGACCTTGTTCAGTACCAATTACACGATGTATTATTGGATGCTATACGGGATGGGCCTACTGTATGTTTTGGTGAACTCAACTGCAAAGGTAGGATAAAGGGGTATTTGGGTATCGAGGGGAGGGGAGTTGTAGAGCCTCGAAGGACAGGGCTAATTGTAGTATCTCTCACACCATGATCGGGGCTCATTGGGTTGAATCAATAAACTCTTATAAATAGATCACACGTTGTGCACCCAGCCCGAAGCCCGTATGCGGTACTTGCGTAACGATGTACTGTCAACGACGCGTCGAATTGACAAGGCAGGCGGACATCCATCAGTGGACGTTGTACAATGGCCATTTACGACAACGACCATGCTAAAAGCATATTCTGTGTTGATCTTGAACCGAGCACCCGTGTTTGAAGACGACGAGACATTTACCCAAGAGCTTGTGAAAACCATGCGAACGATCCGGCAGGCCGCACCGGATATGGTCATTATCTATCGCTCGTCATCGATTGGTCATCCTCATTGCAACGACGCGACGGGTCCTTTGAGCTCGCCCTTGACTGATGAGCAGCTCACAAAGTTACCGTATGGATGGAGCGAGCTGCGACGACGGAACGCGATGGCAAGGGAAATTGTAGAGGCAGCAGGAGGGATTTTTGTGGATTTGGCTGCGTTGACGGATGTACGGCCAGATGGACATGTAGGCGGTCAGGACTGTTTACGTTATTGCATACCAGGCCCGCTGGACACGTGGGCTCAGATATTGTACAATGTACTATTGTTAGCATCATCATCATCATCATCATGGAATCATCAACCATCTTCTTAGGAATCTCTTCTTCTTCATCACTATAAAGATGATATTGATATGCTTTTGATGTTTTAATACAGAAGAACTTGCATTACAAAAGGTTGACTATAGTAAGATGTATAGAGGTGTGGATGAGAGACAAAGGAAGAATAGACTACAAAGAAGAAAAAACGAAAAGACAGACAAACAGAAAAAAGCGGAGAGAAAGCAAGAGTGTGTAATATTAACTGTTGTGTGTAAGAGAGTAAGAGATTAAATGTGTAGCATGAGAGAGAGTGTGTGAGTTGTGTGTGTGTGTGTTTGATGGTATTAGATAATTTTTTTTTCCTTTGGGAGAGAAATGCTTAGATCTTCTTGCTCTTTGGCTTTTCGGCACCAGCAGCAGCCGCATTCTGCTCCATGGCCTTCTTGGCCTGGTAGGTGAGGCGGTAGAAGTTGATGAACAAGAGCAGGTACGAGCTCAAGAGAGCACAGCCAAACAGAGCCGAAGTTTCGGTACCGGAGCAGGAGCCCATGTTGGGGAGATGGGGCCAGTAGGTGTAGGCAAAGTAGGTGTAGGTGCAGAAGTAGACGGCAAACAGATCAATGATGAACTGGGTGATCTGCATAGTGGTCAGATAGCGCTTCCACCAGATCTTGGCGCCAGCAGCAGTGCGGAAGTAGTAGTAGTACATCAAGACGTGCACGGTCAAATTAAGCGTGATAGGAACCCACGACTAATCATATCAGAAGAGAGAACAAGCATCGCAGTAGATGGATCAGCAAAAAAGTGAGCTTTACACACACACACACACACACACGCGTTTAACATTTTTGTGACACCTACCACTGAAGTGCGGCCGACCAACTGCGAGTAGCAAAGGACCATTGTCAAGCTGTGGTGATAATAGTGCAAGAATTCTAACAGAACGTTTATCGCGCGCGCGCGTTTCCCCCCTTATTAGTAACAGCTTCCTCCAGTGACCCCCAGCAACAGATCGACAGTTGTGGGTAGTTGGCACAGCAACAAAGCCAACCCCTTCTGATGTTTTCCCCTCCTCCTCCCCCCCCTTTCCAGATACTTTACCCAATTTCTTCTTCTTGACAACCAAGAACACCGTGTCAAAGAGCTCCCAATACTTGACGAGGTAGTTGAGGTAGTAGAGCAGTTCAAGCTGTTGGGTCCAGGCATCCTGATTGCAGACAGCATACAACAAGCCGTGGTTGTAAACGACAGGGAACAATTGCTCGACCATCAGGGCCAACAGGGCGCCCGAAACCAAGGTCAGCAGCAGGTTGTGGAGCTGGAAAAGATATTGGAAGCGTTGAGCGGGCAAGTTGGTCATGAGGTACCGACCGCCAAAGATGACGACAAAGTAGGTGATGCACGTAGCCACAACTGTTGTTTTTTGTTCATTGTTGATTGGTTAGATGACCCGATGTTCTAGATGAGTGGCACTAGTGTGTATACATATTCCCAGATATATATCTATATATCTATACCTTCGTTGACAGTTGAGAAGGGCGTGACTTCAGGCGTAAAGACGAAATCGGCGGCATGGTGGCCTGTGACAGCGTGATATGCCTTTTCAAAGTAAGGGTACAGACGCAGACCGAACGGCGTCTCCTGCGAAAAGTCAAGCTGCTTGACAAAGTCCATCCTTTTCTTTCAGATAGAGGGGAAGAGAGAGAGAGAGTGTGTGTGTGTGTGTGTGTGGGTCTGGGCGGAGAGGAGAGAAAGAGAGGGAGAGGATGGGCGGAAACACCGAGCGGCTTTTTATAAGACAAAAGATGCTCTGTACCTTTCAAAAAAATTTATTTTTTCCGCCCGTTCAAAACGGACGAACGAGCTTGATAAACAGAAAACTCCGCCACATGTATCAGCGCATCGTGCACACTGTTTAATAAAATCAGGAACCACTAAGCCAACAGCAGCAGCAACGTATCCTGCTTGTAACACGATTCAGGCTCTTTTCTAACTTCATTACCCACACAGAGAGAGAGAGAGAGAGAGAGATTGAGACAGAATGATTGGGGCAGCAGCAGCCATTCAGCATCCCAACACTACTGTTTGGGCAGTGGGAAACACAGAAAAAAAACAGAAACAAGGCCCGCCAGTGTTAATTTCAGCTTATTCAAAGGTGCATGCATGTTCAAGAAAGAGATTGGCTGCCAAAAGAGCCAGCCAATCACAGGTAGCCAATGGACGTCTTGACCAAATAGGCAAGTTGTTTTCCCTGTCAGCCAAAAAGATACATTTGGTGCGACCCATTTGCTGTGCGAGCGAACAGGGCTGTTCTGTGTGATATGCTTTTCCAGGCCTATTTCAAGATACCCAAGTCGATGTTGTTATTGTTGTTATTATTATTATGATTATCATTATTCCTGCGTGCTGTGTAGAGGGTGCGTGTGTGTCTCTCTCTCTCTTAACCAAAGTGCTACCAAGAGGTAAATAATGCACCTTGTTTTCTTTTTTCTTTTCCCTTTCTTTCTCATTCACTTCTCTTTTCCCCTTTGCCTTTTGCACTTGATACATCTTCTACTGCTTATATTCGATGGTCGTGTCTATCCTTGATGACGACTACTACTTTAAGCCCAAACGGCAACGAAATCCTCTCCACTTTCTGTTGCGTGGCAAGCTAAACAACAACAACAACAATAATGCTATTAATGCTGACGCGCCCGAGTCAAAAGGTACACATCATTGCTGCTCTTCTTAAGCCCAGCACTCCGTCTCGTCTCGTGTGTTAGCAGCCCCATTGATTATCTGAATAAAAAAAAGAAAAAGGTCTGTTCGGCTTGACGCTTGAATGCACGGCTCAATGCGGTATGATGACCGTCAGCAACGGCTTAACCATACCCGATCCAGTAGCCCGCTGTTTCACAGAAATCATCCAACGAGGTAAGAAGAGTGAGAAAAGGCGACAACAATGCCAAGGAGACTAAAATCAGCATCTTGCATTCTCGTAGGATTGAACGTAGAAGGTCTCTTTCGCTTATCCGGGGCAGCATCCGACGTTCGATACCTGACCCGCGAATTCGACGTGGGAAACAACCTTGATCTTGCTACGTTTGATATCCACGCAATTACCGGCGTCGTCAAAAAGTACCTGCGAAGCCTTCCAGACCCAGTGATTCCGCACGCCTATCACAGCCCATTCTTACACGCTGCAAGTGGTCCGTGTGATGTCAAAACGCTCCAGAACCTCATCAGCAGCTTACCCGTATTGCACCGCCACCTGCTATGCTATATCCTACAACTCGCATCCGCCATCCAAAAGCACGCCAGTGTCAACATGATGAATCCTGAAGCATTAGCCGTGGTGTTGGCCCCAGTCTCCACCGGTCTTGAGCAGTCTTTGCCGATCCATCCAGTACCGGCGTATTCTGGCATGGGTCGACGAAACGGGGGTGGTCACCGCGCTGCACGATTACCCAAGCGTGAGGAAATGGACGGGTTGATTCAAACAAATGCAAAGTGGACCTATCTGTGGACGTTGATGATCGATCATCGTGACGCCTTGTTGCAACACCATGAGCAGCTCGAACGAGACACGCCTTCCCCCGTATACCCACCGTTTGATATCTTTATGAGCCAGTTCGATTCAGAGCCACGCGAATGCAGCAGCAGTGATGATGAAGACAATAATGACGAGGACGTCGACGACGACGAACAGCAGCAGCAGCAGCAGCAGCAGCAGCAGCGACGACAGGAACAGCAGCGACGACAGGAACAGCAGCAGCACGATCAGTGGTGGCGCGGATTGTTCTCCACTACCAAGTCTGCCGATCAAACTCCTTGGTCATCCGCTTCTGCTGGCCCACGACGTATGCTTCGACGATTAGCATCTGTCTCTTCCATGCGACCTCCTTCGTTGCACCATTGGCGCTAGCTGACTCATCCTTCTCTCTGGCTTATCCAGTGTTTTCTTTTTGATCTTTCTCCTTTTTTGATATGCATGTCTTTTTACACTATGTCATCAACACCACCATTGCTCTCTCTCTCTCTCTCTGTACGTTTATATGCTCCCTTTCTTATTCTTCTTGTATGCCTTTTTAATACTGTTGCTTTTACATACACTACTACACTATACACATGTACGCTTTTGTAAGCCTTATACTATTATATATATTACTAGCACCAAATATACAGTATATCTTTTTTTTGTATATGTCAACTCTATGAATTTACATAAATAAGCTCTTGAATCATGTTACTTTTCTATATGCAACAACTTTTTGCATTAGCTTATTTCATTGATAACTTTATACTTTGGAAATACTTTTAAACTTTACTATACAATGATTCGTATAATATACACCCTTGTTGAATGCTATCATGAACAAAGGGATGAGCGATGACGATCTTGGATATGACGACATTACTATGCCAATGCTATGCTGATAATAATGGCTTTGTCGACTGATAACAAAGATAGTATGATGCGGTGTGTCTCTATATTAGTATGCAAACAATAACAACAACGACAACAAGAAGACAAAAAGATATGCGTGGTGGTGGCCAATGCGGCTGATGTACTACCATAGACCATTGCTAAATTTAGTATCCCTTACTGTTTTCATGTGGACAAGAAAGAAAGAAATACGCCATCAGCTCTTTATTATCATACGCTCGTTTTAGCTAATCATCGATACATATCAATGCTAATGTTATTATTATTGCTCTTTTCTTCTCTCTACTCTGTTTTCCTAAGGCTTCATTCTTGGATTGTGCTGATCCCTTGTACAGAAAAAGTGTAATATTTACACAACTATACTACCTACTGCTGCTGCGACCGAGCCTTCTTTTCCTCGACATGTTTGTGGCTATATATCAAAAGGTGACCAAGAGTTTTGCTGTAGTTTGATGACTTTACTTGTGGTGATCGTAATGATGAGGCAGCAGAAAAGTGCCGCACGCTGGCCATACAGCAATAACTAGTATCTTTGGTAAATGCGGACTGAGGAGAGCAGGTGAAATCCCAAAAAATGGTACAATAACTGATGAGTAGCATCATTAGCAGTTCTTGGATCGTTCTAAAAGAACAGGCTGCTGTCGATATTGATCATGCATCTGAAAAATATATAGGAGACATATCTTGGGTGTAATTATTAAGCTGCTATAGTCCCTTTCTCTTTGGGCTAGTTATATTACATCTGAGAAAAAGGTTGCAAAGGCAAAACGAACAGTGGTTAGCGTAGTGTGTTCTGTACTACATTTGACTTGATGCTCACGACAGATAAAGAGGGCGAAGCATCGAGCCAATCGTTACTTTACATCGTTAGGAGAAGCCTGTCAACCTTTCACTACAATATAAGAAAAATATAAGTTAGAGTATATTACTCTATGTCACCCGTTGGATTTCATGTCTCTGTATAACCGAGTGAGTTTCTCCTCTTTTTCTACTAACACCTCAACTTAAAAAACGGCCCTGATATTGGGTACTTGGCTCTTCTCCTGCCATGTGCTGCTACTTTCTTTGGATGTCTACTTACCGTCTGAAATTCCAAAATTTTGCCACACTCAATATCACCGGCCATACATCGATCGATGGACTTGCGATCCATAAAAAAGAGATCTGTTAACCTTCTCTAAACACTAAATAATCCCACAAGTAAAGCTTATGCCGAGCAAAGACAGAAGATTATATGGATCTTGTGCGATTAAACTAATCACTTACTGCTCTCTGCTACACATGTAAACTAGTGGATTAAACTTTCCGACTAGGGGGAAGGGCAGAACTGCAATCGCATATATACTGTTTCCATATAATAAATGCTCAGCATATTTTGTCGGTAATTACAGCAGTTGAAAGAGATGAAGAGGAGGTGAGGAGGGCTCTTTCATCATTTCTCTTTAGATAAGATGTGAGCATGTTGTCCTATTGTGCAGAACCCACTATAGTACATAGAACAGTAACTACAAAGGAACGCTCTTCCATTGAGACGACACTCGGATCGAATTAGCAATAGCAAAAGCTGTATGAAGGAAGAAACAAAAAGAAAAGAAACAGGAGATTAGCAGTTGCCATATTGGGTCGATCCATGCATTTGCACTACACACCCATATATTAGCATGTTCCTGCTAAAAAGTCACATGTTCACATGCAAAGCTCTCTCGAAACCCTTATAAAGCCCGCACGCAACGGCATCCATCACGGAGAGGGGATCACGAGTTTCGATACGCACGCACGCACACACATTCACAGAGTGGGTAAAAAAACACAACACACATAAACCCCCTTCACTCCCTTCCCAGGGCCAATAGATGAAGTTAATGCTAAGCTAATGACAACGCAGTCTTTCATTTCCGTCTATTTTATTTCGCGAGCATACTCTCTTTAAACGACGACGTTCTCTTTTCTCTTTTAAAGTTCTTTATTTCGCCCTTTATAGTATTAAAAAACCCCCAATATTACCACCCACACAACCTTTATTTTATCTCAATTCAAACACGACAAACAACCATAACTCGCATTGATGGGCCAAGGCATGGTAAGAGAAAAAACAAGAGTACGTTTTTTTCCTTTTCTCTCTCTCTCTCTCTCTCTCTCTCTCTCTGGCGTGTGTATGTGTAGGGATACGTTTTTCGCGTTTGTTTTAATCTTTTTCTTTTTTCAATTAGTCTCAATATACCACCACTGTTTCTGCAGAATCAGCAAAAAACGAAGCTCAAGAGCCAACCTCAGCACAACAGTCACCGCAGCCAACCTGTTTGACAACGTCTTCTGCACCAACCACCCTTCCGCAGCCTCAAATATGGTAAGTTGGAAAGATTGGTGACATCATTGAATGGTGGGGGAAAAAAAGAAAGAATGAACAAGAAAGCTTCCATACTGACACTAGTGTTTCGAATTCAGGCATAAGACCTCATTAGCACAACAACCATCGCCCAATCCATCACAGCACGTTGACCCGTCAAATCAAGACCCAGCCATGTCCGAAGAACAGAATCGTGTAGATACAACTGCAGCAGCAGCACTGTCAAAGCAACAGAAACAGCAACCATCACCCTCGCAATTAGCTCCAGCACCCACAAAGGCGAAAGGACATAGCAACCGCAAGCAGCCGCAACAGCTACGACCGAACAGGGCTGCTAACACACGAGACCAGGATAATACTACTAATAACAACAACAATAACAATGATGATGATAGCAGTGGAACGGGTACAGAAACGCCTGCACCAAGCTCGCCAACATCGATGGAAAAACCCTCGGTAGGGTCCGAAGAGTGGCATCGACTGCGCCGTGAGAACCATAAACAGGTGGAACGTCGACGTCGAGAAACGATCAATGAAGGAATCAATGAGATTGCAAAGATGATACCGGGTAACGAGAAGAACAAGGGGCAGATCTTGCATCGAGCTGCAGAGCATATCCAGACACTCAAAGATCAACACGCCGCGGCTCTTGAGAAATGGACTTTGGAGAAGCTGTTGACTGACCAAGCGATGGACGAAATGAGTCGACAAGTGGATGGATTGAACGCCGAGCTGGATCAAACACGAAAAGAGAACGACGAGCTCAAGCGACGTCTGGGGATATATAATGATAGTGAAGATGCTAATGCGGATAGCAGGGCAGCTAAGCGAATGAAGGCTCAGGTTATCCCAAAGTCCAATTAACCCTTTTTTTCCCGCTCTTCTTCTTGACACACTCTTGAATGTTTCTGTCTTGGTATAGTAGTATATGCATACCCAGCCATCCACCTGCTCTTCCTCTCACCCCCCCCCAAATACTCAACAAATTGAAAATATTCAGTTCATTCAGTTCTTTTCTATTTTTATTCCACACCCACACAAAGCAATAAGAGAAAAAATATGTATTTTATTGACAAACAAAGAATGGAAGTGGAAGGAACGGAAACATTTGCAAAAAGACGGTTTTTTATGTCCATCCACCTAGTGGGTTGACTTTTCGAGTTTGATGCCTTTGCTGGCCTTGCTTTTCGCTTGATTATTTCTGTTATTGTCAAACAGCAATGGTTTGCTGAAAAGCAAAGGAGATGACACTGAGCGCCGTGACGGTACTGCCATGCTCGACAAAAGTTTGAAATGGGATTGAGTGTGTCGTGGTAGGAAAGTAAGGCGATGTTGGTCTATGCGCACTGTAGTATACTGTAGTTGCTCGTAGACTTGGATGCTGCCGTTGCTGCTTTAACAATGATATCTGCGATTTTCTCTTCGCTGCTTGGAACGTTACTGCTGTTGTTCAGATGCTTGTTGATGTTTTTCGATAGGCTGACGTCGTTTTTAAAGCGTATCAAGGACAAGGAGGAGTTGGGTGAGCTAATGGGTAGAAAAGAAACCCGTTGCGGTAGCAAGTGCCTTTTGAAACCTTACAGAGTCTTGGAAGGTCGTTTTAGGTGTCCAAAGGCTACAAACGGCATCAAACGGCAATTTGTATCTTTCGGATACACACACACACACACGCACAAACACGCTGTTGCTATAAAAGCGAAAATCACAACGTACACATCAGAGTAAGCAACTTGATATGATATCAAGATACAGTACGTGTGCTTTATTATGGCTACATACCGACGAAAGAAGAGACGATGTCGGGTTGTATCTTGAACCATAAACAACTAACACCGCGCATGAAAATAATTAAAATTTAGCGCTGCATGAAGTTGGAAAGTGAGATTAGGAACCAGGAACATTTTTAAACCTGATCTCCACCATATGCATCGCTCAGGGTATGTACACGATTGACCATCAGATAACGACATTCACTTGGGCTGAACACAATGAATGCGGATGTCAAAACTTCCACCAAGTTTTTAAGGTCGCTCTTGTGCACTCTCTGACCGAGACAATTGTCATGAAACTTGTGACAAACGTTAGCCGTTGGAAAAAAAAAGAAAACGCGGTTAAGATACATGGCGCAATATTTGGCTTCTCATGAAAGCTTATCAAATTAGTAGACCACCCTTTAACATCTTGATAGAAAATCAGATGTATCGTGGCACTTATTCGTGTAAAACGAGCATAGACGCAATATCAATAAGACCACTCCCTGTAAGAGGTTGTCAGAAGTACGTGGCCAAACCTTTACGGAACGTTTACAGCTTGTCAAAACAACGATGAGTAGGGTACATATATGATAATGACTCTTTTGGATAGCACGCGATAGCTTAAGATATTCATTGAAGAGCTGTCGATAACAGATAAGGACCTTATATTGCCCTTGAAGTGGTCTCTCGCTGCGTAGCTTACCCGACCAACATCGGCGTCAACATAACTGTGGCACCGTGTAGTTGATAAATCAAAGCTGTTAAATATTTATCATCGCCAGCGATGTACCACTGCATCAACCCGTAGTTGACCAGCATATTTACAATGATGAGAATAGCAAGCTTGTAGCTCGTTGTCAACAACACGGATGTTCGCCAGGACTTCCGAATGATTTGAGGTAACTGGTTCCAGAATGCTTGTATACAGACATCTTAGTAAGTATGAAATTAATTAAAGACAAAGTGGGTGTATGGAAAAATAGTCTGCGGGCATGTTGGTAGCAAGTGGAGGTGTCCAAAGCTGCCAGCAGAGAGATCAAGACGGAATGTTTAATACGCTCTGTTAAAGTAGAAAACAAGAAGGCCTGACCGGGCTAAGGTTGTCACGACCGATTTGAGCAGTAGGCATACGATGGGATCGATTTATTATTTTTAGCTTTATACATTGAGTTGATAACTCTTTCTCTCTCCTTGCTTTCCATTTGCGAACGACATGTTCATCATTTCATTATACTTCAACTTTCTTTTCAGGCAAAATAAAGTCGCGAGCAATTCCCACAGTCTGCTTTACCACTTGTCGACATGCCGAAACCCAGATAGCTATGCTCACCGCACCTGATATATAACGCATTAGTAAACCGATACACCTAATTTTTATCTTAAAAATATAAAAGCCTATTAGATTTTCACCTTTTGGCGCAAGCGGCATCCAAAGGAACCATTCTGCAGGTCCAAACCAGCCTTTTGGCAGATAAAACGCTGCTCTCCGTGTATACCAAAATGCAATTATCGTACGCGTTCCGTGAACGAAAAACCACAGCACAGACTTGGCACGAAGTTCAAACGCGGCTTTAGCAAACGCAATATCCGAGTCTAAATATTCCAACCCTATGAGAACAAACTTTTTCTCTACTCCTGCTCTTCTTCCTTTCTGTCATTTCCACGCGAATCCACTAATAACGCGCTTGGCATGCTTGACAATGTATAAAAGCTTACTCAATTTTTCCAAGTCGGCCATGCCCTTATCTAGTTTCCGTCGCATTTTGGCCCATTTTGCAAATTCATCCTAGAATATACCAACCAGCCCAGATTAAACAGCAACTTGAGTTTAATACGGTTGTTCTCATTTCTCAATTTGTCTAGATTATGTACATGACGCTTTACCTGTGAGCTCGTTTGAGATAAATCGCTTTTTAGCTTTAATAGATCGCGCTTCAGCTTTTGTTGTTTGGCGACTCGTTTGTCATTACTTGCTTTAATGTACCATTGGTAAGCCTACAAGTTCGACGTACGAGTGTTTTCGGTTGAGGGAGGTGAACGAGATTTGTGATATGCATTCGTTGTTGAACGAGTTGATGTGTTGAATTGTCGTCATTAGTACACTGTGGTAAGCAAATAATCGTTTCGTATATTATTTCTTTTTACAAGAAAGCGCCCAACCTTTTGCGTGACATAAGAGTATCCGAGGATAAGAATGGTTTCGGTTATTATGACAATAAGTAAGATGGTGGTAGCTAAGTACATTAGGGTAGTTTAAGGTTAATATTGTGGTTGGCAGAAGCGCAGAGAAGAAAAGCGTGATTTTGTAAAGCTGACCACCGTATTTGGCGAATCTGCATAGTCACTGTCACAACAGTGCGTGTTTAAAAGGGGATCACTCTTGTGTTACAACGTATAATATTCACAAAAGCCAACCCCACTCAATTAACAGCAGCATTTAAAACGCAAGGGTGCCGATACTTTTTATTCACATTCTTTCAGAATACATGCAGCATAATTGATACGGCTTGCTTGGGGGTGGAGGTATTGTTTTGAAGGGATAGCATTTCGAATAAGCCAAAGTCGTTGTTTCCGAGTCTTGTTTCGATGGAGGTCCAGTTGTTGAATGTAATTTTCTAAATCTGATATCAGCGTATACTTGAGCAGCTGATGCATATCATGATGATATGCGTTCCAAGTGTACTTGTGGATTTGTGTCCTTTCATGAGCACGTCGAGGCATCACGAACCATTGCTCCATTTCTTTCCAAGCACGCTCGACACCGACATCCTTTGGGTATGCTTGTAACACACGCCGGCGCATTTCGGCGTGACAATCGTCCACTGTGCCATCAAAGTACCAGTCAGGGCGCGAACGAGGGTTGAAATGTGGCGGTGAAACGTAAACGAGTATCTTGCGGAAGCCTTCCAAAAGCTCCTCTGCGTCTCGAATAGGTTCCATATAGTCTTGAGCTGTATCGGCTGCATAATCCGGAAGTTTTTCAAGAATTTTTCGTAGATCACGATGGTACGTGAGTTCTGCAGTCTTGAGTTGGCGTGCGTATGCTACTTGGTCAGCGTGGGCCTTGCGATACGAAAGCGATTTCTGCTGGTAGTAGAGGTCATCAATATCTTCTTCACCACAGTCGTAATTTAATTCTGAGGCTGGCCGTGGCCGAACAGGTGCTGTTGTGACGGGAACTGCGGCTTCAAAGACTTCGATTGGTTCGTGTACAACGCCTCCTGATTCTGCAACTTGAGCATAAGACTTCAAGTTGACCCAAACTGTCGATCCTTCTGAGAAGACCACGTCATCCTTGACCATCTCATAGGCATCCTTCGCTGTCGTTGCGCTCAAAGGGGGGAATGATTCGTCATCTTCCAGGTAGTAGTTGGTGTGACAACTGTTGTTATCGCTGGGGCTGTGTAGATTTTCAGCAAAAGCGAGTATACGGGTTGGCATAACGATGATTGTTTGAACAAAGAAAGTACAAAAGAAAAGGACAGGGAGAAAATTACAGAATAGTGATTTAAAGGAGAATCTGGAGTGTGTGTATACGGGGCTATTGCTGTCATCAATCCAGGGGTTATAAATACGATTTCGCTAGGTATACATATCGGCTGCGACCAACAACCAATGGCGTGGAGGCGCAGCATTTAAGCGGTCGTACATGTCTACATGGTTGCTGCGAAATCGGCTTGAGCACAAATAAATGTGTGAATGATAGGGGCCTGGAGCTGCCATGTGGTCAAGTGATGTCACGTAATTTGCTCTTCATTGGGTTGCTTGGCACTTGGTCATGCATTACCAACGAAAACCTATTCACAGTTCCCATTTCAATGACTCTATGACCGTTGGCTTGTAACGTTAAATCATATGAGCATATGATACACATATTTCTTGCTATCGCCACACAACAATATGCTGAATTATATAAAAAATTCATGTGTACTCATACCTTTGTATGAGTACACTTTTCTATCAACATATGATTTAACTTTTTTTTGTATGTGGCCACCACAGCTCTATCAACAACTGGATTAAAGCAAGCAAAAAAATCTATTAGACATATGCTTTTTTATTAAAGAGGAACGGGTAAATATTGTGCGCCGATATACATCACTGGATAATTATCATTCTGGTAACCAGAGCCTAACTTTTCCTTTGCATATGCTTCTGCCTCGGCACGACGAGGGCCAATAAGCTCCGTTCCTTTCAGAATCAGCTTTTGTAAACTGTTTGTGCTGTTTAGGAGCTGGCACAGACCTTCACTATCCACTCTGCGAGTGTGTTCTATAGTAAGACTTTTCAATGTCTGAAGCTCTCGAAAAGCACATAATGCTCTGCAAGGAATACATCGCAGGGACGATAGCAGGATATTTTCGATAGTACTGCTAGTACGGAACCCGCCTTTTTGAAGCAGCAACTCTGCAAAATCAGACAAACCGTCATCTGTGATGAACCGCCCACTGCAAATGATATTGAGTGTTTTTATCGTCTTGATGCTGGGTACCGCAAGTAGCATTTGATCATTCATATCGTGTACTTTAAGAAGATGAAGGGTTTCTAGTGTGCAATCTGGTCTTGAACCAAGAACAGTCATAGCCCTTGCAAATGCACTGCCGATCACTGCATCATGTGTCATTGTGATATGCTGTAGTTCTAGAAATTTAAGTCGTTCCAATGTTTCAAGCCCGGTAAACGTATCCGTCGTCATATATGCACTTCGTAATACTAGGACTTCCACAGCAGGACATTGTTGAAGCATCGATCCATAGGCAGCTCCATCGCAGTTGAGTCGGTCGCAAAACAGAATACGTAGTTGCTCAGCGTGGATGGATTGTATCAAATGTGACCAGTTGGCAGGCGGCAAATCTCTGTGCTCGTAATCGATGTTCTCCCCAAGCCATAAGAGTTCCAGGTTGTTTGCATTTTTTTGCATAAGCGGCATGATTTGATCTGGTTTATATCCGTTGCCTTCTCGAGTGATAAATGCGCGCAGCCCAGTTCCAGAACTAGTTGTAATAGCAGCAGCAGCAGCATCTCCTCTTTCGTTCCAGAACGGATAATTGTCACGATACCCGATATCCATTGGGTCGAGTAAGACGGAATTGACTTCGAGGTGGGAGATTAAAGGGCATAAAGTGAAAAGCGTGTCGAAATCAACGATAGCGTCGCGAGCATCGGGTGGTGAGTGCAAATACAAGTCTATAATATTGTTGGAGCTGATTAGACAGCGTAGGTTCGGGCATCTCTGTAAAATCCGTTTCAAGCGAAGCTTGCTTATCACGGTGTCCAGGCACACGTGAGTAAGACTTTCGAACACCAAATTCGACGGCAAGCCAGCTGCCACAGTCGGCTCTTGGTCATAGATTCCAGAGCGCCAACCATCACTACTTGGTTTGAACGTGAAATTCTTTAGGCGTGGACAGGCTCCAAGAACATGCAAAAAGGAGAGATTCCATTGGTGGTCGATGAACTTCAGTTCGGTCATGTTCTGTGCTAACTGGCGTAGTAGGCGTAAGAAAGCTCCCTGATACACTATCTTGCAGAGCATAAACTCTTTTCAGTGGTGACATACAATTTAAATATCGCGTTAATCACTTTATATATCCCTCGATGTTCCATTTAAACATTGTAGTTTTGTAGCTTACCAAGAGAATCCACTTCAAAACATCCAAAACTAATCAACTTTTGCAGTACTGTAAAAAGCTCTTCGTCTTTATCATACCCGGATAGCGTAACTTGCTTAAGATGATTTCCAATACACTGGGCGACGCGGTGGTTCTCCAAGTACTGCTTATGCTGTTCGAGGTGCAATGTCGTCCAGACACCCTTTGTGTATTGTGGGACCCGGTCTCGCCACGCGTGACAGACCGCCATGCAAGTAAGACAATCACGTTGTTCAAGTCGCAAGAAAATGTCGCAAATAATGTCGAATGGCAAAGCATCCAAAAAACCCAACGACTGGTCCAGTCCAGGGGTAACTGTAACGTCATTCTCGCCAATCATCGTAGTAAGGTAATGTTGTTATGTAGAAGCATTTGCTGCGTTGTTATACGAAAAACGCAACGTTCATATATTCACGTTCTCTCCGAAGGATAAGAGTCGCAGCCACATGATGCTATCAAGCGGGGCAAGTATTTTTCAACACGAACGACCGATGCGACTCGACTGAGAGAGGGCGCGGATTCGGAGATGAAGCCTTGGATTACTAGCTCAGTTGTTCGTCAGCTTGATGTTGCCGGTGAAGCTCGCGAAGAAACATGATCTTTCATGGCTGATACATTCGAGTGGTGAGCGTGTTGACAGTACACAGGGAAGTTTCCAATCGCTCAGCCGATGTGTTCGATTGACGTTTGACACCCAACAAGGCGCGCCCGTCAATTTAGCTGTCACTTAGGCCTCAGTTGCCATCGCAAATGTTTTTTACATCAAAGCAAAGTAGCAGCGACAAAAGCTCGCGTGATACACGCTATTAAAAAACGGAAATATTTGTAAAGGAAAACAGAGAAAAGAGCTATTATATTATTTCAAAGAATGCAAGAAAAATAACAAAGGTGAAAAAAGTGTCTAGCTGAAAAAAAAGAAGAAGGCATTGGCAGTTCTCTCGTTCATTAGTTTGACAATAAACGAGAAAGAAGGAGGTTGAGAAAAGGCACAAAGCACCTTTCAACCTCCATGTCCACCACAGCCTCAGTCCCAGCTCGAAGCTGGAACCTACACCGCCAATCCTTCCAGCAAGCCTTCCGGCAAGCCTTCAGGAATGGCACCAATGCCAATGCCTTTTCCGTCAATTCCTTTTTCCGTCAATTCCTCAAGCGTTATTTCAAGACTATCTGACAGACCCACCATACTCCGGAGAGTACGGCAAGTCCAGGCTACAACAGACACGCTTGTGATCGTCCAAGGCGGGACCCGATCGTTCAGGATAGCCACTGAAGGTGATCGAGCTCTTCTTCGCGGGGCCGATGCGACTAATGGTCTCCCAAAATGAACAATAGACCTCGACGTAGCGCCCACCTTTGTGTCAAGCCAGGAGTCGAACCTGCAAACGTGCCCAGAAACACTACCGACACATACAAAAAGTTGGTGGACCTTTGAAAAAGGCCACTACGGTTATTCACAGCTGAAACACAGGTGTGAGCGTGTGTAAAGCAGCAGAAGCAGTGTTATAAAGGAATTTACCTGTGATTGGCTTAAGGCCGCGTTTATGACGATTACGACTGCGCGAAATAGAAAAGCATGGAGATAAGGGAAAGAGAAGCGAAAAGGCAACTGAGCTGAGATAGCCGGACTTTATAACCATGGGAATTCTTATCGATTCTGATTGGCCGCCGCTTGAACAGCAAACTTCTCAAAGCTGCCCCGCGCAAATTTTGTGATTTGGGCTGGTGTACCCATAGTCGTATCCTAGAATGGACGATACTGCTTCTGTTGGATATGCAGTTCTGCACCACTCCCTCTTTCAATGAAGATGGTGATGAAGTACGCCATGCGCATGTATGGATAAATAACAAATAGTAAATGCACGTTATTTGCAGCTTCACGCGACAAACATGATGTGACAATTAAACAGGCCGATAAACAACTTTTCTCAGCTACACATCTACCAGCTTTTAAGATTATTATTGTCAAGTACCATACCCTTAAGCTCAAGTTTCAAATGATAGTACAGACAACAACAGCGCGACGCTTCTTGTCTTGCCCTCTCGATATCCACCTTGCCACGAGGATACAGCGACAGTTTAAGCTAAATATAATTCCCCCACATCGTTCTGCAGTGAAACTTAAGCAGAAGTGCTCAGCTGAAACTACATCCCCACAATCACTGAAGCATAAAAGTTAAATGAAGCACAAATGTGCATATGTAAATTGTCACCGTACAGTGAACGCCGGCTGTATACAATTGTTCTGAATTTTAGCCAATGCAAACTCTTTCAGATAAAAGATCAAACCACTCTATATCATGATAATGGATTGTACTGATGTTTTGCGGCATGATAAGCGCTTTTTGAAAGAAGAGCTAGAGGAGCTTCTCCTATGATATCACTCCTTACTTTTTTAGAAGTATCAATGGTATCATCAATACGTAGTGTTTATTAGTTATGAGAGCAAGATATCGAAAATACAATAGTAGAGACTATTCTCTATGTCATGCTCTGTGTGTTTCGGTATGATTTGAGATCACTACTGTAGCTTATAGATACATAGACGTTACATTCTCAAATTCTATCGTTCTAAGCAGAATCTTGGCTTGCTATGATGTTTTTGTTCAACTATAGACGTCCGACGGGCAGTGGTTTTCAATGAATAACAATACCGGCAGTTGTATGTATGCATCATAGAAATCGCTCTTGAAAGCCGTTCCTCGGCTCGTATTCAGTCTCCTTGGGAAGCATCTTTGCAGGCAGGTAAAACTGCAGCTAACTCAAGCAGAACCACTTGGATTCAATGAGATCGTATTAAATTAGCAATAATATGTTTAAAGTGATAAAGTAAACAGCAAGAGAAGCTTAACCAACGACAAACACTGTAAGAAAGATGTAGATTGTGAAAGTAGAACTTTTTACTCAGGAATCTCTCCAGCAGTCTCTCCCTGCACGACCTGGTTTCCAATTTCAAACTTGCCATCACGATGAAGCCAGAGCTTGCAAATATGTTTCGTGCACCGGTCCGCAATAGTTTGGACGTGAATTTTTGCTAGTTTGGATTTGTAAGCATCCCGTATCATGCATAATGCAATGACGCCAAACAACCCTGACACAAGCCGCGCATTTTTATAACTTACTTGAGGGCCAACCAAGGTCTAGATCGTACAGAGAGGACATGTTAGAGCGTTTGTTAGAGACGGGTTTGCTCGACATAAAGTGTAGGTGTGGATAAAGAATAGACTTTGGAACGGACTGAGGCCACAAGCCATCTTTCCGTTCCAGAATTCTCATCGCATATCGAGCACATTCGTGTTTCGTTTTGGACAATGTTGTGTGTAAAATCATTTATTATTACTTCAAATTGGAGAGAGATGCGCAAAGACGTTAGAGATTGTGAAAGAGAGACTGCGTTACTTGGACGGCGAGATCCTTGTGTAATTTAGACCCGTTCGATTGTTTTGCAGGATGACCTGTCGAAAGATATTGACAGTTTGATGCATTTCTCCTTTCAGCATACCCAGCGTAATATTGCACATGGGGACGAGGAGAGATCAATATTTATGGATATCTAAATTTGTGTTCGATGACATGTAGTAATCTTCCAGCTACATAAAGCATAGTTGTTACAGGGCATCTTTCGCGCAGCAGGACAAAGCAGGCAGGCAGCTGTCGAAGGGCGATTATTATTGACTCATTCAAGTCAAGAATACATGCGTTTCCATTTCAGACGTGTGTTGTAATACTTGGATTATATTGAGATGATTAATAAGAGACAATGCAGCCGAGCACTACGCATAATCTGATTGCTTCTTCCACCAATCAAAGGGCATCCCTTTCTTTTCATGACTGAGATCACGATACCACACCGTGTAGCGAGCAGTGGTTTCGACACACAGACACACTAAATTCATATCCCGTTCCAGAAAAAAAAGGATTATGATTGCTTCTTGGTCGATTCACTCTCTTCCCTTTACTATTCCTGCCCATCATCCATTATCAGTAAAGAGTATAAAAGAACAACGGAAATTGGCAACCTGCCCCCAAAAAGAGTTATCATGGATATCATACAGCCTTCCGAATATTACGACGAAGTACGTCTTTTTTTCTTTCACTCGCGGTGGTGATTGGTTAATTAATGGTTTGTTATGATAATTAAGAAACACCCACAGCGCAGTCACCATCAGGGTATTTTCATCACGCTCACAGACATTGCCCATTGATTAACTTGGAGCTGTGGATAAAGTATCAGACTGCGTGAAAAGAGACAATGTAGCACTACATAGTAGGCTGTTCTTAGTCTTCCTAATATGTGAGCTAGAAGAAGAAGATTACTTCAGTCAGCCTTCCTACAGTAGTGCCTTCTTTTTTAGACCTTATTCCGTCGCTTTTACAACATGGCGACGAAATGTGGGTTTTACCGCTGCTGATGCTGCTATTACTAGAATATCTCATAGGCGTTGCTGTTTACTTATTCAAGACATAGCACGCATCCAAGTGCCATGCTAGATCCCCACCCCCGTTGTATTCTGTTCGTAGTTCGCAGGATCCTATGCCATTCGAATGTAAATATTAGTTTTGTAGCGTGACCATTGTAGGACAATCAATAATGCATTGGCGACACGCTTTGGGTACAGTCATGCACCGCAGGATGTCACCAAAAGAGAGCTCGTTTAGGATCACGGTGAGCATCATGTCCATACGCTTTTCAAGCATATGGTAAGCTTCATTGGAGAGGTAGAATATTGTGTCTGTCAGTGGATTATATCGGCGGAACCCTCCTTCACCGTTATTCAGAACCCTGCGCATATCGCTATTGCTTTCTTAAATCTCTGTTGTCTGATCAAAAATACGTGTGGCGATATTATATGTCCTCAAATAGCCGGGGAAGTTGTCGACAAAGAATAGGGCATCACTATACACCTTAGTGACTTTGCCCTGTTGCGCGTATGCTTCGACGCGGACTGCCAGGAACTGCTCTAAATATCTGTGTAGCCGATCGAGTGCTGAGGTAGATTCATGAACTGCTGTCGCGAGATTGCGTGCTTGGAGGGCTTCGCTTCGATTTACTTGCAAAGTGTCTTTCAGTGAAGCCAGCGATGGCAACTCGGTCACAGAGTCCATGTGGGGATCAGGAGTTACGATCCCATCAGTACGCCGTTAATAAGTACTTTGTGTTGGGCAACAGCGAGAACAGGCCATACTATTATAGCAACGACTCTTAGCGGTCACTTATGCCTCAGTTGCCATCGCAAACGTCTATTACAACAAAGCGACAAAAGCTCGCGCGATACACGCTATTAAAAAACAGAAATATTTGTAAAGGGAAACAGATGGAAGAGCTCTTTTATTATTTCAAAAGAATGTAAGAAAATTAACAAAGGTCAAAAAAGTGTCAGCTGAAGAAAAAGAAGAAGGCATTGGCAGTTCTCTCGTCCATTAGTTTGACAATAAACGAGAAAGAAGGAGGTTGAGAAAAGGCACAAAGCACATTTCAACCTCCATGTCCACCACAGCCTCAGTCCCAGCTCGAAGCTGGAACCTACACCGCCAATCCTTCCAGCAAGCCTTCCGGCAAGCCTTCAGGAATGGCACCAATGCCAATGCCTTTTCCGTCAATTCCTTTTTCCGTCAATTCCTCAAGCGTTATTTCAGGACTATCTGACAGACCCACCATACTCCGGAGAGTACGGCAAGTCCAGGCTACAACAGACACGCTTGTGATCGTCCAAGGCGGGACCCGATCGTTCAGGATAGCCACTGAAGGTGATCGAGCTCTTCTTCGCGGGGCCGATGCGACTAATGGTCTCCCAAAATGAACAATAGACCTCGACGTAGCGCCCACCTTTGTGTCAAGCCAGGAGTCGAACCTGCAAACGTGCCCAGAAACACTACCGACACATTCAAAAAGTTGGTGGACCTTTGAAAAAGGCCACTACGGTTATTCACAGCTGAAACACAGGTGTGAGCGTGTGTAAAGCAGCAGAAGCAGTGTTATAAAGGAATTTACCTGTGATTGGCTTAAGGCCGCGTTTATGACGATTACGACTGCGCGAAATAGAAAAGCATGGAGATAAGGGAAAGAGAAGCGAAAAGGCAACTGAGCTGAGATAGCCGGACTTTATAACCATGGGAATTCTTATCGATTCTGATTGGCCGCCGCTTGAACAGCAAACTTCTCAAAGCTGCCCCTTGTGATTTGGGTTGGTGTACCCATAATCGTATCCTAGAATGGACGATACTGCTTCTGTTG